TTTTTTTTTTTTTTTTTTTTTTTTTATACACTTAACTTTAATTTAGGATAATTTATTATTGTTTTGTTACTTGATTCGTTCTCTTTGCACAATTTCGAGAAATAATCACTGGGTCAGTTTTTAAATTCTCACTATAAATAAAAACTTTAAACAATATGAACCAAGTGTGAAGTATACTTGGTTGGTTCCTTTACCCTGAGCAAAATTTCACTTGCCTTTTCATTAATTACTATTTTATTTGGAATCCGAAAACAAAAGAAGAATAGGTAAAGATTTTATGCAAATCGCTGTAGACTTACAGAGTAGTATTTTCATTTCTTTAAATTAATTTTCCATTGTTTTTTAAGAGTTAATACTATAACTATTCAATTAGTGAGTAGTTATTTAGATTCTGCTCTATACAAGTTATTTCTTATGAAAATATCTAATGCATTTTAAGTTACAAGAGTTGCCTACACTTTTTCTTTCACTATTTAAAATTCTAATTATAATTAATATCTTCTCTCGACAGATAAAAATGAAGTTAATTGATGCGTTTAAACGTTTTATGAATTTAATAATCTTAAGCATTATAAAATTAAACTACATAATCGTTAATATTTTTTAAGTCCATTTGATAACCATAGTAAAATTTTTGTTGTCAAATTCATTAACTATTTTTATAAACACTATATTAATTAAACAAAAACTCATCACATGTAATTATCAACTATATTATTTTCAATGATAATACTAGTGTGAATTTTTTAATGCATTACTTTATAGCTAACACATGATTATTACTTTTCAATTGAAATATATGATCTTGTTACTGAACTCCAGTATAATGCACAAAACCTGTTTAATGATCATCGATACCCTATTCCTTTTATGGTGAAGAACTCAGTACGAAATATATAATTTACTCGTACAACTATTGATTAAAAAAAACTTAATTGCCACTATAAGATTTTTCTATATCATTTGAAATCTTTTATTATTTGACCAATCGAACAATTTATTGAAATCGAATGTTGAAAATATTATTGATTATTGAATTAACGCCTTAATATCCATGGCAATTTAAAATTACATTAAACTTTTATTTAGACACGTTTCAAAATCTTAAAATATTTAAAATCGCCAAATTTCTATGAATTATTCAAAACATATTTATTTTTATAAACACTTTGAGTATGTCCCTCTCATTAGGTATATAGTTTTTTAAATTTTGACACTTTACACTTGCCTTTGTGGAGGATTCAAAATAGCAACGTTTACATAAAAAATTTACTTTTGAAAATATTACGTAATATACATTATTTTCAAAAAAAAAGTTGCCCTCAAGACTTCATGGTGCTAATAGTTACCAATTACAAAAATATACTATTTTTGTGTTAAAATTTCCGATTCGATATTTTATATTTCTTTAATTTTATGAACAATTTATCAAAACCATCTTTTTTTAATATCTTATATGTCTCTTTCGCATAACAATTTGTTGACAATGTTTTTTTAAAAACTTAGTAATTCATAATCATAATAAGGGTTTTACATGACGATTTATGTTTTTATTTATGCACAATCGCATTAAAGTTTTTTAAAGTAATGATGTTAATCACTTTCAAATATTAACCTTTAGTGGAAATCTATGCCAGATCTTCACTAGCTGGGTTTTTTTTTTATTTAAAACGAGCGATTTTTACAAGTTTTAGTATTTTTATTCTTTGCATCATTAAAATGCACTTTTTTTATTACTTGTGAAAGATAAAAAAAAATTGTTAGGGCTCCAGTCATAACCTTGGAAGTTGACGTATTAAACAAGTAATTTTATTATGCAACTTATCTATAGTTCAATGACTTGTCCTATATGAACATTAATTTATTACTTTTTTCAGTAGAATTTAAAAATATCTTATAGTATTCTTTCTATCTTATTAAAATAATAATTTGATTTGACTCGTTATGTTAGTATAATATGCTGTAAAATTTATTTATTTATTGCAACTAGTTTAGTGTTTACATTTTAAGTTCTTTAGTTTTTATAATTTATGCATCATAAAATTAATTATTAATTTGTGTTTGATTAAATGAATTTATTTGTAATTTAATTTAGATATGGAAAACTTTAAGGAAATTGATGATCCCATTGTAAAAGTTGAAAGAGGGCACGCTGCAGTTTTGGATTGTCCACCAATTAAGAGCTACCCACCACCTTTGGTTCAGTGGCAAACAGATGACGGCACTCAGTTGTATGACATCAAATATGCTTTAGTAGCAGAATTGCATCAATTAGTTGTTTTGTCAGCCTCGGATTACGATCAAAAAGCATACAGGTTAATTAAAACAAATAGTTATTTTAATTATTACTTTTATTAACAGTACGCAAAGCGTACGGGGCGTTGTAATAACTATACTTTGTAATGCTAAAATCATCGTAAAAATACGAAATATCGTTATTATTGCTAATACTATACTTCTCATTATATCCTTATATATTAACAATGTGACAGTTGCTGCCTGTTATCAATGTTAATCTTTTTTTATTTATTCGCTTTAACACAATTATTTTATCGATTATATCAAATTTTTAATTATTTAATTATTTTTATTGGTATTTAGGGTAAGGGCTACGAATCCTCAGTTAGGCAAAGAAGAAAACAGTAAATTCTTAAGAATTGAGATGGCTGGTGGTTCTAATCATGGCGATATTGCCCCCTATTTCGTTGTGACTCCTAAAGAAAAACACGTAATTAAGGGGCACAAAACTACTGAATTGCAGTGTATTGCCAATGCTAGACCAATACACGAACTGGAAACATTGTGGTTCAAAGATGGTATTCCTATAGGTAACATAAACGGTATCGTGACTGCTTATAACGATCCATGGAACAGAACCCTGTCGTTAATCAACGCCAATTTGACATATACGGGTCGTTATACTTGCCAAGTGCGATTCCGGTCTGGAGGGTATGCGCCCATTTCCGCCGACGCCGATGTTTTCGTTTTAGGTACGGTAGTATTATTTTTACAATGTTTCCTTTACTTTCAAATGGTTTGTTTTATTTTTATCACCTTCCCCCATTTCAGAACCCCCCGCGTTTGTGGGTAATCTGAGACTAGAAACTCTGGGTGAGTATGGTTCTACAGTACGCTTAGGTTGCGATACCATTGGAGTTCCTCAGCCAAAAAAAACGTGGTACCGAAATACCGAAGCTATTGGTCAAAATAATAGGTATACTATCGAGGAAGACGGTACATTAGTAATAAAAAAATTAAATATCGAAGATTCTGGTATGTTCCAATGTGAATCTGTTAATGAAGCCGGGTCAGATTATATCAGCACATGGTTAAAAGTGAAAAGTGAGTGGTTTTAAATTAGCTACCTATATATCTGTTGTATTTATTTTATGATAAATCGAACCACAACATTAAATATATTAGAAGTAATGAAATAAATTCAAAACAAAATAAAAAATGATATTAAAAAAAATGTCTAGAAAATATATGAGATCCAGTTTTAATTTTGCATTGATTACCAAATAATATATTCTAATAACAAATGCAATATTCTTAATCTATTTTAAATTTCTATTACAATATTGATGGTAAAATCTCTTTTGAAGTTATTATTGTTAAACTCGGTTACAAGTTTTTTTAAGCACCAATCATTAAACATAATTTTGTTACAATTGTTAAATTTCAGGGAATGTTACATTAATTCAAAGTTTTATGTGATAAAAAGAATTTTTTAAGTTTTTATTTTAATTTTAACAAATAGGAAATGCCTTCGTATTTCTTGATTGTACCTCTTTATTTAAAATAAAAATATTATTGAATAAATATAAAAAAAAATAAACCAAAGAATTATTGAGGCACTAAAATATAATACCTAGACTACTTATATAAAATAATATATATATCTAAGTAGTTTTCAATATATTAAGCACATTTTCATAAACTTATGGTTAACATGTGTAGGACATCGTTTTAAACGTCGAACAAGAATTTCTTCTGTGTACAGAATGCATCCATGGCTACATCCCAGTGTCAGAAAATTACATTGTAAGATAGTAACATATTGAGAAAATCCTATGGTTTTTGTAGCATAAAGTTTGTTTCGTGTATTATGGCACTGCACCCTGTGCACTGCACACATAGCTTTAAGAATACTCAGTAAAAGTTGATGTAGTTTTAAAATTTTGAGTACATCTTTAAAGATATATTTTAGAGCATTTAAGTTTTATGAATAATTTTTTTTTTTTCAATCATTTCTTGCCAATTAGCTAATTGAATGCACTCTTATCAAACACTTTCATTTACTTTTTGTTTCATGATAAAATAGATAGACTTAGATGAACTAAAGTAAAGTATTAATTTTTTCCCATATAGAAAAATATTTTCAGCTTTTAGTATATTAAAATTCACGCTGAACAATTATTATGATTATAATGATTAGCCATGTAAAAGCACAAGTACAATTGAGTGATATAAAATATGATGTATACACTGTAAACATTTATTACTCCATAGTTAATTGCGTAGTATATTTAATAATTTTGAAAAATAAACATTTTAGTTACCTCATTTCTGATTACAGCAACTGGTCCTATGATTGAAAATGAACCTTCAAATGCAACTGTATTAGAAGGGAATGAAGTTATTTTATCTTGCAGAGTAATTGGTGCACCAAAACCAAATACAACTTGGATATTTGGAGGTAATAATTAATTTTAATTTTAAATTATTTATTTTTCATAATTAATTTTTTTTTTCAAAGATTTACATCTTTCTCCTAATGAAAAAATACGTATCTTGGAACAAGGAGACTTATTTATATCTTCAACAAGAGTTCAGGATACAGGCAAATACACTTGTATACGATCAAATGAAGCTGGCTCAGTACAAATGAGTGCATATATAAAAGTTTTAGGTTTGTAATAGTGTGGAAAAGTTTTAAAAATAAGTATGACTAATTTAATAATTAACTGAAATAGGAAAGACATCTATAATTGAACCTCCAACAGATACAAAAGTTTTGTTGGGACAAACTTCAATTATGAAATGTAGGGTTTCCAATGACCCTACAGTACTTTATCAAATTGATTGGTTTCATAACAATAAGTAAGAAGAAATATTTAATATACATTAAATAAAGTATAAACTTAATATTTAAATAATATTTTCAGAAGTATTGGTGCAGGAAATGGACGAATTAAAGTTTCTGGAGATGGTACCTTAGAAATAGGAGTTGTTAGGGCAAGTGATGCAGGTATTTATACATGCTCTGTATCTTCTCCGGGAGGAGATGAAAGACGACATGCTTATTTAAGTATACTCGAACTGCCTTATCCACCTAATGTAGTCCAAGCTGAACGGGTTGGTCCAAGGTCTGTTAATGTATCTTGGACTATTGGTTTTGATGGTAACAGTCCAATACTAAAGTATATAATTCAAAAACGACAAATTGGTTTGTTAACAATTTTTAATTATTCATTACTTTAAAAACAGTAAATATTTTTTTTAACATCTATCATTCATTGATTTTTAGAAACTCAGTCATTGCTAGATCCACTTGTTGATTGGGTAACTGAACTCACTAATATTTCTGCTAATTCTCGTTTTGTAATACTGGAAAATTTAAAAGCAGCCAACACATATCAATTCAGAGTTAGTGCAATGAATGCTATTGGTGAAGGAACACCTTCACAACCTAGTAATTTTGTAACACTACCTCAACAAGGTTAAAAATAACAAATTAAAAAAAAAATTTAATTATATTAAATGATATTTTTATCTTAAAATATTGCAGCACCATCTGGTCCTCCTTTAGGATTTGTTGGTTCAGCTAGATCAAATTCTGAAATCATTACTCAGTGGCAACCTCCATTAGAGGAACACCATAATGGTCAAATTTTAGGATATGTTATAAGATATAGATTACATGGTTACATTCATAGCCCTTGGACTATTCATAATATAACTAGTAGTGTAAGTACTTTAATCAATAATTATACTCCAATATTAAATTCAATCTTGATGATAATCTTTCTTTTTTTCAGGCTCAACATTATTATTTAATTCAGGATTTGATCACATGGAAAGATTATGACCTTCAAGTAGCTGCTTATAATAATAAAGGTGTTGGAATATTTAGTGAAAGTATTCGTATTAAAACTAAAGAAGGAGGTACATTATTGTTAATTTATATAAAACATTATATTTTTGACAAATTTTTGAAAGCTTAAACTTTTAAATTAAATTATTTATTCGTTTTTCCAAATAAAATTTGCCAATAACATTATTTTAGTTCCTGAAGCCACTCCCTTAGAGGTAGTGGCTAGACCATTGAATAGTACTTCAGTTCAGGTATGGTGGAAACCTCCCGATCCTCAAAAAATTAATGGTATTAATCAAGGATATAGATTACAAGCATGGATTGGTAAATAATATACATATACTTTTTATAATATAAATTTATGAATTATGAAAAAATTAATTACAGTAGCGCTCAAAAGTATTTTGACAAAGCGTTGATAACGAATTAAAAAAAAACTTTAATAGGTGCAACACATCGCATGACTCTGGGTTGTAGCTTAAAGTGCAAAAGGTATAAAGAAACAAAAAAATGTGCAGAAACTTTAGTATATTTATTAGAAATTAACTTTTTTTTAAATCACCGCGCTCAATAGTATTTTGACAAAAAAACAAATCAACAAAAATAAATTTTTTCTCTAATAATATCAAACAAAAAACATCAAAACTATAGTATAATATTATTATACGTCTAATATTTTGTGGCGTAGCCATTAGACTTAATAACTGCTTGACACCGAGCTGGCATGGAATCAATAAGCTTTTGAATAACGGAAATAGGAATTTTGGGCCATTCTTTACACAATGCTTGATGTAAAGTTGTCTTGCTGGTTATATTTTGTTGGCGGATCCTTCTATCCAACACGTCCCATAGATGTTCAATCGGATTTAAGTCTGGACTTTGGCTGGGCCACTCCAACACGCAGACACCGTTCTCAGCCAAAAAGGTTTTAACATGTTTTGAGGCATGTTTGGGATCATTGTCATGCTGAAATAACCAGTTACCCCCGAAAGTTTCTTCAGCATGTCTCAACATATTCTCTCTTAAAATATCAGCATATTTAAACCGGTCCATGATGCCTTCTATGTTGACCAAAGGGCCAACACCAGCTCGCGAAAAGCATCCCCAGACCATAACATGCCCTCCACCGTGCTTTACGGTTGGAACTTGGTACCGGACATTGTCACGAGTATTGACAGGTCGTCTAACATACCGTATTCCATCTGATGAAAATATATTAAATTTACTTTCATCGCTAAATAAAACAGTCGACCACTGCTGTGGTGTCCAAGATTTGTACTTTGTAGCAAATGAAAGTCTAGCCTTCCGGTTCTTTACAGAAATCAATGGCTTCTTGCTAGGTCGTCGACCATTCAAACCCAAATTGTTCAAGCGACGTTTGACAGTTGAAACATGAACATTCACACCGTATGAAATGTTTATATCGCGAGTAATATCTACAGCTGTGAGGCGGGGATTCGCAACTGACCTCCGTCGGATGTCCCTATCAACCCTCTCGGTTGTTTTTCGTGGCCTTCCCGATCTTTGAGCATTGTTCACTGTACCACAGGATTGAAATTTTCTGTTCCATACACTGACAATTTGTCTAGATAATCCAAAATCTCTAGAAACACTAGCTTGTGAACGGCCATTTTGTAATGCTGCAATAACCGCCTCTTTAAGATCAGTAGAATACTCTTTAACTTTCGGCATTTTAGTTAGAAGGTTCCGCACAATGTAAACAAACGGCAACACACAGCCAAACAAAATAATCACAAAATAAAATAGGTGTTAGCGCTAACAAATATACCTGTCAAAATACTTTTGAGCGCTAAATTTAGAAAAAACGGACCTTTTAACCTGTGCCCACATCGTCAGGGTTTTTTCCAAAAGATAACAGCTGCACCCTGCTGTGCTCTACCCTAGAAAATAGTCTGCTACTTATTATCTTGCAGGCTACGCCTTCTAATGGCCTAAACTAATTTGTCAAAATACTTTTGAGCGCTACTGTATATATAATAAAAAAAAATTTTGTGTGTGTATTCAAAATAAATGTTGTTTTTATAAATTTTTTATACATTGTGATTAAAAAAAAAAAGGTGAACGAGTTGAACATGAAATGACTGTTGCTCCCAGTCTATTTGATCCATTGGCTCAACAAACCACAATATTTGTAAATCTTCGAAAGTTTATGGCCTATAATATAACTGTATTGTGTTTTACTGATCCTGGTGATGGCCCTCTCAGTAATCCATCATTAGTTGTTACACATGAAGATGGTAATATTTTAAATCATATTATATTTTCTTAGATCAGTTTTACGTTATTCATATTGTATTTTATTTTAGTTCCTGATTTAGTTGGTAGTCTTCATTTTGAAAATGTTTCTGATCGTTCAGTAACTGTAGTTTGGACTGTGCCAGTCCATACAAATGGTCATTTGATTGCATATACTGTCAATTATTCTATTCGTGACCGTCCAGAGTCTGTGCATTCAATTAACACAACATCAGATATTACAAGTATTGTTGTAGACCAACTACAAGCAACTACTCATTATAAATTTGAAGTTTTTGCCTGGACAAAAGTTGGACCCGGTCCAAGTAGAATGGCTACAATTCAATCTGGCATTGAACCTGTTCTACCTAACCCTCCCAGTAAATTGGCCATTACAAATATCGAACCATTTTCAGTTGTACTTCAGTTTACTCCAGGATTTGATGGAAACTCTTCAATTACTAAATGGGTTGTTGAAGTATGTACAAATATATATTTATTGTTAAAAATTAACATTTATGACTCTTTATTTGTTATAATTTTTAGGCTCAAACAGCAAGAAATACTACATGGTTCACTGTCCATGAAGAGAGTAGTCCAGATGCTTCTACTTTAAAAGTTTTACAGCTTGTTCCATATACTGTATATAGATTAAGAATAACTGCTTGGAATGTTGTTGGCGCTTCTGAGCCATCAGAGCCAACCAAAGATTTTCAAACTATTCAAGCACCACCTGCACACCCTCCCTACAATGTTACTGTTCGTGCAATGTCATCGACTGAACTCAGAGTTCGCTGGATTGTAATTATTTTTGATACTTAACTTAAATTTAATATAATAAAAAAATTAATTTTAAACAGCCTTTGCAACAAAGTGAATGGTTTGGTAATGGAAAAGGATACAATATAACTTATAAGTTATGGAACACATCAATTTTACAAACTGTAATAATTGATGACATTACTTCAAATTCATTTGTTCTGGACTCTTTACAAAAATTTACTCAATATGAAATCACCATGAATGCATTTAATGATGTAGGATCTTCAGTCCCTAGTCCTCCAGCTTATGAAAGAACCCGAGAGTCAGGTGATTATTACTGAGATACCTATTGATACTAATGATTGGGTTCATAAATATATCTTAATTTTATAGTGCCTTCAATGGGACCTGTCCATGTTATGGCTAATGCTACATCATCTACAACTATTGTTGTTAGTTGGGGAGATGTACCATCAGATCACAGAAATGGAATAATTGAAGGATTCAAAGTAATACTATTGTATTTTTTGCTTTATTTTTATTTATATAATGTGTTTTTTAGGTATATTACAAACCTGGGACTCGAACTGCCTTTCCTATGCAAATCAAAGACATTCCTAAAAATTCTACATTTACTACTACTTTGACTGAACTTAAGAAATTTGTTCAATATAATATTCAAGTTCTTGCCTATAGTCGATTAGGTGAAGGTGCACTGTCTATACCTCCAGCTAGGGTACAGACTTTTGAAGATGGTATGCTTAAATAAAATGTCATAATTATGTATGCTAATTTACTTTTTATTACAGTACCTGGTATCCCTTCAAATGTTTCTTTCCCAGATGTTACTTCAACAACTGCAAGAGTTATTTGGGATGTTCCTACAGACCCCAATGGAGAAATATTAGCTTATCGTGTTACTTATCAACTTCACAATAATGATGGGTCTAATTATTCTCAAGAATTTCCAGCTTCTGGCAGAACTTTTACGTAAAGAAATCTTTTAGAATTATAGATATTAGTAACTAAATTTTTATAATAAAACTTTTTGTTTTATCTTAAAATTAATTAAACCTTAATTATATTTAATATTTAAGTTTATTTTTATTTAATTTGTATTATTTAGAGCTACAAATCTCATACCAGATCAGAACTATATGTTTACAATAACAGCTCAAACACGTTTGGGTTGGGGTAAAAGTGAATCTGCTCTAGTTTTTACATCAAACAATCGTGAAATTCCTCAAGCTCCATCATCTCCTCAAATAAGTCGTAGTCAAATCCAGGCAACACAAATTACATTTAGTTGGACTCCTGGACGTGATGGTGATGCACCCTTAAGGTATTATACAGTTCAAAAATCTGAAGATACTGGACCTTGGACAATAATTCCTGAACGTTTGGATCCTTCATTTACATCCTATACAGTACAAGATCTTTTGCCTTTTACTCTATATCGATTCCGTATTCAAGCTACTAATGACATTGGTCCTAGCAGTTTTAGTCATGAATCTCCTCAAGTTAGAACTTTATCTGCTCGTAAGTTATATTAGTGTTACCTTTAAAAAACATATAATAAAACAGTTTTTACTAAATACAATTATTCAGCTCCCAGCCGTATGGTTAGTAAAGTACATGTCATTCCTATAACAACTACTAGTATTCGTGTTAGCTGGGGCCCAGTGCCACCCCAATATTGGAATGGTGATACTCAAACAGGAGGATATAAAGTTTTATATCAACCTGTGTCTGATGTTCCTGTAGCACTACAAACTATTCCAAGTCAAATAATTTTGGGAACTAAAGAGAACTCACTTGTTGTTGGTGATCTAGTTCGCGATAGAAACTATGATATTATTGTAGTACCATTTAACTCTCAAGGGAATGGACCACCTTCTACGCCAGTTCCAGTTTATGTTGGAGAAGCTGTACCTACTGGTGAACCTAGAAGTGTTACTGCATTTTCTGTATCATCAACAGAAGTACGTTTATCATGGGAACATCCTCAACAAAATCAACAAAATGGAGATTTATTAGGATATAAAGTAAGATTTTTCATATTTTATTAAAATTAAATATCTAACAGCATAACAAAATAGTGTAATTTTATTATTTCTATAAAAAAAAATGTTAATGTTTATTTAGATATTTTACATAGTTACTGATTCTCCAAATGAGCATAGGATTGAGGAGGAAACTGAAGTTGTCCCAGCTACTTTCACTAGTCATAGTTTGGTATTTTTAGATAAATATACTGAGTATAAAATTCAAATATTGGCCTTTAATCCAGCTGGAGATGGACCTAGATCTACCCCAGTTATAGTTAGAACTCATCAAGTATGCAAAGTTATATATTTTTTTTCAAATTATTTTTAATAAAATTTAAAACTAATTTGTATAGGGAGTACCAGGACCACCAACTGACCTTATGTTTAGTGAAATTACAATGAACAGTCTTAAGGTTTCATGGACTTCACCTAAACGAAAAAATGGTCAACTTTTAGGTTATATAGTTACTTATGAAACTGCCGAACAAAACGAACGTAAGTTATTAATTTTCATATATTTAGGTACATTATCATAATTCAATCAGAAATAGTACTAACGCAAGTTCTGTGTTTTGAATCATTACATTAAGAAGCTTTGTAGATATTTTCATATCCTAATCATTAGCTTATTAAAAAGGATATTAAAATTTAAAAAATAATCTTATTGAAAATTTAATATTATGGATATATGCTGTTTAGGTTTTAGCAAACAAGTAAAACAAAAAGTAAATCAAACCTGGCTTCTTGTTCAACCTTTAGAAGAAGAAGTTACTTATACTTTTACAGTTAGAGCACAAACAATTGATTTTGGAGTAGCAGTACGAGGCAATGTAACAACTGGCCCTCAACCTGGTTCACCTACTAGTCCACGTGATTTATCACTTATAAGAACTGTGTCAAGTGTTGATTTAAAATGGGTGAATGGTGCATCGGGGAAAGGACCAATTCTTGGATATTATGTACAAAGTCGACGAAAAGGTAAATAATTTTATCTAATAAATTAATGTGTTTAAAAAAAATGTCAGTCATTTAATATATATATTTTTTAATTTTTATTTACTCGCCAGCTATTCAAGACTGGGAACATTGTAAGTTTTATTAAAAATGTAATGAAATGTTTTGTGTTGCTTTTGTGAATGATTTGGGGATGATCCTTTTTTATATAAATATATCTAACTAAATTATGCGCAGACTTATTAAATCTTTATATATACAGGGTGGAACAGATCTAATTGACAACTCATATAACTTATGATCTACATAACATTTTAATCTTTTTTTTTTAATCAATTTTTATAATATAGAACTATATTTAAAATGTTTTATGTTATTTTTCGAAATTACAAAAAATATTTTAAAAATTAATTTTTTTAAGATTTAAAAATAGTATTTTTATTAATAAGTTTTAAAGAAAAATGTTGATACCAAAAACCCTTATTTTAAATCAGTAGTTATGTTTATACAGCATTTTGAAGTTTGTTAAATGTTTATTTTTTTACAGTTTTCCTATGGTATCAAATGTGTCCATATTATGTAAAGGACGCAAGCAAACACTGTCTTATTACGTTATTTACTGATAACATTACGCAATTTTTAAAATGTTATGTAGATCATAAGTTATGAAGTATCCAATTTGCATTATTTTTCTTATACGAGGGTTTATGACTTACAAGATGTGGATAATCGTCTTGTACCCACTTCATGTATTAAATTTTACATAAAGTGGGATGGAATGCCAGTTTACATACACTAGTATGCATTACATTTACCAATCTCTACATACTCAATATACGTATTAAAATGCTTGTTACCCAATGAGTACTTTTCCTAAAATTATTGTCGGTCCATCAAAATTTTTTTGCAAAAAAATGAATATTTAAAATAAAAATAAATGGTTTCTTATTAGTCATAAATAATAAGAAATATGTTTTGAATGTTGTCTAAATAGGCAATAATTATTTTTTTACATGTCTACAAAATGATAATTGAATCAAAAATAATAAATGTTGTCAGTTTGATCTGATACTTTTTGTATATTTTTTATAATATTAAACTAATTAATTAGTATGAAAAAAGTTATATCAATCTATTCAAAATGTTATTACAATTATTTTTTTGAACTGCCAATTTATTTAACTTATTTATATTAATAGCGATGAACAATGTAAATTAAATATCTAAATTTACCACTAGCCGTATATTTTATAAGCAATCTATAGGGTTTGTTGAGTTAAGTTAGTCAGATAGATGACCCTTGCTCTGAAGTAATTCCTTATGCAATTTCAGGGCGACTCATATTACATTGATTGGAGGAAAAATAAAAAGATAGACGACCCTCAAATATCTTCGAAAATATTAGAATTGATTATTATTTTATTTTTATAACAATAATTGTTCATTGTTTAGTAGCTTTACAGAAAAACTTTCTGCTATCATTTTTTATATTCTAAACTCTTATCGACTTTCAAATGACAACTCTAATTTTTTTTCCATATCATCAGATTTATTCAATTCAATTTAAAGAAAATTTTTATTCTATTCCAATTAATTGCTCTTGTTTAGAGTTTAGGCGCGATAAAATAAAAAAAATGTATTTATTTTTAAAAGACAGCAACACTATCATGTCATATATCGATAAATTTTACTGGTTATTAATAGTGTGACAACTGTATATATATATATGTTCATTGCATTACTAAAAACTGGTAACAATTGTCGATTAATGACAATTGCACCTAATATAAATAAATGGTTATCTTTTTATCTTCCTTAAACATAAAAGTCTTATTTTTACTCTCTCTCTCTCTAGTAAGTCTTATTACTTACTAAGAATTAAATAAAAAAAAATTTAATCAACCAAACTTCACAGTAAAAAAAATAGGAAGGGTTTCCATTTGAAAAACAAAAGTTAATTTTAGTTTAATGCATAAGGGATGATGATTGTAAAAATTTAATATTTTGAGTGGTTTAACAAAGAATTATTATTGTTGCAAAAAGAAAAAAATAATTAGTTCTTATATTTTAAAGAATATTTCTTGAAACATAATTGAGGTATCACTCTGTATACTATATACATTAAATTGTAAAATAAATAAATACTGATTTTTATTTTTAATATCACAGATCAATTAACTCATGCATATTCTTAACTGCTACCTAATGTTATACACCTATATTTTTTTTAAATACATTATCTTAAATGTGATGTCATATTAAATATAACAAATTTTGTTCAATGCACTATGCTTTGGATATAACACTTATTTTATGGTAATAAATCATAAATATAAATTTTATATATTTTTAAATATTTCAGATGATACACGTTGGGTGACTGTTACAAAAAGTAATAGTGGACCACTTGATGAATTTTCTGTATCCTATCAAAGCTTGCTACCATCTACATCATATTTATTTAGAATTGTAGCATACAATGAACATGGTATCAGTTATCCAGCTTATTGTGATGATGTTGTAAGTTTATTTAAAGTTATTGTTTTATTTTCAATAGTGTTATTTTTAAGATAATTTTTTTTAGGTTTTAACACCATCAAAATTGTACTTAGAATATGGTTACTTACAAATGAAACCATTTTATAGGCAAACTTGGTTTATGGTTGCCTTAGCAGCTGCATCTTTGGTTGTATTAATTATGGTCATAGCTATATTATGTGTGAAAAGTAAAAGTTATAAATATAAACGTAAGTTAATGCTGTATATATTTTTACCGAAAATTTTGATCATTTAATAAATGTAATACTTTACAGAAGAAGCACAAAAAACATTAGAAGAATCAATGGTGATGGATATAGATGATAGGCAACAATTAGCTTTAGAACTTCAACGAACACGAATGTCAAATAATAACACTTTAAGCCGAATGTCTATGCACAATACTTTACATCATTCTCTGCATAGGCATAAACCACCTATTGGAACTCTAGGCAAATCTCCTCCTAGACCTTCACCAGCAAGTGTTCCTTATCATAGTGATGATGACAGTGTAAAAGGTTATGATGAAAATCCTGATGATAGCTCAGTAACAGAAAAACCTTCTGAAATTAGTTCTACTGATTCTCAGGTAATATAATTTAATTATGTTATACTTTTAGTCATTAATATATTATTTTTTTTACTAATTAGGGATCTGAAAGTGAAAATGAGAGTGTAAGATCAGATCCGCATTCATTTGTTAACCACTACGCCAATGTTAATGATTCACTTCGACAATCATGGAAACGGCAAAAACCTGTCAGAAATTACTCTAGTTATACAGATTCAGAACCTGAAGGAAGTGCTGTTATGAGTCTTAATGGTGGACAAATTATAATGAACAATATGGCTAGGTCCCGTGCACCTTTACCTGGATTCTCATCATTTGTATAATTTTTTTTATATAAGTGCCATCTTTACCAGTCCGTCCATGATTATTTAATTAACTAATTTCATTATTTACTTATTAAGTTAGAGATGTATGCCAATTTTATTTTTAACTTAAACATGACTGCGAGTTAGCCAAATTCATAAGTTGTGTTTTTACTTTCTTACTAGAATAATAGACTGATAAAATTATCATTTTTACATAGTTCTATTATTTGGTATGATCTCAATCTATATTATTTTTGAAAAAAATTTGATTACTTAATTTCTTGACTACTTTGAGCACATCTAAAATTTAAATAAGACTGAGTCTTGTAAAATTTTAATTAAAACTGTTTAATCATGTATAGAAAATATTTTAATAGTTGATTTCTATTATAACTTTGTTAGCTTCATTGAAATGTTTCATATGGATTGCAGGACAAACAATTTAGTATTTAAAATGCCATAATTTTAATTTAAATAGGTTTTAAACTAAGAAAAATAATAGGTAGTTCATAGTTATATTGATCATGATTAGACTGATACTTAACTAAAACCATAAGTTTCAATCTTCTTTTATTTTTGTAATGTTTCAACTTATATAATGAACTGATTTTTTTTATCCTTCCTGTACATTTTACTTAGATTATTTGAATGTTTTAAGTATCCAAATCATATTTTCTTTTTAAATTCCAACATCTTATCATAAATTTATTTAAAAATAATTTATTTGTTACTATAATAAACATTCAAAACATGATATTTTCATATGTGATACATTTGAACATTTAACTGCCCTTAATTAGATTAATTTACTTTAAGTTATCATCCTTAAATATAATATTCAACAAATATTTGGTTACTTACTTACTGCAGTAAAATAATCGAAGTATTATTATATTTATAGATTTTTTTTTGTGTACAAACACATGTAATGTCAACTAGAATAGATCAATTGTGAAATATTTTTTAAAATAATGTGCTGAACGTTTATTGAATATTATTGGTTACTGTAATTAAATGAGTATTATTTTTCTAGTTAGTAAAACAATTAACATGAAATTACATTGACAAATTATTTTTTTTGTTACAATGCTATTTTTATAATTTATAGTCACTTACAAGCTCTTGAAATTTAACATTAAAATTATTTTTTAAAATGTTAAATTTCGATTGAACACTAAATTATTGAGCTGCATAATTAATTATATTACACTCATTAATATACTATTATTGATGACTACCATTTGATAATATTGATGAATCAAACTTATTAAGAGATATAAAAATATCTTATACTTGTGTGTTTTCTATCAAAAACAACTTTTGTTACTTAATTATAATGTTTTTAATTCCACTGATTGTGTTGATATTTATTTGTATTTATATAAGCGACTTTTGTTTTGTAAATAAATAAGTGAATATTTGTATATTTATGAATTATTATGTGAAATAAAAGATTTCAATACAACTTTATTTTACTGCATATTAGAACTAATGATAGTTAATTAAATAGTTCAACATTTTGATGTTTAAAGTACTTTAATTTATCACAACTATTATGATATATTAAAATTATGAAGGGTGGAAATGGATTCTATTAACTATGATCCTTATAGTAATATTTTAAATTAAATACGGGTTAAAATTTAATTATGCATCAAGCTTAGTAAATCTGTAAGTAAATTTCTAAAAATAATTCAGTATACTGATAATTGTATTCATTAAAATTATTAAACAATTATTAATGTAATATTTAGGATAAAATCATTTTTGTTATTTTTTCAAACCATTTTTCAATTGATTTTGGACACTTCTCTTTTTTATTGTTTAGTAATGACCATATTGCAACTTTTCCTATATCTAATTTCAAAGAGGTTGGATCAATTAAATTACATAATTCAGATAAGCGATCGTCCGAGGAAAATTTAATTGAATGTATTAAATCCATTTCTTTATCAAAATTTACTTGATCAATTATAAATAATGATTCTGTTGCCAAATATTGATAAAATAAACGCAATAAAGAAACCTCGCCAATAAATGAGTTTGATGGAGATCTTATAATAGTTGTGCCCAATTTCACTGAAATATATAAATAAAAAAAAACTTAACATAAAACATGGTTGTACATGAATAGTTTTGATAGTAATTTATGATCAAAATTTATTTTTTAAAAATAACATTTAGCAGGATTAGGTTTTCAAAAAAATTTAAATATTAATGAGAAAACTTACCATTTTTCCAAATTACTATCAGTTTAACAGATATTTTTGTTATATTTTTAGATTGAAAATTTTTAAACATGTTTAATATTCCAAGTACTTTTTTACAATCCATAGTAAGTGTAGAATGAACATGGTAAGAAATGTCCCAACAAATTGACGGCCACAAAAATGGAAATGCTAATAAGGAATATGGTGGATCTTTTGGATCAGCGAATATAACAGTATCAGTCTACATAAATTAATAAATTTTAATTTTAAATTCAATTATATTTACATTTCTGAACTTACTTTGGTTAATTGTTCTAGTTTTTTGTTGATTTCAGAGGGTGACAATTTTACATATTGCCTAATAGCAACTTTATCATTATTTGTTACTGGTACTTGTTCTTTACTCAATGAAGATGTCAAATTTTTTGATGTAGTAAACTGAGGATCCAAATTATTAACTCTAATTTCGAGTTCTTCTAATGTTTTTAGTACTTCATTATGTTTTTGTAATATTAATTCTATGTCTTTACCAGTTAATTTTATCTCTTCGTTTATACTCTGAAAATCATAAGTGATCTTCTATGTTATTTAACTTAATTAATTTATCAAAAAAAAAAAATTGATTTACCAAAAATTCAAAAAGTAGATAAACAGGAAGAAAATAAAGTTTGTTTAAAGAAAAAGATTCAAACATTATCAATATCAATTTCTAAAATGATGCAAATTTTACAGACATTTTATTAAAGTATTACTTGATTTTAATTCTTTTTTACCTCTCTTGGCCTTAAAAATAATAAAATTTAATTTACATTGTGATAAAAACCATTTAAAATATATAAAAAAGTTAATATTTCACATTCTATTTTAATGAAATAATATCAAGTACATTTAAAGCAATTTAATATTTATACATATACAGATGTCTCCGAGATCTAACTGACAATGCTTATTTAATACAAATATCATTTTCTTTTTAATTTGCTTATTTAGTCTGTTCCAAGTGTATTTTTTTTTATAGATAACAATAAGAAAAAAAAATCAAAAATAAAATTGTACTTCAAAATTTTAAAATACTATTTTTTACAAACAATTTTAGGACCAGTACTCATTATAAGCATTCGAATACAAAGGGAACATACATACACTAATACTTTAATACGACCATAATTTAAAAAAAAAAAAAATGATAATTATATAAAAAGCTATAAATGTTGTCAGTTATATCTGTGACACCCTCAATTTATTTAATAATTTTTTACACATGACATATTCAGAAATGTTTATAGAATTAATCGTTAGTTGTATCTTTACAATTTGATTGCCCAATTATAAAAAATAATAATTTTGATAAACATCATATTATAATTGCAAAATCAATGTGTAAACAAAATTAAAATGTAATATATAAATTAAGTTACAAAAAATGTTATTGAATTTGTATATTAATAGCTAAATTAGGTTGAAACCAGGTACTCAAAAATAATAAAAAAAATTTGACAAAAATCATATTTTTCACTAATATAATATAGAATTTCTAAAGAAAATAAAAAATAGAATACATACTTCGTTGTTTTTATTTAAAAAGTTCATAGCACTTTCTTGGATATTTTTTAACTTGTACATAGAACATGTATTCTTAATTTCTAAAGGAACACTAAATACAGGTTTCAACCGATACATGTTTTAATAACAATAAAATACTCAATTTAAAATATTCTAAATTTTATAATGGCCAATTCTTTTGTAATGAACGATTCACAATTGTTAGAACTACAACGTGTCTTAATCCATATAACTTGCCGACTGTAACATGATATAATTTTTAAAAAATATTTTTGTTATCATGTAATTAAAATGTTATCAATATTATTTCTTATCACCCATATAATATCTAGTGTGACCAACTGGTATTAATCATGAACAATTAAATTACAAGTTTCGTGATTATTTTGTGTTTTAGTTTTAACTCGAAAAAAGATTGAACAATTAATTAAAGATAATTTTTTTTTTAATATTCAAATTATTTGCTAACTCTTGATTGTATGCAGTTATTTAATAAAGGTTTGGCGGCAAACGGCTAACATCTTGTTCATAACACGTTCGCTGATTGGTCAATGTGTAAAACCGTTCTTTTTATGTTTTTTCTCAGATTTTAGTTATAATTAGTTAAATATCGATTAACAAAACATTATTAATTCTGAAAAATTGTAGACATTTTATTTAATATAAAACCGATATCATTTTTGAAAAATTTGATTACAGATGTAACAGCTCAGTGACGGGTAGAAAGCCGATTGCTCTAACCAATCAGGTGCTCCGATACACAGTGTAGGTAAAAAATAGTTCATGGCAAAATCCGTCAATGCAATAGAAGTCGGTAGTACGCGTCATTTACCAATACAGGAGAAAAAAAGAAAAAATCCTGTGGCTGTTTTTTCCGTTTCGTTTTGTTTACGAACGTGTTATAATACTTAAAGCAGCGTGCCTGTACATACTGCTTGCAAGCAAACTGCCCGCCTTGTATGTGTATTAGTGATAATAATGTTTTCGTAACGGAATCTGGAATATTGTGCACGATGATGATGATGCGAACAATCGGGTTTCATGTTTTTGCGAAGGTCACATGACCAACGTCTCGAGCGACTGTAGTAATAGTTGTAGATTAGTTGTAGTGTTCGATCTGACAACTGCAATCGCGCGCGCATCGACTTAACTGGCAAGGGGGCAGACACTGATTATACATCCTATACTATTGTAGTATACAGAAATTTATTTTTTGTTTTTGTTGTTGTAGCGCGCAATACGTGCGTGTGTAAGTTAACGGTCAGTGATAATACATCGAAGACGGATCATAGTGGCGCGCAATGTCTGGCAGGCCCAAGCGCAGGGGCCGTCCCCCGAAAACCGGCGGGACGGACAAACCTAAATTTCAGATGCATTTGTTGAAGAAGCCAAAGTACTTGCAGAATATCGAAACTGCAGCAGCAACTTCTCCAGCAAGTGGTACAGGTACACCTACGGCAAACACTGGCCGAACGTCTTCACGCCGTAGTACTCCTGCATCCTTACGTTCATCTCCTTGTCCAACTCCTAACAGAGCCACCCGACGAGGTAACCAAAAGTCTACACCTAAGTCAGCTGCTAAATCTAAAACTCCCCATGCTCCACCATCAACAAGCAAGAAGAAGAAGGTTATTGAAAAAGTCCATGAATACCATTATGGTTCTGATTTTGAAGAATCTGAAAAGTCAGATATATCTTCTGATTCAGAACAATCTGATACTAATGTAGATGTTGTCGATGAAGTTAGTGACAGTGATTTTTCTTTGTCTGGTTTTTCTGTTGCTAGTCGGGCACGTAAAAGTAATGTCAGCTATATTAGAAATCCTAGTCCTGAGCCTTTATGGATAAGGGATGAAGAAATTCCTAAACTGGAGTTACCTAAATCATCTGAAGACCTTCTTGTGCCTACAGAACATGTTATGCAATCATTATGTATTTATGAAGTTTTGAGGCGTTTTAAAAGTCAGGTAATTATAATTTGTATTTCAATTTTCTTATAAATAATGTTCTAATATGTTAATAAATTTTTACTGTTTGATTGTAAAAAATATTTATATAAATTTATTTTTAGGTACGATTATCACCATTTAGATTTGAAGATTTATGTGCTGCTCTAATGTATGAAGAACAAAGCTATCTTTTAGCAGAAATTCATATGATGCTTTTAAAAGCAATTCTGCGTGAAGAAGACTTGCAGCAAACTCACTATGGTGCTGTTGATCAAAAGGACAGTATCAATAGTATTTTATATTTTATGGATAATATTACCTGGCCAGAAGTTTTAAAAGACTACATAGAATCTGACAAATCATTTGATTCGAATGTAGTAAAAGTATTTAATAATGGAGATGAGTATCCATTTACTAGTATTAAAAATCGCTTAACAGTACTTCAGTTTTTAACTGATCAGTTTTTAACTACTACACCAATTCGAGAAGGTTTTGTTCCTGAAGGTAAAAAAAATACTTATGGCTAAGAACGATAAATACTCTTAAATATATTTTGTGTTATGTTTTAGGTCACAGCTTTCAGTATGATGATCACTGTAGAGTATGTCATAAAGTTGGAGATCTTTTATGTTGTGAAACGTGCCCAGCAGTATTTCATTTAGAATGTGCAGAACCACCATTGCTTGATGTTCCTACTGAAGATTGGCAATGTAATTTGTGTAAAGAACAAAAGGTTATTGGTGTTGCAGATTGTACTCCTGATGATGAAAAATCAGGATTATCATCCCGTCAAGAACACATATCCTATGATCGACATGGTCGTAAATATTGGTTTCTAGTCAGACGAATTTTTGTGTAAGTGCAAATGACAAATTTTTTTTCTAATTAAATATCTGTTATCTTTTAATGACAATCTTGATTAATTTATACTATTGTGTTAATAGTGAGAATGAAGAGACTGGTGAATGTTGGTATTATACAACAGAAGAACAGCTTAGTCTTTTGATAGAATCATTAGATCCTGAAATGGAATTAACTTTATATAATGAAATAGAAAAAATAAAAGGAGAAATTTGTCGTCAAATGCAAATAACTATGGATCTTACAGCTCAATATAGACCATCAAATAGAAAATCATTTTTAGAATTAGAAAATAGTAAGATTCATACAGTGGTTTTAATAAATTATTTAAATATATTTTTATAAAATTTTATCTTTAGATAGTATTATTGCTATGAAAGAAGACATGAAGAAAAAACAAGAAAATGATTCAGAAAAAAATAATGATGATATAACTAATACAAATGATGATCATTCAGATAGTGATTCAAATGAGAATACAAATGATTCTGATAAAAAAGGTTTAAAATTAACTGTTTAATTGTTTATGAAATATCTAAGTGTTTATAAAGATATTTTTAGTAATTAATATTTATATATTCTATTGTAGAAAATCAGGATGCTGAAAAAAAAGATGATAGTTTGATGGATCTAGATGATGCAGTTATTGATGGTCAAAGTAAGTTCTGCTTATTTGAATGTTAAATAATAAAAATTTTAAAATGCGTGTTATTTTTAGGAGTTACACGTAATAGGACATTACGTCCTAGGACTACTTCATTGCCTCAAAAACAAACTCCTGAACAACCAAAAAAACCATCTATTATTGAAAAACAATCTCCTGCACTTTCCTATATTGAAAATGTTGGAGCTAGATTAACAAGATTTAAAGCTCAACATATTGCAGCTGGTACTTTCTTATACAAACTTGGCATGGATAATGGTTTTAAAACTTATGTAAATCAATATACATCAAACCCAATAGCTTTAAATAAAGTCCAAAAAAATGAAGAACGTGATAAGAAGAGATACATGTCTCATAAGTTTATGTTAACTGGGTCTGGTGAATTTAAATGGATGGGACAAATAATTGGTAATTATAATGTTTATTCCCTTTATTAAAGAAATATTATTAACTAAATATTTTTATCCAGGTTCTAAATCAACAATTATTACAACAGTGAAACAAACTATTATTGCATTAGACAACTCTCTTCCATCATCACTTATGCATATGAACTGGCCCACATTGCGAAAAGCTTGGTTAAATCAAGTGAATTCTTGTTCTACCCCTAAAGATTTTGCTCGAGTTATGGTTGTTCTAATGTCTTGCATAAAACCTGTAGTTTATGCATCAGTATGGCATGAGCAACTAGGTACAATTTAATAGCGTTAAAATTATTAAGTTACTAGTTTTAATGTTAATAAATTTTAATTTTAGGACATGTTAAACTTTTTCGAATTACTCATGCTGAAAGAGAAGAAAGAAAAAAAATTGATAAGAAAGATAAGAAGGAAAAAGATGCTGAAGAAGATGAGCGTAACAGAATGACAATTAATTTTGTTAAATATACTCTTGGTTTAAAACATCAGGTTAGATATTAATTTAGGTAAAAGTATTTTTTTTAATAATTATAATTTTTATTTTTAGGTTCATAAGCAAAAAGGAGAAGAGTATCGAATTCACGGACAATGGGGATGGCAATGGCTATCTAAAACCAGAGATTATAAACTTGCAGATTCCTCTAATCAAGGCTTGGCAGCTGGCCCTGCTAAACGAATTTTTCAGGGTAAAGGTAAGTACTTGAAAACTATATATATATATATCTACATTGATAAATTGAATGTTATTACTTTTTTTTTATGACAGATCATAATGGAATTCGAACGTTTTCTATCCCAGAAACTATATATGAGTCTGTAATTAAAAAAGAATGTGTGATTGATCCAGAAGTTTTCAGTGAAATTCCTAATGATCAAAATGTAACGCATTTAGATAATGTTTCTGGTAAGTAAGATTTGTCGAAATTTCACCTTAATAATGTTTGATATTTATTTATTTTATTATAGATATCGATCTTTCAAGTTTTAAAATTCTTTCCCCCGTTTTTAAGTTGGATAACAATATTAATGTAAGCAGCGCAATTAGATCAACAAGTCGTATTTTATATCCCAAACTTGCTAAGAAATGTAAAACTGATATGCTCTTAGCAAGAAGAATGCAGTTAAAAATAGCAGAAGAAAAAGCTATAATTGCAAAAAATCAACCACAGCCAACAGTTGAAGTAATTATTGACTATAAACTATACAAGGTATAATTGTTTGCCAATTAATCATGTATTATTTTTTAGACAAATTCTACTACATCTGCTAATAACACAACTGATACAACAGAACTACTTACTAAGATGCGTGAAAAATCATATATGTTAAACACGCTTCAAAAACGAGTGATAGAGCTTAAACAACATTATTTATCTTTTAACACTATGTCAGAACATATGATTTGTTATAACAGTAGTTGTAGAGCTGCAAACAAATCAAGTATGACAGCTTCATGTTACAGTCCATTATGTATGAGACATGTAAATGTTAGAAATGAATTGCTCTCTTTACTACGAAAAATGAACACATTAAAATCTGAATTAACAGGTAATAATGTATTTGTATATTTGTTTTAAAGAATTTTCTAAATTAACTGATTTGACTTCAGAATTAAAAGCATTAATGCCGAAAGACCAAAATGTATTGAATAGTATTAAATTGGAACACAATCAATCAAATGCAAAAAATGAAGTTAAATCAACTGATACAGCAAAAGAAGAAGTTAAGAAAGATGAAAATGTTGACATTAAAACTGAACAAGTAAAAGTAAAACAAGAAAATGAGGAGATTAAAACTGAAATTGCCAATGAACAAGTTATTAAACCTGAAAAAACTCCAGAAAGTCAGAAATCTGAAGTTACAAATAGCCCTTCAGGGTACTATAAATCACTTTTAATTTTTATAATTATTTATTTACTTATTTATCTTGTTCATAGACAAAGTGTAATGAAACCCGCTAGAAAACGAGGTGGTGCTAAGCGTGAAGGTGTTTTGATTGATTGTGTTGATGATGGTAGGGTGTACTCAACAGATGATACTCGTAAAAAGGTTAATTATTAGAATTTTAAGGAATGATTAAAATATTTTAAAATGTTTGCATATTATTTTACAGATTTACTTGAAGAAAGTTTCAATTAATATAACAAATATTCGCAAAAAGCCTGAAAAAATTAAATACCCCCCTACATCACGATTTTATACTCGTAACAAACAATCTAGTATATTAGTATTACCTAAACATGAAATACGTAAGTTAGCTAGACATGCAGGATTTGACGTTGTTAATGGGTTTAACCCAAATGCCAAAGTAAGCAAATGCAGCCACTTAAACCTTAAAAACATGTATTTAATTAGTTGTTTACATTATCTTTACAGACTAACAATGCTATATGGCCCTATCCTTGTCCTAGACCTTATTTTAAAACTTGCTGGCTGTATAGAACAATTACTTTTAATACTATATCAGCTGCAGCATTGCAGTTGAGAATTCTTTGGGCTTGTTTGAAGTGGGATGATTTGACTGCTAAAACTGCCCACTTAGCTAGTAAACGTGAAGTAACTACTGAAACAGAATTAGTTACAACAGAGACTCTTGAATGCCGAACCTCTGGACAATTTAATGAACGCACTGAATACTTAATACGCAAAGTTGTCATACCCCTTGATATACCAAAACAAGTTAGAGGTATGTGTTTTGAAAGACCACTCGTAATTTAGTCAATTTATTCTCAAGTTAATATTTCTCACAGAAATTACACCAATTCGTAGTGGATTGAGAAAACGAAAACGAGAAGAAACTCCTAGAAATACAGCACCACAAGTGTCTGAAGTGTGGGTTGATGAAAGTAAACTAGAACTTGTTGAGATTAAACAATTCCATGAAAGGTAATAGTTCAGTATATTTTATATTTTGAAAATAATATTACTATTTACTGATGGCAAGATTTTCAGTTACTGAATATCCTTTTGATGTTGTAAAAGTAAACTAATTTAAGTGAAACAATTAAAATTACTCATTTTTAAGTATTTTGAAAAAGTGAAGTTATTACTTTTATTATTTAATCAAACTATAAGGTGTTTCATAAAGAACGCAAATTTTAATTTTTTATTTTTAGTTAATAGTGAGGTGGACATTATGCCCATGCACTTAGACCTGACGGTCAATTGTGCACACCTCATACCTAATAGTCTTGATTCGGTTTACACGCCTAAGTGTTATCACCAAAATGTTATTACATTATACCTATCATTGTATAAAGAGTGGACTATCATGTCAACCCTTGTGGATGTCCAAAGAGTCCTGTCTTTCTGGCAAAATTAGGTATCACTCTCTGGATCTTGAGTTTTTGATATTTTCTTTTTCACAAAAAGGTTTACTCATGTAGTTTGATCTTAGGGTTGATAAGGCTCACATTCACACATTATGTGAAATGAGTCTTCCTCTTCTACTCCACACTTCCTGCATAATGGTGATTCTGAGACCCCCATTGCGTAAAGATGTTTAAACAAGTGGCCATATCCTGTCAATAGACCAGTCAAAGTACTTATTTGATGTCTAGTCCTAGTCATGTTATTAAGATCACCCAACAGTACACCAGGATCTTGATAAATATTTTAAATTGTCTAGGTACTATCGAATACTTCTAGATTTTCCTGTGTTGTACTCTGCACCAATTCTTGGGTAGCGCTTTGAGTAATTCCTCAGTGAGCCCTACCACTGATTCTGGCCCAACATATGTGTTCTCTGCTCCTTTCTTACCTAAAAAGTCAGTTTTTTTTATTTCCAGTGACACTGTTGTGTCCTGGTACCTACGCTAGTATAACTTTGCTGAACATTGATAGTGATTCTTAAGTTTCTCTGCATTCGAGGACAAGCTTTGATTTCACCTGATCATAATAGAGTGCTTTCAGAACTGCTTAACTATTATTTAAGATAGTTATCTTTCTTTTCTTGTATATCAGCAGGTTCTGAGCCCCCACCAGTATCACCATCACCTCTGCTTGAAAACAGAGAGTGTTGTGTTCATTGAAATGCTGACATTTATTCGAGGTTTAATGCCAGCACCTAACTTTGACGATTTTTTGGATCCATCTGTATATATTACAAATCCTCCTTTCTCAGTTAGGTAGCTAATATTCCATTCTCTACGTGTAGTGATTTCCACTTTGTAGGTAATGTTATTCTTAAGAATCTGTTTGATATAGTCCAAAAGGTATTCCAAAATGCCCTAGTCTATTTCTTTTGGTATTTTACCATGTTCTGCTGTGTCGCTCTCCATAGTCTAAATACCGCAGTAGTGAAATCTAAGTGCTGTGGCTTTGGTGTGAGCTTTAACCTTTAGATGCAGAGGAGGTAATCCGATTAGTGCCTCTTATGCGACCGTTGGTGTGATTCTTAATACTCTAGTGATGGCTATGGCAGCCATTCTCTGTATACAACTAAATTCTTTTAGGGAATATTGTCAAAAAACCCTTCAATGTCCAGGAATATACCTAGTGCATACATTTTATACAGTTTTCCTTATTTTAGTGATTAGGAAGTGTAGAGCTGTATCAGTAGATTTTCCCATGTTGTTTTTCATATAAAGGGTTCTCCTTGATGTACCTACCAATAAGTTTGTCCCTAGTCTTTAGAAGAAATGGAGTGAGATTTATTGGTCTGTAGAATTTTTTGCTTTATAATAGTTAGTTCGGTTAGGTTTGGGTATAAACACCACCCTGACCTTGCGCCATCTTTCCAATTGATAACAATAGACAAGGCATACTCTAAATATTTTGCAGAGATGGAGACAATTATCTCTGACTCTTCTTGCAGAAATGCAGGGAATATTTTGTCACAGCCTGCAGCTTTGAAACTTCCAAAGGCTTTTATTGACAATCTTTTTCCACTTATGGTGGTCACTCTCCTGGTTAGTTCCCAATCAGCACGTGTCACTCGTTTGTCCTGTGTAACATGTAACTGTTCTCTGTTGTGTTAATTTCAGAGCCAGAAGAGTGTGTGTTTAGCAAATGTGATAATATTTCATTATCTTTATTGGTAAACATGTTGTCTGGCAGTAGTATTGCTTCAACAATTGAATTTTGATATAAATCAATTTTATTTTATAATAAATACATTATTAATGATTCATATTGTTTCACTATGAGTTGAGGTTTAAGTGTAAAATATGATATTGTGCATATGACCACCTATAATCATTCGGCACATAATGACAGGTAACATCTTGCTGAAACCACATTTCTTCAGTGTCCATGTTATTCAGAATAGGACAAAGAAATTTGGAAATTTTATTTTGACAACGATTCCATTTATTCATTGTTTCTACATTTCCGCATTAATCTTCAAAAAAGTATAGGTATATCAAACCACTTGTCCAAAAGCCACATCAAACTTACTGGCTGTAGATGCATTTGAATTCATGATTTTCTTAGGTTCTAATCTCCCTAAATTCGACACTTTAAAAATGAAAATGCAAAAATATTCAACGTCATTGTCAAAATATTTCTAATTTTCTTTGTCCTATCCTGTATGACATGAATACTGAAGAAATATGGTTCCAGCAAGATGATGTTATCTATCATTATGTGTCAAGCAATTATAAGGGATCATATGTACAATATTTTATCTCCCAACTTAAACCTTAACTCATAGTGAAACAATATAGTATCATCAATAATGTATTTTTTTTTTTAATAAAATTAATTTATATCAAAATTAAAAATTGCGTTCTTTATGAGACACCTTAATTTCCAATTTTCTATAATTTCAAAAATGATAATTCTATAATGTCTTTTTTATACTTTATTGAAGTTATTATATTTTAACAGTCTTTCTAATTAGGATTAACCAACAAATTATTATTTTTTTTTTATTGTATTCTGCAGATTTAAATTTTAGTTTCAATTATATAACATAATTTATATCAGGTTTTTTTAACTTCTCCAAAAGTTTTTGCAAGGTATAATTCAATTTTGTAAACATCTCATTATCTCTAACTTTTATAAATAAATTTCTACTGATATTGTTAATGTATTGTATCCAAAAAAATTTTAGAGTTGAACGTGAAATTCAAATGCAACAAGCAATGAAAACTCGTGCAGCTACTGCTTATGCTAATAGGCATTTAAATAATGATTCATTAGTCAAAAGTATAAATGATAAACAACGGAATTCTGAAACTTCTGAACATCTAAAAGAACAATTGGAACAATCACTTAGGGCTCAGCGCTTAGCATATAAAAGATCATCTATGAATAATGATTTGAACTCTTCTAATAAAAGATTGTGTGTAGATGTATCTAATTCCCATAGTCCTGTGTCTAATAGTTCAACACAACGTATGAAGCTTGTTCCTGGTATGTAATAAATAAATAAAAAAGGTGATAAATATTTTAGAATTTAGCTGTTTTTTAATGCCGCTATCTCCAATCTTATTAATAGGACTGCATTGATTTATTATGCGTTTTATATATATTCATGGGAATTATTTTAATAATTACCAACACTTAATATAGATGACTTCTATATTTTATATTATTCTATATTTTAGAATAGGATTTTCGATTCTGATTGTTTAACTGTAACATATAAATACAGTATGATTTTCTAAGAATACTATCAATCATTTTTTTATGTTAAATAATGATTTATTCATATAAACATAATGATATAAATTTTATTTATTTAAATTAACTATATTAAATATCAAGTTTATTGTAAAAAAAAAATAATATTAATGTTTGAACCAATTATTTATTATTTTTTACTATTAAATGATAATGGTCTGTATAAAATGTTGACTGGATAATAACCAATTTTGCAATATTACATTTTAAGTTATTATAACTTTATATTACAGGTAAGAGGGATGTGCAACATAGAATAATTCTTTTCTATAGATTAGTGAGAGTCGCCGCTAAACACTTCTCTACTCCACATTTCTACTAAATCCTTAAATGCTAATATGTCAAAAAATAATGTTACAAAACTGGTTATCAATCAGTCAAAATTTTATCATACTATTCTCCCTTTAATAGTAGAAAAAAATATTAGGTTCCTATTTAACTTTCAATAGTTACCCCTAAAATCTAACATTAGAAATAATTTTTCTTACAATAAACTTGATAATTTTTGTTTCATTTAAATAAATCAAGTTTAAATCTGTGCATTTTTATGAAAAGTTCATTGTTAAAAAAACGAGGGATAATATTAATAAATCCCACAGTTTATATAAAAAATACTAATAATGTATATAAATTATTTATGTCGACTCCAACTGTTTTTTCAAACTAGTAAAATAAATGAAACTTATATGTCCCAGTTTTATTGCAAATAATTGGTTATTTTTTAGGTGAAGGAGGTAGATTAAAATTAATGCCAAATAACAAACCTTTAAGCCAAGGCTCAAATGTTTTACAATCTTCCCCTAGAGTTACTACTAAGCCTACTACACCAACAACACGCCGTATATTTATGACAAAATGTATGTATCAGTATTAATAATATTATTTTTTATAGATGTAAACTCAAATATTTCCAATCTGGATAATGTTGTAAAATATGATTACTAATGAATTAATTTTTTAATATATAAAACTAAGTACAATAATTTTTGAAAAGTCATTGCAAACTTTAGTATAATTATTTTTAGAGAGGCTAAATTAACCCCATCCCATTTTGCACCTATGATAACTTTGCCATTTTCCTTAAATATTTAATAATATATAAGTTAATAACCTAAATATCTATAATAAACAGTTTTAGTAAAAAATTTTATAATTTTTTATTTGTTACAAATAAATAGGCCCAGATGGAAAGACTCGTCTTGTTACTACTCCTAAAGCTATTTTAACTGATGGAAACATAATAAATCAAAATACCTTAAAAATACACTCAAGTAGTCCACAAATATTAACATGTAATTTAGATTTTAGGCACTGTTAATTATTTAAAAAAAATAATTTTTTCTTTTTTTTAGCAAATACCATGACTCAACAAAAACTTCAATGTATTAAAGGTGAAGATGGTAAAATACAAGTGAAAGGCCTTCTTCCTGGTGAGAAATTATTTTCTGAAAACTTGTACTTTACATTTTTTTATAATTAAGTGTAATTTAATTTAAATTATTTTTATAGGGCAACAATTAATTCAATTACCCGATGGAAAATTACATGTAACAACTAGTTATATTAATCAATCATCATCTCCCCGGACTGTGCAAATTACTAAAAATACCTTAATAGCTAACAATAATAATTTTAACAAAACAGGAACCCAAGTAAGTTGTATTCATATCGACCTAGTGTATTTAATATAATAATTTTTTATAGTAATCCTATCTTAAAAATTGATAAAAATTAAATTAACTTTAGTTATAACTCTTGTTAAATACTATATGACAATATGTTACGTATGTTCTGTTAAATTTTTTATATTAGTTTTAAAGCTCTATTTGCAAAAAGTATGTAGGAGAAAAGAAGGAAATGTCTAGTGATAAAAATATTTGCAACCACTCCTCACCACCAGTCATAATTTTAAATTGTTAAAAACTTCTGAAATACTTATCCAAAAATTGTTATCGACCTGTCATTTTCTTAATTACTTCATTACCTATTAAATAAACTAGTAATTTATGTACACTATCATCTGAAAAATAAAGTCGACACCCGTTTAAGTTATAAAAGATAATTTTAAAAAGTAATTTATAGATGATAAATCAAGAAATACATGTAACTAAAAAAAACAAAAGTTTTTTTCCATTGTTTTTATTTTGTGGTTCATGATAAACCAATCATCCTGTATATTTAATGAAATATTAATTCTTTTAAATAATAATTCAAGTGACAAATTTAACTGTTTTTATTTTAAAATACTATGTTTTTGTAATATTTAATTTAATTTAATGTTCTGTGTTATTTTCAGACAATTATTTTAAATAGAACACCACAAGTTATAAAATCTCAAACGTCTCAGGTAATTTTAAAGTAATAAATCATTGTCAAATTAGAATTTTTATTTAAATTTGATCATATGCTTCTATATTTATGTTATAGTTAAATGCTATTTCAAACATAAAATGACAAAAATTTATAAAATAAATTTTGACCAAAAACTCAAATTTGTTCTGTTTAGTTTAAACATTCACCTTTACTATTCTAAATTATTTGTATTAAAATTTCACTTAAGATTTCAAAATTTAATGCCATTCATAATCAAATCAACAAGTGTATTAAGAATTGTTTTAATTTTTTTTAAGGTTGTAGTTTCTAGTGGTCAATTAGTAAGTGTTTCACAAGGGCAACAAATGATTGTTCAACAACTTAACCCTACTAAGGCTACCATAGCTACAATAAATGGACAGCAAGTTCTAATTCGACCAAATACTGGTAAGTTTTATAAACTATACTTTAATACTGAAATACTAATGATTTTTTCATTATAGGAAGTACTACCAATATAATAAGTACTGGAGGGCAGGCTATTAAACTAGTAAGACCTCCTCAAACAATACAAAAAATTAACTCTGCTGTACCTCCTTTAACACCTCGTAATTCTCAGACCATTGTTCAGGTAAAGTTTATTATAAAAAAAGTGCAACGGTTTAACTGAAAACTCCTATATATAACTTCACACTATTAACATTTTGTTATATATATATATATATATATATATATATATATATATAAGTAAAAACATTTGAAGTAAAATAAAATAAATATATTTTTTTATTACTAAAAACAAATAATAACAAAGAAATGTCAATTGTATCTAACTTAAAGAGTTGTTAATTAGATCTAAGCACTTCTATGAATAACTTAATAATTTGTATAAAAACTGTTAACTAATCTTTTGATTTTAACAGGAACATGTAACAAATACAACTACTGTTGATGAACAAGAAAAAATTTTACTTGCTAATCAACCTCCAGGTACAGTTATTAAATGTATCACTGCACAAGTTATACAAAGTCCAACACATGGAAATAAAATAGTATTACAAGGTTTACAAGGCAATGATTTTACACCTCAACAGCTTCAACTAGTTCAGCAACAAGTGAAACAACAATTATTAAAAGGTAAACAAACAATCTTATATTAGTATTAATACCAACAAATCATTTATTTATTTTATTTGTACTATTTTTTCTAGCACAAGAATCTAGTGGAACTCAAGGTGTTTTGGGACCTACAAAAATTTATTTAGCTGTACAACCACCTGATTCTCATAATTCTGCTCCTCCACAAACAGTAAACACAGTCAAGCCTGCAGAGATTACTCCTCAACAAACAGAGCCTAATAATACAACTGAGAATTCAGCTACCACTGTAAAGTCTATGGATATAACAACCAATCAAGAAAAAACAGTTACAGAGGAAGTAAATGATGCTTCAAATGAATTTGTGGTTACCCCAAATTACATCAGTCAAAGTTTGTTAATTGCTTATTTATTTATTGTAATTAGCCATTATCTTTTGTTATAACCATTATCTTAATTTTACAGCTATTAAAAACGTATTAAAAAATGAGGATTTAAATCCCGAAACTCAAGAAAAACTATTACAGCTACAAAAATACCAAGAACAAAAATTGCGTGATCCAGTTCAACCTCAACCAGTTGTTCCTTCAGTAAAAAAACGTCCCTTTGAAAATAATGATTTAGATTCTGAGCCACCTACAAAAATAGTACCATGTGATAATTTAGGGTAATTTATATAGATATCAATTTAAAAAAAAAAAAATGGTGACCAATTGTTATAAATTATAGTGTTTTTTTTTTCTTTTTTTTACTAAATAAGACTTAATTTTACATATATTATGCCTATAAAATTACAGTTTAATAGATTTAAATTATTAAATATTAAAAAACCATTTATTCTTAGGTTTAATATTAAATTAGTTGCGAGAGTATTGATATTGTTAGTTATTAGTTTAATATTTATTTTAAAATATAAAACAAACAACATAGAAGTGTATTGTGAGGCAAATATTTCTATATATTATAGTTTTTTGTTCTTATTTATATTATTGTGTCTGTCTCTTATCATATGATAATTTTGATAGTAAATCTTGATTGCTTCAAAATAAATTAAAAGAACATCACATGTTGGTTATTATTTTATATTATTTTTTAAATTTGTTTATTTAATATGTTTAGGTCAAATGTACCTCCGGAACAGTCAAAACTGTACCAAACATTAAAACAAGGAGATGATAAGCGTAAATTACAACAAATTCAATCAAAACTTCAGGTTAGCTTATACAAACAGAAAGAATTATTGAAAAAAGATATATTGAAAAAACGTGCTCTTTTGGAAAAGGAATTGCAGATCGAAATTCAGGTACGTTTTCAAGTAGTGTTTTCTTGAAATTCGTTTAACGAACGTCTATCCTGAATTTCGATCCTCAATTCCGATTCCAGAAATGTTGGTCAATTTATTTGCAGCTAGCGGAAGAATTTTTTTTATTTTGTTTACATCATGGCTTTTCTATGGCAAGTTTTAGGGTTTTTTTATCAATATTAATTAATTACTGGCATGTTACAGAATGAAATAGCTGCTGATATAACAGTTACTTCAGCAGATTCAACAACTACAACTAGCGATGTCACTGAAAAATCACCCGTACCTGTTCAAACAACAACTCCTCCTCCTCAAGGAAGTAGTAAACGAAAACATGCTTCAGGTCCTCCTACTACCATACAAACAACACCTCATCTCAATAGTAATTCTAAAATTAATATTTCTGGCCCTGGTCGTCGGAGAATTATAAAAAATTCTCCTCCTACACCTAGCAAAAACCACACTAAGCCAATGTTAGCTCCAGCACGTAAAAGTTCAAGCCCTAAAAAGAATAAAAAGGAAAAAATAATGTGCATATGTCGAACTCCCTATGATAGTTCACAGTGAGTCAAAAATTTCTAATAAAAGTATTCTAAGAAAATTCGGTATATAATAAATTTAATACTAATTTTATATAATCAACTTAATTGGCATTCTTTATAATGTTAAATTAATTTCTTTAATTAGGTTTTATGTTGGATGTGACATGTGTCATAACTGGTTTCATGGTTCATGTGTGGGAATAACTGTGCAAATGTCTAAAAAAATAACTGAGTGGTTTTGTCCTGAGTGCAAAAGATCAAAAGACCCTGAAGTACTTTATTGTATCTGCAAAAAGCCATATGATGATCAACAGTAAGTTTAATAGTATTTTGAGTAAAAAGTATACATAAATTACCCCATATTAAAATGTTTAGATTTTATATTTGCTGTGACAAATGCCAAGATTGGTTTCATGGTAGCTGTGTTGGTGTACTGCAATGTGAGGGTGATAAAATGGATGATTACAATTGTCCAAAATGCATGTCTGATTCTGAAATAAATTTTGCTAACTTAAATCCACTTAACGAAAATGACTATGAAGATTTAACTAAGCTCATAAAACAAATTCAAGTAATTAAAAACAAAAATATTGTATAATATTGTATAATAATAAAATATTTTGTTCTAGTCACATAAAAATGCATGGCCATTTATGGATCCAGTTGATCCCCATGAAGCTCCTGATTATTACAATGTTGTAAAAGATCCTATGGGTTAGTTGTTTTATTAATATGTTATAAAAGTTAAAACAATATCAACAAATTTTTCTTTTTTTGCAGATTTAAATTGTATTGGTAAAAAGGTTGGAGAAAAAAAATATAAAAACCTAACTGAATTTATTCGCGATATGATCAAAGTTTTTGATAACTGTAGATATTATAATCCGAGAGATTCACAATTTTACAAATGCGCTGAAATTTTAGAACAATTCTTTGTTATGAAATTAAAGAATTTCAGAGATAAACTTTGTGAACAATACATGGAAGCATAAATAATATTGTCTGATCTAAAATGTTTTGTATGCAACTTTACTTTTATAAACATGTTTTGATAATAATTTTTATATATATTTATTTTATTTTTATTGATTTACAATCGAATACTACTATTTGTTTTGTTTTACAAAACATAATCACTATATTTTTAATGCATATTTCATTCTTTTATGATTAATTTATTTCTACAATTATTATTGATATTTAAAGGGAGAATGTATTTTTAGTTAATTTTACCATTAATTTTGATTATTTCATATAAGATGGCATATTAATTTCTGCCAATAGTAATTACACAATTAGATTTTATTTATCATTTTAAAATATCTTGAACTGTTATATAGTCATCTATATACTATTATGTAATATGTGTATATAAGTATTTGTAACTAATTTTTATACTTTTTTTGTTGATATATGATAAATATCTGCATGATAACTTGATGAGCTCATTCCATATATTTTTGAAAAAACTTTCTAGTGAACATACTTTGATTGTAAATTAAATACCAAAAAAAATGAAAAAAATTTAAATGCGAACAAACATTTTAGTGTTTGAGTCTCTCATACTATATTATGAATAGTGAATAGTGATCTTTAAAACATGTCAAAATAATCCAATGTTTAATTGTTCATTAAATGTGTATACATAATTTTATTAAATAAATAGAAACAATGTTGATTTTATTTTATAATAAAAAAAAAATAAACAACTAAAAGTAAACAATTTTTTTTTCTTATATCTTTATTTATTTTTTGATGGTCTAATATTTTTTCGTATAAATATAGTGAGGGCAGAGATAATCAATAATAAAAAAAAGATTTTTTTTCAACATTTAAAAATAACTATTTTTAATTCTTTTCTTACACATAGTTTTTATGAATCAATAAAAATTTTAGGACAAATATTTATCAAGTTACAAGTATTTTAATACATAAAATGGCAATGTAGTAAGGGTGAAAAAGCTTGTACTGGTGTACACAAAATACTATGCAGCGTGTCGTCGTACTCTTTGTATTAAAATGCTTTTAACTCAATGATTACTTGTTTTAAAATTGTTATGAACTTATCAAATTATTTTATAAGAAAATGGCTATTTTGAAAAAAAAATTAATACATTTTTTTTATTAGTGATAAATAATAAAAAAAATATTCTTTAAACGTAATCTAAGAAGATAATTTAAAAAAAAAAACCAGCACAGGGGGGTCGTGGCACAGTGGTGACGTAGCATAGTTGGATCAAGTATAATGATATCTGACAATGATAAAACTCACTATCAAAAAAAAAAAAACGCTTCGATGTAAATCTTCAGATAGTGTTTAATTTTAAAAAATTGGTGGATTATTCCAAAAGCTACATGATCTGCTAGTTTATAAATATCCTGATTAAGATAAAGTATGTCGAATGAAAAACGGATATTAAAAAATATTATTTCTCATAAAAAAATTGTGTTGATCCATACACTTTTCAATAAGTTATAGCATAATAAAGTTAAAAATGTAAAAAATAAAATCGAGAATTTTCACATAAAAATAGCATTTGGTAGCCATTTTCACTGTGAAGACAAAAAAAATTCCGAAATTTTTTTTTTCATAATAAAGTACATTACATTAGCTTTAATTTAAGATATATATAAAAGTGTCAGACTTTTTGGAACACTTTGTCTAAGTCTATAATAAAGTCTAAGCAAAAAACGTTTGCAATTATTGCTCTATTTCAAAATTGAGTATTTTATAGAATATGTTAAAAAAACTTTTGGAATCTTTATAGTACTATCAAACCTATTTTAGATGAAAATCAATACGGGTTTCGATCTGCTAAGTCTACAATATCCAACTTGCTTGTTTTTACTCTGATTTAATATACACTATAAGTTCAGGTGATTAAATTGGAGAAGTATACACTGACCTTAAAAAAACATCAATAATGTATAGCACTTAATTTAAGGATTAAAATGTATAGGAATCGATGAGCCAGGCATATATGCTTTCATGGTTTTCTCTGTTTCTCAAAGGAAGAAAACAGCAAGTTGAGATCATATAAAGTCCATTTAAATAAGTTATTATTAACTAATAACAAAACTTTTGTTATTAGTACTCAATCTACAAGATGATAGTATGATGATATTATTGGATTTATAAACTAATAAATTTAATAGCTATTATTATTTTTAATATAATAGATTGTCCTAATATTTTAAGCCAAATAAATTTTCATGTTTCTTTTACAAATAATTTCTATTTTATCATATTAGTCGAAAGTAAAATTGCAGTCATCACTCTTCATTAAATTCTATTACATTTATGTCATTCTTCGCCTAATTTTGACTTTCTTTAGCCATGTTGAAGAATTAATTATCTTCAATTTAATGATGTGTTATATTTATAAATATAGTTATAATAATATATATATATATGTTAATATTATGCCTCCGCTCATATTAAGTTTACGGCTCTTATAAAAGAATTGGCTCATTAGAATCATGTTATTTAAACCTATAAAATATTATAACATTAATTACACAATCCTTTATATAATAATAATTGTAATAAATAAATTTTTGTTTCACTTTTTTTTTATAGCAATAATACCAGTCAACATGTTATTTATTATATCGCTAATTGAATAAATTGTAACACCCACTTTTCACACGACTATTTTTGAAGTCCCTCCATATCCTCTAAAAGTTTAATTTTTACGTTTAAAAACGTGATTTTTATTTCTAAGGGGATTACGAAATGGATGTAGTTAATAAACAGATAACTTTTCAAGAAAAACTTAGAGTTACAACATTATTATACGTAATTCAATATACTTTTAAAGTAGTCTGTTGAATGTATGTTTATATATGTAAATTGTAATTTAAGAACACATTACGGTTACAGAAAAAATCCCGAGTATATTTTAGATATTAATAAAATTAATCAGCAAAAACACATAAGATAAACAGAATATTTATATCAGCCGACAGTGTATTTATATGAAGAGAATATATCAAATGCCGTTAGTGACAGTCAAATGATTTTATGAAGTGGATAAAAATCTTTATTTGGTAAATATAATCAAAGGTGCTATGCCCCCGCATAACCCAGAGTTTTTTTACTATATCAAGATGTTATTAAGGATTATTAGATATGCATAAATGTCTGTCTTTTTATTAAGCCTATTTCAAATATTTAATTTATTTTAGAATAGTAGATTAATAGTAATTCAACAGTAAATTGAATACAAAAACTAAAACTTAAAATTTAATAATCTGCTAAATTTGTAGGATTAATCATTCATTCTTTCATATTAATTCTGATAAATAACTTTTAAATTGAATTATTTTGTATAAAGTTTCCAAAATATAAAATATATACAATGTAGCCGTGTAAATTCTAAATGTAATAATAATATTACAAATGTTCCGCAACATTAAAATTATAACTTATCACCTATCAGTAGAAATAATGACAGTTTGTTTTACTATTTTTGCCGTTAGACAATATACAGAATGTTAAAAAAGTAAGTAACAGATCCATATAGTCTATACCATAGAAAATATTTCTAAGAAAGCGAGATAAATACATTTTTTATTGTTTTAAAGTAATGCTACCCTACAAAACTCGTTACTGTATAATGAAGGATGTGTAGCGGTCTTTAGATATCTCAAACCAGTCCCAATTCCAGAAATTATTTTAAATATGTATAGTAGACTCCTAGTTCTTTAGAGGGCATCACAAGTTCACAGACACTGAATTAATTAAGCACCTGATTGTACAAATACATATTTATCTGTTATATAGAGTATTTAGTAGTAATTCATAAATGTCTAGGATATTATAATAAGTATAAATAAAATGTTTAGATGAAATTAATAATTCTTGACTTCTACTCTTCAACAATAAAAACAACTTCCAACCAAAATTGAAGGTTTTAATCGCTCTCTGTATTAAGTTTTGTTAACAGATTTCCCTCTACTCGAGTTGTGTGATCACAACAGTACCACTTTCAAACACAGTGAGACTGCTCAGTAGCTTATCGATCGCGCACACGTCAGGTAGTCGTTTACCAGAAGTCTGAAAATAATAGAACGGACAAAATACAATATCTTTAGTATAGTCTACAGTATTAAATATATATATTTCCTAAAAATAGGATTAGTAATTTTAAAAAATGTATCGATTCCACAAAATCACCTCACCGGCATTTTCGGCCAGTTGCCTCCTAAACAAACGCATATGTGAGTAATAATAAAACACTTCAATTACAATAAGTTAGGTTTTATTGTAAACACTTAATATTGAAATATTTACCAGCGATAAAATTAGGTTAAAATATTTACTTATCGTCATAATTATAAGTTTATCTAAATGTTTTTAAATCAATGTTAAATGAGCAATAAAAGCGAACTTCAGTAAAACTATTTTTTTTTCGATTATAGGTTATTTTTTTTTTCAAAATAATTTAAGATTATTTAGAATGATTTAATAAATAATATAAAAACATGTAAAAATCATAGAAAGTTTCATAGATTATGTGTTATTGATCGTACTCAAGAGCGAGTATTTAAAAATTACATATTTTTTGTATTCATTACTTCTTCAAGTTGAAATTTAATGCTTTTTATTTGAATAATTTTTGAATTTGAATTTATATAAATAATACAAATATAACAAAATAACACAAAAAACTATTATTTTTTCTTTATTTGATTTCTATTTTTCATTAATCATAATAATATATTTATTAGCATATTTAAGAACTACATCAATTTAAAAAATCGTTATATTTAATAAAATAAGAAATGTCAAGTGCTATTTGTTTATTTAGAGTTTTAAATAAATATATTAATTGTTAATTTGAACAGTTTCACAAAAAAATAAATGATAAACTAATATCAAACGTTTTATTCAATATGAAATTAAAAATAATTTATTTATTATGTATTACTTGACTATTTTTTATATCAAATATAAAAAATAAATAAATATATAAATATTATTTTTAGAGAGTTGATTACTAATCATCAAATTGATTAAATAATTTCATTATTTATGTGATAATAAACTAAAAATATGTAAATTTGATAATAATGTATAATATTATCTTTATTAGTTATCAATGCATAACGTAAACACTCCTACTTACATTTTTATAAAACACAGAAATATTTTTCTATACATAAATGTGCCCGATAGTATCATAGTAATGAATAAATGAGGGTCAAAGAGGAGGATGGTACGAAAAATATAGTGTCATTCGACTTCAAAATCTCAATAATTTCTGTTTTTCATAGAAGCATATAAAATAATTACGAAAATCAAAAATAGACCACTATGCGTGTTCTCCATAAAATGCTTATACTTGAACTGGAGTCACTTGATTTATTTGAACTTTTTGATCAATAGTTTAAAATTTAATAATAAAATAAAATTATCTAAACTAAGTTAGTAGTGTTTAACGATCACTTACTAAGTATTTTTTAAGAACAATAATAAATTATATCTCTGATTAAAATAAGTTATCACGAACTTAAACTCTATTTAAAAATTATATATATATAGTAGAATACTATTTTCGATTTAATAATTTGTTCGAATTTTACTAAAAGCCAATTCAATAATAATCATAAAAATAAATAATTGCTATCTAAAATAAAGTATCGTCAAATGGGCCAACTTAAGGTGATAGTTAAACTTGGGACAATTTTGTAGTGCTCGAGTAAAAGGGCTTAAGTACAAAAATTGTGTAGATAAAGATAAATATATCATAATATTAAAAGAAACACTCTTTTTTTTTTTTGTGGTATAAAGGGCTATGAATTTAAGCCATTTTAACCGAGCACCACAGAATTACATATTTTATAGATTTCATCATTTAATTTATGAGAAAAATATTTTATGTTTCTTAACAATATTTATAGATATTTTACTAGAGCATTAGATTGATACGACAAAATAATAATTAAATATTAAGCTACATTTTATATTAAATAGAAATTATAATTAATCTAACATACAATAGATAACAATGAAATGAAGTAACACATTTCTTACTTTAAGACTTAATAATAATTTTTTTTTTTCAACTTTTTTGTTTTTGCAATTTTTTTTTAAACAAAAAAATAGGATCAGCATTTGAAGAAATATATAAAAAAAAAAGATAATTCCATTTTTTAAAAATTTTTAAAACGCTTAATTCTTCATTTAGATTATTATGATTATTTATTACTTGGATAAATGTTTTAGTCATTTTTTTCTTTATTTAAAACCGTTGAAAATCTAATTTCAAAAGAGAGTTATGTTATTTGATCAGTGCCTTTCATTTCATGATTCATCGTTTCTTTTAGACGATCAATTTCCTATAGAAATATTTTTTCAATCATTTTTTAAGGAGGTCGATCTTTTATGTCTACTGCTTAATCTAAATTGTTGGTTCCTATTTTTTCAATAAATCAGGGTAGACAAGCAACCAAAAATATTTTGATAAACTTATGTGGATATTACAAATTCCAGGTCATTTTATACTCACTATATCAGTACTATTGACTTTTTATATGTTACTTGAAATTTATTGAAACTAAGAAAGTCACTCGGCCTAAATTGACATAACTTAAGTAAATCATGCTACATGCTATAAATTAAAATTGATTTTCAAATATGTAATTGATATATTAGTTAAACAACTAATATATTCAAGTAGACACTTGAAGTAGAAAACTATTTTGTTAAACTAAAATGATAAAATTGTAAGGGTAAATTTGAAATTTTTTTTTTTATTTTCCCATTTTATTTCAGAAATGATTTTTAAATCGAGGAATAAAGTTAATAAATTAAAGAACATTGTATAATTAAGACCTTTTTCTTTACTTTAAATGTCTTATAGAATATAATAGAGTATATAACCAAGTAACGTATAATGTAAGACCCAAATCTAATCAACTTTAATTGTATGATAGATTTACTAATTTTATACAACAATTATTTTCCAGTGAGATGCGCATCATCTTTATTCCCTGGTGAATATACTGCACCAGTGATAAAGACACCAGTACCAGGACCAAAATCTAAAAAACTTTTAGACGAGTTATCTGATTTACAGGTATTTTGCTAAAACAATGATTATTTAATATTAATTATTATTATTGATACTAAAAACAAGCATGTAATAAAAGGCATGTCAATTTATATTAAAACAAACATAATTTTAATATTTAATTTATTATTATCAATTTTTTTTTTCTAGCTAAATAGAAAAAAGTTTTTTTTATCAAAAATATCCTTTAATAATAATTTAACAATTATCAAATTATGATAAATTATAACCTATCAAATGAATAAAAGTATTAAACTAAATTTATCAATTGCATTTGTCTACTTTAAATAACATGTGTGTTAAATGGCATGTGAGTGAAAAATTTCGGATTGAATAAAAACGAGGTCGCAAGGTCTAAAGGGTGATGATATGAAATTAATGTAGTTTGAAATAGTCAACCTAAAGGAACAGGATGCGTAGTTTAATTCAATAAGTGAATTAATTAAATCGCAATAAACAATGGAATAGTTTTTGACAAAAAGTTGTTGCTGTTTAAAATAACAACTCAATTTATATTACATCTCATTAAGAATCATTATCATTTTGATCATAGTCAAATTTCAAAAAGGATTAAGAAAGAGATAATAATTGAATGGGCGTCATACAATAATTCAAAAATAAATAAAAAAACGATGTTTCATATTTAATGATCAGATAGAAAATGTCTTATTTTCCAATTTACCTTACAATTAACGTAATATTCATTTGTATACAAATTCATATTTGGCCAAGACAAAAATGCAGTTGTCCAGGGCCAAATATTTTGATGCGTCAGATAGTAATTTCTCTTTTTTCATAGAATTTAACGACATTTTTTATTTAAGAATATACCATGGAAGATCAATGACATATTTACGAAGAAATTAATATCTCTCCAGTTGATATAAAATCATGACAGGAGTGAAGTTTCTATACTGTCCGAAAGATTCATATACCTCTCTCATAACAAACTTTTAAATACACCACTTAAGAAAGCCCATGATTTGATAGTTGCTTAGGAGCCCCAAGACTAAAAATGTTTGTATATCACTCTAAAATTGTATTTAAAAAACTAACTTAAGGTTTATACTAATGAAAATATTAATTATTAATAAATAAAATAAATTATGAAATATAGCCTTAAATGTGGGATTGCTGTTTTTTGCATGACACCATTTCATTAAATATATTCAATAATCTGATATGTATTTTAAAATTGTCTAAGCTCAGATATTTATCGATCACAAATTATGAAATCATAAAAATCTAAAAAAATATGATTTGATTTTATAAACTTAAATTTAACTAATGAATAGTTGATATTTTCAAAAATACTTTTAAACTACGAAATTCAATTACCTTGTTTTATAAGAATTCAAGAAAAGTTTTGTGATTAAATTATACATATTTTTTTAACTTTATAATACAAGTATTTGCTGCAAAGATATTTAAAACAAACGCACATTCACAAAAATAATTCTATAATCATCCATTATTATTTTAAAATATTATGTATAAATAATTACTTAAATGTAAATCATTTTTTAAATGCTTTTATTTTATAGCAAGCCGGTTCAGTCCAATTATTTGCTGATTATAACAAATCCTTAGGAAACTATTTGGTAGATGTTGATGGTAACGTTCTTTTAGATGCTTACACGCAAATATCGTCTATGCCTTTGGGATACAACCATTCAGATATGTTAAAAGTATTCGACAACGAAGAAAACAAGGTTCGACTTTTCTCTTTTAGTTTTAAGTAGAGTAGTAGTTTAGTTTTAAGTTTTTAGTTTTTATTATAACTAAAATAATTAAGTAGCATTACAATATTTTTTTGTGAACTGATTGTCTTTTTAGAAAGCTATCGTTAACCGACCTGCATTGGGTGTTTTCCCCGGGTCAGACTGGCCAGAAAAATTACGAAAAACATTGTTGAGTGTAAGAAAACATTTTAATGGTATTTTAGTGATTTTTTAAAGAAAATTTTTAACAATCGAATTTAGGTTGCACCGAAAGGTATGAATAGTATTACTACTATGATGTGTGGATCATGTTCAAATGAAAACGCTTACAAAAACATGTTTCTTAAATATCAAAGAGATAAAAGAGGAGGAACGTCCAACTTCACTGAACTTGAAAAAGAATCTTGTATGATTAATTTGCCACCAGGTGCACCGAATTTGTCAATATTGTCCTTTAAAGGGTCATTTCATGGTCGAACTCTTGGAGTATTATCTACTACACACTCCAAGTATATACACAAAATGGACGTGCCAGCATTTGACTGGCCAATCGCAAGTTTTCCCGAATACAAATACCCTCTGCACGAAAACGTTAGAGAAAATCAAGCTGAAGACAAAAGATGTTTGGCTGAGGTATAAATATTTAAGTAAAACTATTCAATAAAAAGTCAATGAATTACTTAAAAATAATTTTTATATTTTAGGTAGAAGAATTAATCGAAAAATGGGAGAAAAAAGGTAATCCTGTAGCTGGAATTATAATCGAACCTATTCAAGCAGAAGGCGGAGATAATCATGCGTCGCCGGAGTTCTTCCAAGAGCTTCAAAAGATAGCAAAAAAAGTGTGTTGTCGTTCTAATTAATTTGAAAAAAAAATAATCATATGATTGTCTCATCTTTTTTTTTCAGCATAATGCAGGTTATTTAATAGATGAAGTACAAACTGGAGGAGGACCAACTGGAAAGATGTGGTGTCACGAACACTTTGATTTGGAAACTTCTCCTGACATTGTGACATTTAGTAAAAAAATGCAAACTGGTGGATACTACTTGAAAAGAGAATTTTTGTATAACACATTTAATTCATTTGATACTTTGTTTATAATTTATTAAATATTTTATATTCATTTCCCAGACCCGATTTGCCGTATCGCGTTTTCAATACTTGGATGGGAGATCCAACCAAAATAGTTTTGCTTGAAGCCATCTTAAATGTTATTAAAAGAGATAATTTACTATCGGTGGTTGAAAAATCTGGAGACATACTCATGTCTAACCTTAGAGACTTAGAAGCTGAATTTCCTGCTTTGATCAATTCCAGCAGAGGACGTGGAACGTTTATATCATTTAACGCAGCTGATAGCAAACTCCGAGATGATTTCGTTAATAGACTTAAAGCTAAAGGTATTTATAAAAAAATTATTCTTTATATTTATTTAAAGGTTATTACTGGAATATTTTTATATAAATAAACATAACTATTATTATTGATAAATAGTCGAATCGAGATTGAAACATCCTCCACTGTTTGATGAGGCAGTGGTGGGATTGCAGTCCCTCCAAATAAAAAAATATTATATCTATATAAAGTTTCAACTGTTGGTGACATTTGATACCTATGTCCCATTCATAATTAAGCATGTGTACTGTATGTAACTACATAAAATAATCTAATGATAAATAATATTTTTTAAGGGGTCCAAACTGGAGGATGTGGGGATATTGCTATTAGAATGCGTCCAGCTCTGATTTTCCAACCTCAACATGCTCACATATTCATCGATAGACTTCGTCAAGTGTTATCCGAAACTAAATAAGTATAGTGAATAAAATGTTGATTTTGCATTTTTATTTGTTAATAATATTTTTGTGATAATTTTACTATGTCTTCCAAATGTTTCAATGTCTTCCAAAAAAATAAAATAAGAAAGCTATTTATAATAATTATTGTATTCCGTAACAATGTCCTTAATGTGGCCGAATGATAGATAAATTATATTTGTAATTTATTATAATTAATTAAATATTATAGTAATAATTCAACATTTTTAATGTGATATGTGTTTCTTTTATAGAGAATAAATTATTCTCGTTAAGTTTAAATAAATATTCAATAAGTTTTAATTTTTATACATTTAATTTTATGTACACCATAAAAAAATTAGGTTACAATTTACACTAAATGTCAGTCATTTATACTGTAAAAAACATCCAATTATTTTAAGTTTAATACATAAAAATAATACATTATCTTTAAAAAATGAGACTCTAAAAAACCTACGCTACATATCAACAACATCACTCAAAAATAGGCAATCTAAGAGACAGAAAAAATCATAAATGAAACGTTCAGAGACTTTGAGACGATGAATTAAGCTGTAACTAGCTTTTAATAAAAAAAAATATTTTTATAAATGATACTCGCCTATCAATATCATGCGTGAAGAAGTTATTATTATTCGAGCAAGAATTGACCTCATTGACTAATTCATGTCTTTTTTTTTTTCAAAAAATAAAAAACCAATTTGTGGTATGATTTCACAACACACCACATCATCACTGAGTGCTTGAATTACTCAAATGCCGTAATAGTAACATGGGGGGTATGTAGGGATGGCAATAAAACTTTACCTAGGACGTCAAAACTCTAAATACGTCTTTGAGTTTAGCTAATTAATTGTAGATAAAATTTATTCACACAACATTATAAAAATAATTGTCAAAAGTCATAAATTGTAAAAATAAAAGTAGATTAATAAAGCAAAAATGAAATGAAATCGTTTTATATGTTACATCAAATTGTAATTAAAATGTTAATTTATTAAAAAATTATTATTTTAAACTTTACAAATGTTATCAGTAATATCCTATGTATGTACAAATATATTTAACTCGTTTTAAGGTTTATCTCCAGAGCGATGGTTATAGGACCAAGGTTGGAGCTATACTGTCGACTTATCTTGTTTCCTATTTATTTATGTAATTTTTGTTGTTCTTGTTTTCGTCGTTATTATTTTTATTTTTGTTGTTATTGTTTTGTTTTTATCGTTATAATTGTTTTTGTCGTTGTTTGTACTATGTTTGTTATTTCTGTTTTTCATTGAACGTGAAAAAAATTATTTTATTCGATGGCTGAGAACAATAAAGAATGAAGTGCATTTCTGACAAAAATGATTTGACCCTTTAGCAGGCGCGTGCCTATTTTTAACGTTCATAGTCTCGTGGGAGTCTATCAGACCCCATTTTCAAAAAAGGTATAAAATAATTATAAAAAAGTTCATTTTATTAATTCAAAGACATTATTTTTTACCATATGATATATAAATATGGATGAAAATTCAAAAATAAAAATTCAAAAATAAATCAATTACAAAATTATGTGCATTACTAAAAATTATATTACAAAAAAAAAAAGCTTAATTTTCAAAATTTCATTAAAAAATTTTGGTTTGTAAAAAAATTATTTTAACTGCAAAATCTTCTTTTTAAAACGGTAAAAAAAAGCTTTTATTATTACAAAATGTAATTTAATTAATTTTTTTGTATTTCTTTGAGCTCAAACACGGATTATATTTATTAGTTTTATGTGTATTTACATTTATACAATCATTTTTCTGAATTGAATTTCTTTATTATTAATATTACAATACGTTCAATTATTATGATACGAGTATATACAATTATTCTGAATCTGTTGAACATTGATTTTTCTCCCAACAATCTTTGCATACTGTTTAATATACGCGATGTATTTATTACATGTTTTGTTCTTATTTGCTCCGTATCATTGAGTAGTAGAAATTCTAAATAGATTATTTATTTTTAAAACATAATTGCACAATCGGAGGCAGATTCACATAATTCCAATTCCACAATATTATATCGATTATAAAATTGCATTTACGATAAAACGATATTTTGAAAAAAATAAGTCAACAAAAAAAATTATAACGTTACAAGTCAATATGACCCATTTCAATTTTGATGGATATTTTAAGTCATACATTTCTTTTTCGAAGGTATTTATTTATGAAAGTCGATACAATATTACTATAAAACCATCTTCTAAATTTATATCTATGTACACCTTTTATGCAATATAATACATCCGTTTTTATTTATGTGGGGGTATTCTAGACCCCCACGCGACTATTTAAGGTTAATTTTGTTATTGTACTAACTTCCTATATTTAAATGTATAATGCAAAAGTTCGAAAAGTAATAACTCAATATTTTACTCACTAATCGCATTAAAAAATTGATAATATATGAGAAGTAATAGTACAAAAATTTAAACTGCTTCCTAAAATGACAAAAATGTATTTAACTTATTTTTACACTAAACTATCAATATATACATTATCAAGCTTTTCTAAACTAATCCTTAACATAACTTATTCTTTAGCTTCATTTTCTTTTTATCATTTTATAGTTGTACATATTCATCATAATGTGGTTATCAATATGTTAAGGATATTTTTACTTTAGAAAGTATTTTTGTAATAGTTGATTCTAACTACTAACACTATGTGATAATAATTAAATAATATCAATCTACACAAGATAAAAATTTTGAATTTTTTTGCAAAAAATTTTTAAAAATTTGCATAAAATCAATGGTCCGTTTATATATGACTTGTACTGCAAACGCATTAAACACACACGTTACCAATCTGGCAATTTATTACTGTTACATCAGAGTGATAAAAAAACTATTTAGGCAGGTTCAAATTTTCAAAATAATTTTTCTCAATTTAGTAAATCGTTGACAAAAAATTAAAAATATATTAACTTTATATTCAATAAGATAAGATTATATTAATATATCAAATAAGATTAATGAAAATCAATGAAACTGTGGCCTTCCAAACAATATTTTAAAATAAAAAAAAAACCCAGCACAGGAGAGTCGCGGCACAGTGGTGACGTAGCATAGTTGGATCAAGTATAATGATATCTGACAGGGATTAACATCACTATAAAAAAAAACGCTTTGATGTAAATCTTCAGATAGTGTTTAATTTTAAAAAATTGGTGGACTATTCCAAAAGCTACATTATCTGCTAGTTCATTATTAATATCCTAATTAAGATAATGTATGTAGAATGAAAAACGGATATTAAAAAATATTATTTCTCATAAAAAAATTGTGTTGATCCATACACTTTTCAATAAGTTATAGCATAATAAAGTTAAAAATGTAAAAAATAAAATCGAGAATTTTCACACAAAAATAACATTTAGTAGCTTTTTTCACCATGAAGACAAAAAAAATTCCGAAATTTTTTTTACCATAATAAAGTACATTACATTAGCTTTAATTTAAGATATATATAAAAGTGTCAGACTTTCTGGAACACTTTCAAAAGTTGAGCTGAAAAAGTTGTAATTTTAAAACCCCTCCTATGGGCAGGTTAAGGGTCAGATTTATAAAAAAATATATACCAAATGATAGGTAATGACATTAAGCATCTATAAAAAAAAAAGTTATATTGATATGTTCATTTTTTAAAAAGTTACAGCAGTTTTTAGTAAAAAAATTTTCAAAAATTAGCGATTTTTAAATTTGTAATTTTTTTGGAGGTTTCCCCCATTTACGGGGAACGAGGAAAATTTTTTTAATTTTTAAGGGTAATGTCTTCGACTAGATACGATTTGTGATCTTTTGGCGTATCATTGAAAGAAATCCGTTCGGTGAGAGCTGAGAAAAAGTGGTAACAGACAAAAAAAAAAAAAAAAAAACACATAGTAAAACTAATACCTTTTCAGCTTCGCATCGAAGCTAAAATTCAACTAATTGGACATTTTTAAAAAGTAATAATGGTATTAAATTGAAATTAAAAAAAAAAAAGTGCACAAGTTTAATATAAAATTCCCTATAATATAGGGGCACCAACCACTCATTTTATGATAACTTTCAAAAGCGTTTAAAATTAATAAAAATATTCTTTTAAAAATTGTTTCAAAAAAAAGATTATAAACTGATTTAAAGATTTGAAGAACAAAGAAACAGTTTCACAGTGCAGTCACAGTTTAGTAGTAACGTGGCTAGTTGATACTAGTATAGAAGATATCTGAAAATGTTTTTAATCACTAGTATAAAAACGCTTCGATGCAAGTGTAATATATGAACATACACTTATTATAGTATTTAAATTTAATATGTAATTGATATTTAATAATTTAATATTGTAATTTTTACAGATAAGTTATGAAGTAGTATATTTTCATAAAATTTACTTATCTATATGAAATTTTCATCAGAAATCAGAATACATTTTTCAAAACTCATTTTTTCTTCGATAACAATAAGGATCACTTTTACATCCTTCTATTTCCCGAACTTGCTACAGAGGGTGGTGGGGCCCTCTTTGACATGTTAGAAAGTCAAAGATAGTTCTTGGCTTGGCTAATATCGACGGTCGGGTACTATGGTCGGTTTGAATCAGAGACCAGACACTACCAATGAGAAAATCACAAGAAGAATCTCTTTGGTTTCTGGAAATCGACCCCAGGACCTTGTGTGCCAAACTTGTGTTTCTACTCACTAAGCCAAGTCATTCTCTATATTTTGCGGTGATTTTAAATCTGCAATTAAATTTTTTCCATCGTCTCTTTTTGAGATTATTACTAATTAGTAAAAAAAAGTGTTAACATATAAAAAAAACTTAAAAATAAAAGTAATTTTGTTTATCCAATCATTATTGATTTTGATTTTTAATATGTTAAAAATAATCAGTACAAAATTTCATTTTTAACCTTTTTCTTTTTTTTTTAAATTTAAAATTTTAATAAAAAAAGGTAAAACTTTTTTTAGTAGTAGTAGTAGTAGTAGTAGTAGTAGTAGTAGTACAACTGGCAAGTTCGAAATTGACATCATTGTATAGAAAATTTTATCAGATCCAAAAAAATGGTATTATGTATATATGCAGTCAAGAAATTGTATAATTACAATTTATAGTAAATGTTAATATTTTTTTGTTAAAAACACTTATTTTTTCATTTACATTGTAATAATTTCAATAAAAATCAAAGTAATCATTTTTATACGTATTAATCATATTTATCATTTAACTCTTGATGTTTGAAAAGATTCTACAATTTAAATATTCAAAACTTAAATAATTTTTTATGATTTAACTTTATATTCTATGTCAATTAGATCCATTTTATTTTTATGAAAGTCAATGTACTCCCCTTGTAGTGTATTTTAAAATAAAAAAATCGCCTAGTTGTAAATTTTTTTTAAAAGTAATAATAGTGTATAATTGAAGTAAAAAAATGTGCACTAAGCAATTTTATATTAAATTTTTTTTTTGTAAGTGAATGGGATGGGTAATGTGTGCATTTTATAATTTTGGAAAACATACAATATTTGAAAAAAAATTTATGTTTACAAATATTTGTTCAAGTTATATAAGTTTGAAGTCAAAATAAATATTTTCCAAAATAAAAATAAAACGGTTGTTCTCATTTCATTTCAAGGAATTATTCATCCCTTTCGAAATACACTAACGCAGAATTTACTAGTTTCTTATAAACACTTTCAAATAAGTCTTTGTACAACAATTCATTAAAATTTATTGAATTTTCCAAACTGTTATACAAAAATCGTATTTTTTTTCTTTAACTTTGTTCGTTTTCACCATAAAGACAAGTCCAGAAGTCATTTTTTTTTTTAAATAAAAGATTATTACATAAGTTTTAATTTAAGATATATACAAAAGTGTCAGTACTTCCAGCACATTTTTAAATGTTAAGTTGAAAAAGTTAATCTTTGTGGAAAAGTTGATATTTTTATACCCCCTGTGTTTAGATGGTCAAATTTCTAAAAAATATATTCCAAATGATTCAAAAACACTTAAAGTACCTATCCAAAAAAAACTGTTTCGTTTCATTTATTTTTAAAAAAGTTTTAAGTAAAATAAGTTTAAAAATTGTCAAAAATTACCAATTTTTAATGTTATAATTTTTGAGGTTTTCTCCCATTTACAGAAAACGAGGGAATTTTTTTCGAATTTTGAGTGCTATAATTTTGACTGGAAACGGTTTGTGATCTTTTCACATATCGTTGAAAGAAATCGATTCGGTGATTTCTGAAAAAATATGGTAACAGACACAACAAAAAATATAATATAGTAAAATTAATACCTTCTTAGCTTTGAAGCAAAAAAATCCCATAAATGCTTAATATTTATCCTCATTTTTATAATTAATTTTGCTTCTATAAAAATGGTTTTATGCTCCTATCAAAGCGCAAAAGTATAACATCGTTTAGGGTAAGTATAACAAAAATATTATACATTTTTTTAATCTTAAAATAATCATTATTATTGTGGCTAATTTTTTTTACAAATTACCATTCCATTACCTTAATAATAATTAGATATCTACATAGTATATAAAGGTAAAATATTATTTTAGTGTTCACTAAGTAAGGAGCGGGTCAATTTTTACAAGGAATGAGAACAATAAAAGTTTATTTTCTTACTTACTGAACACCTTATATATTTTGTAGATGTCTACATATATATGATTATATATGTATATACTAAATTATTTTCCATTAGTGTGTTTGAGTTGCTGTTATTAGACTAGTAGGAAGAAAATGATCGAAAACCGATATATTTTCATGAAATATAGTCTGTACTATACTAGTTCATTTTTTGTATTTGTGCTTCTCCAAAAATTTATAGTCAATTTATTTCACTACTAGCTATTTAATCCTAAAATTTTAATAGGATGAATGCATGCTAGTAAAATTTATGAGTGAAAAATAAACATTATGTTTGGAAGGTAATTGAATTTTTATTACAACTAAAATAGTTTCTTTTTTTCTAGGGTTTAATTTCAACAATTTTTACCAAGAGAAAATATAAGTCTTTAATGTTTCTTCCGTTCTTGATGACAAACGGACGATAGATAATAACTGTAAATTAAAAATTATAAGTAATTAACCCAATAGACACCGGACATGAAATACACGAACTTAAGCATTTAATAATGTCTTTTTCATTCATACAACAACCCACGTTAATAATATCTATAAACGGGTATAAAAAAATGAATGAACATCTTAATTTCTTCAAAGCCTTAATAGTATTTATTGAAGATATTGTTTTATTAATGGTTCCTGTTTACATTTTAAATTGTCTCATAGTTGTAATGGTACATTGAAAAATAGCTACTACTTTTTTCCTAATTAAACGAAGCTGTATTCAATTACGAAAAAATCAAATAAAGTTGCCAAATATCTTGTCCATACAAAATGATAATATTTCAGCATAGGTGGTCTCTTCCCACTCAAGACAAAATAATAATTTTTATATTTTTGGGTTGATGAGTAGAGTTGATGATAACCTCTAAAATGTTCAACTCTCTCAATGAAAATGAGCAATGCATATTTTTTAAGGAAATATAATAATTAAATATCTTACGAATGATATTAAACGTCAATAGTATTGAAATTTGATCAGTGTAAGAAGGTAAAGCGTTACATAAAATTCGTGAATTCTAATAAATATAACCAACTTGCAAATTTATTTGAAATTTAAATCGACGAGATCATCACTCACAACTGGAAAACGTCAACATTTTTGCCCTTTTTCACACATTAATAGTACCATTTCAAACAGTAATATTTTTTCGCAGCAAATAAACATAGAAAGATTAATTTCATAAATAAAACTTAGATAATTCAACTACTATTTGTTATCAATCTACGAACATGATATGCTTTGCAATAAGATCGAAGAACAAATAATATCAATTTAAAAATCGATCACCAATTGAAGTGATAAGTGTACGTTCAGAGTGAAGTAAATTAAAATTACATTTGGACTGGTGGTGGGGTAGTGTTTACCTACGCGTTGAACAGCAATGAACGATAGTTGTTGAACGCACAATGGGTCTCCGACGGGTCGCGCGACAAACACGGACATCGGCAGCACGTTGCAGCTTGCACCACACCGTCCACACGGCCAATGACACACACAGTCTCCTTCGGTCGACGGTCGTTGTTATCACTTAGTTACTCCACGCGATTAGTCGTCAGCTGTCGGTCGTGTGCGTCTTTACGGGTACCGTCCGTTAGAGTACATACAGTTTTAGTACTAATTGTTAATAATTAACTGTTCGTTTCGTCGTGTGTGGTGATTTTTCGTTTTCTCAATACACATTACTGCCGAATTTCAAGGTAATTCAGTTTTTATTTGTTACAAAGTTTTTCTTAAAACTCCAGACTGAATGTTGTACATTGAGAAAGTGTTAAACGTTATTTTTTCCTATAATATTGGTTGTTTTTTTTCTATTCGCGTTTGAATAAATACAAGTTTATCTATTTGTTAATAATAATGTCTTGGCTAAAACTTAATAAAAAAAAAAAAAATTGACATTTTTCTGTTTTTCTTGTTGGCTAGTAATATTGTTTTCATAGGCAATATCGGAATATCTGTCTTGTGTTTGAAATGTGATGGCACAATATATTTTTGAATTAAAAAAATATACATGACCAGTGTTATTTTGATGATCGCCGATTTTTTACTATGGATTTTCCTTACCGAAAATAACATTTTGTTTTGTTATTCTATTAAGATTTTTCTATAGTTTTAACATTAAGATTCAAATATTGTTCGTTATTAAGTTTCTGACCAATGGGTATAACTTTATTCTAGTATTCCTCGAGTTCAGGGAGAGTATTAAATTGACAAAATAAAATGAAGTTATTTATGTGTTGCCAAAGAGATTCACGAAAAGGTGTCAAGTCCATAATTTACCGATTTGAAATGGCTGAAGTGGAGGGGATACAAGATGTTGGCATCCCTGTATCGTTTTAATTTTACATTTTTCATCCCTCCAGTATTTTGTCCAAAATAATACATTATCTTTAATATTTTACATTATTGATTTAAATTGGTGTTTTTGTATTATTAAATATAATTTTGTATTATTATAATTATTTTGATTAAATTTTCTAAAACTAAAATACTATATTATAATAAATTTAATCATTTGTTTTAACTATCCATATCACTATCGTTAAATTAAGATAGTTGAAGTTGACCAATTATTGTATATTGTTTAACAATTAGTTTGTTTACCAAAAATAATAATGGAATAAAACAAAAATTAATTTACTCTGATCCACTTCGACCACTGTCGGTATGAAAATCATATTTCAAATGTGGTAATTTAAAATAATTAAAATTATCTATTATTCGAAATCTCTATTTGTTTCATACAAAGTATGACAAATACGTGGTTTATCTAGAAACTTATAGGACAGTAATAAACCCGCTTTAAAAATGAGTGGAGGTATAAATATTCAAAACAATACAATAATAAAAATAAAATAATAAATATAACACTTCAATTCGTTTTAATATTTTTTAGCGTTATAATTCCCTTCTCACGTTAAAAAAATGTATGAAAATGTTTAAATCAAGTTACTTTAAGACACTAAAGTTAAACTTTTGTCTTTAGATGTAATTACTTGATCAATATAATAATAGCTACAAATTTTACGTCTCGTTTGAACATTATAAACTTTTTCGATAACATCTATGAGTTTTAAAGATTTTTTTAAAACTGTGTAGTACCACAAGAATGACTTCTGTAGTGAACATGAGACAACTATTGTTATTATTATCGAGTAGGTGAGTTATTTATTTCAAATATGATGCTACTATAAATATTTGTGTAAACTACTAGTTCAAATTGAGTGACGCTTTTAATAATTAGTTTCCCTATTTTTTTAAGTTAATCTTAATTGTATATGTTATCTATATATTACTAAGTTGAGACTGAAATGATAAATAAGACAATGTCAAGAATAAAATGCCAAGTCTTTGACCTTGATATCAAATATTATATAATATTTTAAACAAAAAATATCAATGTATCGCGTTTATATTTATTTTTAAATGCAAATCTTCTAAATTGTAATTTCACTAGAAATTATATTGTAAATAACATGACTAATTATTTTATTGGTTATTTTCGCTCTATAACTTATTTATGATTTATGGTTATAAAATATTAATTTTCTGCTGAATACAACGGATGTAAAAATAAATACATTTTTTTTAAATACGTTCTATTATTATTTTTGAAACATGATATTAATTTCCTTTCCTTGAACCGGTACTTTCAATTTTTCATAAAAACAGGATTTATAGGTCTATAGTACAACCTCCTTTTATTATTCTGTTGCGTTGTAACTCGATTGTTGTTTAGTGATATAAAAAGGGTTATCTCTTTGTTTTTTTAGCGTTCCATTCTAATTTGTATAGGCTCCAATTTTATTTCGAGTTGTATCACCGAACACTTAAGAAAAAGCCACGTAATATCTTATAATTCTTTGTGATTACAGAACAAAGAAAATGTTTTTTGTGACACAATACGAGTTGAATCATTTTATTTATTTTAACATTAGGTTTTGGTTGTAGTAATTACATTTCAGACAAGGTATCAAATTTTATTGGCACACGTTAAATCAACTAAAAATAAACAGCCTATCGCAAAAAAGACAGAATTTTAATTGTTACATTTAAAATCGTTTTAACTATAAATCTGAATTTTAAATTATTATTCACTATTATATTCAGTGTCGTTATGAACTTATAGTTTATCGATATCGTACAACGATTTTAAATATTATTAATTTCATATTACGTTTCTTTAACTTTTATGGTCGACCGTTTAAATTATTATCCAATGTGCTCAATAGATTTGTGTTGAATTAGTACTTAATGCGTTGTGTACAAGTGCATCATCTTTTGTCATCGCACAAGTGCTTGCTTTTAATATCTTTAGCTAAGTCCTTGTAGGTTTTAAAATGTTTGTATTGCGTTCTAAAAAAAGGTACTATTTAGTTATTCATTATTGAGCTGTAATTGTTAGCAACGAGTTATTTTTTAATCACGCGTATCGCAAATAATAAGATTTACTTTCACCTTCATTCTTTATTTCAAACCATAGGAAAATAGCATTTTAAAGAACACTTTTTATTCGTATAAAGATTGTTTATCAGTTTCTATAGAGGTGGCTTAGACTTTAGGCAGGACATGCAACGACTTGGCAACCGTCATGCTAAAACGTAGGCTTTAGTCTTACACTTATGTTTGTGTAATAAAATGCATCGGTCGCTGTGCTAGTCCTTAGGGGTTTCTAAAAAACGCATCGTATGAATATTTAAAACATTTTAGTCGATACAGGTTACATTAGAATTATAACATAGCCTATATAAGTAATGATGTTTGGAAAATATGGAGCCTATACATTGATTTTTTTTCCCGTGTACTCTTTTTTTAATCAGTTAACACTGTTATTGTTGACGTTTTACACATTTTCTTACTCCGTTCGACATCGAAGTCTACGGTGCACGTGTTTAGCATGATTTATTAGAATAAAAAAAAAATATATATATATATATATATATATATATATATGCGTAATTGAAAGTATGACTTTCCTGTAATATTACGTTTGCAACAAAGCACAATAAAAATACTATATTTTGACTACTATAGACTCTACCTAAAATATAATACAATTGTAACTGAAATGAGGTCCTAATTAAGCTTTAGTAGGCCCTAGATACTAATTGAAAAAAAAGAGTTATTTAAAAAATTTAAAATTTTCATTATAATTCAAAATAAATTCGTAATTAAACTCGCTGTATCACGAAAGTCTTAAGTACAGTGTTTAATGTACCTAATGCATAATAAGCCCTGACTGCATTAGCCTGTGTAGAAATAATTTTTTTTTTTAATTTTTTGATATACTGTTTGCAATATAAATAAAATAATAAAAATAGTTACAAGTATATAAAATATATATTTATACATAGAGTGATTCATTTATCACGAACCACTTAATTAATCAAAAAATAAAAATAATATTATTCTATATAGATTTTATGACCTACCCAAAGTACGTGGGATTTAGGCGAGGAAAAAGAAGAAGATTCTGTATAGACTATATGCGAGTCATCTATAAGTAAACAAAGACTATACATATAAACGAATAATTATGGCGATATTATTATATAGGGTGTTTTGTAAGTAAGGAAACGGGTTTCTATTGTTCTCATTGTTTGTAACAATGAGAACAATAGAAACCCGTTTCCTGACTTACTGAACACTCTGTATACTAAAGAGTCTAGTATTATCTTTTAAGTGTGTAGATAACACTGAAATAATGAGTACCCAACTTAATCAAATAGGCTTAAATTCAGGAGGCTAGAAGGTCGAGTATCTCGAAGTCTAATACAAAAAATTTTACAAACTGAATTTACTGTTCAGCGCGTATTGATCCTACCAAATTTTTTAATTTGTAAGTGCTTCATTCAATCTCGACGCGCTGCTGCTGATGATCATCTTTAAAAACAGTAATACGTTTAAAATACTATATTTTAACTCATATTAATAATATAAAACGTCGACATTAATATAATTATAATTAACTGATATTCAATAATCGTGGTTGTTCGCCTGGTTGGTGATTGTCACATTTAGCCATGTATATCAATGAAGTAGAAGCATTATATTAAATTACAAAAGTAAATGTTTCTAAGGATTAATTTTTTATTAATGTTCATTTTTTAATGATAAAAAATAATGCTGTGTGCCAGTTGATTCCAATCACTTTTCTACATATAATTATATAGGTGTATTGATTTTAAAACAACTAAAGATTATGTATGAGTTGATTTTTTCTTCATTGTTATATTAGGTACAAAAAAAATATCTTATTACAGATATCCCACCTATAATATGTTATATTCTAAAATATTACTTTATGTATAAAAAAAGTCTTCAGTACCGTTATAGTCATTACAAGTTTAAAATAAGTTTATTACATAACAAAGTATTCGAGTTTTTTTTTTATAATTAACATGGTATTTATTTTAAGTGAAAAATCTTGATTTTTAATACTGATAAATAGATATAAATTTAGTTTTTATAAAATGTTAAGGAATAATATTCAACGTTAGGCTTTGAAAGTGTAAGAAGTTGTACATTTTATTTTTAAATTAATTCAAGTAATAAAACTTCAGAAAGTAATACTAACTTACTATCAGAAAAATTATGAAGCAAACTCTAAGCAATAATTAAAAGAAAAAAACTGTGCTATATATTTTTGCAAGGCCTTCCAGTTGATTTATAAAGGAGCTCAAACCATACAATATTAGAACTCTCACAATAAACAATATATGTGTTTAAAATTATTACCTTACCCTTAGTAGATGCGTTAAAAATAATTGACTAAATTTAATTTAACTTGAATATTTTTATCTCAAGACAATATAAGAGTAAAAAATATACTATCTGTGGATTTTAGTCATAATTCATTATTGTGTTTTTTCTTAGTAAAAAATAGAATAATAGACTAGTGTATCTTTAATGACTCATTATGTTTACTAACATTTTGGGATAGATAATTTATAATAATTATCTTGTTTTTTACTGGTTTTATCTAATTAGTCGTTAAATTTCAGTTATTTTAATAGTGTTATTTTTTGCCAACTCCTGAAAATTAAATGGCATATAAGTTAGTGTTTTATGTGTAGTAATTTTTAAATTTTAGACGATTTAAAATAATCAGTCCGAGTTCAGAATCATGCCGAGGAAAATTTGAGGGTTTTCACTTTCTCCAACCATTTAACAATATTTCATTATTTTAGTCGTCAATTTTTCTGTGTATGAAATTGTTATAAATAAACCATAAAAAAGTCTCACAATTTAAAAAAAATTGTTCAGTTGGTAAAAATAATTTTTTTTACTGCTCATATTTTTACCGGTGTATCTTTTCGGAGTTATCTGTTCATAAACAAAAATGATGTAATTATTAAAACTGCTTAATAATGGTTAACAATACAATTTCTTACAGATTTCAGATTATTGAAACAGACAAACAATTTGTTTGTTCAATAATTTCTATTTTGTTCGATCAACAACTATTGTTGATCTAATAATATGAGAAAGGAGTATTTAGTAATAATGTGCTATAATTAATATCAGTTGCCAAACGTTCTGCACATGTTGTTTAACTAATAATAATTTTGAATACACAAATACTATAGGTGCTTGAAAATATGTATATTAACACCAACCATGATCATCATAGTGTTACTTAATATTAAATAATGTAACCTGTACAAAACATGTGGTCCCGACGTTGTTATATTGTTTCAAGAAATTAAAAACTTTCGTGTATTTCAATCAGAAGCATAATGTGTGCTGAGATTGATGAGATAGCACCTGATTGTATTGGTTTTTAAATAAATCGTATAAAATATTTAGAGTACATCAACAGGGAGTTTATAAAATAACTTAATGTTTTATCAAAATAAATAATTCAATTTTTAACATAACAAAATGATGTTTGATATTGAATACCAAAAATTTGTTGCTTTGGGATATTCCTTCGTTCAAATGATTCATTGTGATTTGTCAGCGTAAAAACTTACTCGCGTTGATCATAACTATCCCGCGTGTCCTAGTTTTTTATTTTGACGTCATGTGTTGTTATTTGTCGTGAAGAATACAACACCCAGTGATCGCGGAATATATATAGAACAATTTTAATAAAGAAAAAACCTCGACCTTAAATGTCTGCAGTTTCCTGGTGTTTCAACACGTTTGTTGAGAATGCGTTCGTAACCATTGCGAGTGGGTATTTTTTAACGCAATTGGCTTACGGGAGGAGACTGGTTTGAAGCGTCAAGGATTTTTCAATCTAATGTCTCAATTCTTTTTGAATGAGAATGAAACACATAACTGTGGAACAAAGTGTGAAATTAAAATTTTTAAACGGATGTCCGGATACCAAAACTTGGAATCTATAATTTATTCACTTTTTTTCATAGGATTTGATACAAGTTCATGGCCGTCACGCATCACTTTAAACTAATTGAAAAATCCATCTAGTTTGTGCATTTGGGCGCATCGATCGGATATTGACCTAAGTTACGGTTTAAGTACATTATTGGCCGTATACTTTTGATCGAAAAGATTTAAAACTCAAGTCATAGATTAAATAAAAAGTGAATTAAATATTTATCTCAACTAACTGATTTTGTAATTTATTATTAATTTTTTTATCCTACTTTAAACGTTTTTACAATAGAATAAAAATATTACCAAACACTATTTCGTTCCCATTAATTATATTTATATCAATCATTCTCAATTACAATAGTAAATTTCACGGTGAATACATCGAACTCGGTAAAGGAAGTATTTAGATATACCGTTTTCACTTTTTCATTTTTATTCGGCTATTGCCCCTGTAGTCCTCTTGTTTGGATTTCCTTATGTATCGTCAAAGGGATTTGACGTGAATATTGTCTATGTATTATAGTATTAAGTAAATGTAAAGAACTACATTCAATTGTTATAGTAAACATTAGTCGATAATGAACTCACGCAATGTCATAGCATTGACTCATTGTGTCTTACAATCATATAAATGTTGAGGTCATGAGAGCTAATATTTAATTTTAAATCGGTTGTTAGTAATTTGTTATTATAATAATTTAATTAAAATATGAGATCCTTTTGCAAAAAAAAAATTGACAATATGATTCATACAGAGTACGGTTGTAGTATATGTCATATTTCCTATTGAAATAGTTGAAATAATGTCTTGAGGACATCTTCTTGTTATTATGTCTATTTTTTAAATCATTATTTGCCATTATCATTATTTAATGACCAAATTAACGCCTTTTTCTTTATCATTATGATTGTATACTGTAACTAATGGTTCTAATGAAAATAGCATGACTTTGTACTTAACATTTACATTACACTTGTTCAATAATTAACTAAAAATTAGTCACCAAAAATGAATTCTATCACATATTTGAGGCATGCTGAATTTTTGTTCCGTTATTTTCTTTACTTGACTTGTTAAAAATAAAGTGAAAATGAAACAAAAGATACAAAATTACCGGGTTTTTGTTGGGCGGGCCGGTTATGGTAACAATTACTTATCAGGTAAAATGTTCCGTTTGAAAATATTTGTGTTATAAATAATGAATGAAATCTAAAATTCGAAATCTTTGTAATGTATAAGTTGCTATATAAGAAACGCAAAAAAGAAGGTCGAAAGTTCTTAGATAAATTGTAATAAATTAATTTAACTTATAATTAAAAAGTAATATATGTATGAATAAATGTATGAATAAATGTAACCTCTCAAATTCCAATGACAATAAAATTATAATTGAATTTCTTGTGGAAACGATATTGTTGTTTACATCGCAGTTGAAAATTTCCAATAAAATTGACAAATAGCCCGAAAATTACAAAATTTGACATGACCTTTACCTTATCACAAAACCCGTCCAAATTTTGATGTACAGTCTAACCTACCTTATTGTCCGTTAATGGCCAGAGGCCCAATATTTTACAATAATGAGTATCATATTGAACCCCTAAGCCAACTAGAAATTAAATATCGGAGGATCAAACATAGCCAGGCTAAAACAAGCTAATAAATACAATAATTTTCACATCAAATAAGTATACCAATTAAAGAATTGCAGAAACCGGTCCTTGGGTGTCATTAATACCCATTAACATTTATTTGGTGGTATAAATTACAAATATTTAAAAATAAAAAAATTATATATGCCATTTATTAATATATTTAATACTTACCCGAAATAAATTTAATTTATAAATAATATTTTTAACTACTATCCTATGAAATAATTGTGTTCATTATCATATTAATTACTAATATACAACACGTAAATATTCCAAATCGCTTTATTTTATACTTTTTGTTGTTTACATAATATAAGTATACATAAATAAATATATATAAATTAATTAGTATAATTACTGTAGTTTTATCAGGCGCTGATGTAGAAAAAATTTCGGGCACGACGTCATTTTATTAACTTTGGCTACGGTTCAATTTATTTTTCAAATCTCGGGCAGCTTTGTAATTAAAAAGTAATTGGAATCGTCATTCCCCTTTCAGGTGACGTACCGTGAATACTTCGTCTTGGAGTATGTTTCGTTCTCCTCTTCAATGGGCCGTTAAAGCGTATTACGTGAAATTCTAGTTTAAATCGATATTTAATATGTCATACCTAGTATAACTGAATAAAAATGTTATCTAACAAATATTAATAAAAAAAAAAAATGGCCACTAACGTTAACTGAAACATAGGATGTTATAACATGATTTATACTTAACAGTGTAAATCAAATTTTATCTAGAGATTCCATTGTTTGATATTCTTTTCGACTTGTGAGGTTTTATATGCAATTAAAGTAAACAATAAATATTTACTTTAAAAACGTCACTCATAACATCAAATACCACAACAATCTACATTTCTTTTACCTAGTAACACTAATGGAAATAATTTATAAAATTAGTAAAGCTTTTGAGAGTGAGATGGCTCCTATTTTATTTTTGGATTGTGAACATATACTAGTGCATGGACATTTTTTTATGCAAATTTTGAGGTAGTCATATTAATAGCTTCATTACTTGTATTATAGTTGACTCTAACAGAAGATCTTCCATTTAAATTTGGACTGGAGCCATACATCCTAGTACATTATATCCACTATTAATCACAATTTATTATTTTTGGAAAATTAAATAGGCTTGAGAAATTGTATTTAATTTCTGCCATGTTCTGTTCTGTGTAAGTCGTCCTCATACAGGTCTTTTGTTGATCAATTTTAATATGAAATTTTTGCACAATTTTTATTTTATAAATATTTTGATTATAAAATTAATAAAATAGATGTATTATTTGTAAGATTTTATGAATAGAATTAACTGCTATAGTCTATGAGTATGTTTAATTATAGACTATAGAAGTAAAGACCACACGAAATGGTTATCTACAGGCCAACATTGGTGTTGGATTGCCAATGTCTCGGTACCTCAGAATTAGTCATGTATTAAAATAAAACTAAAGATACGTTTTAATGATAACACAATTGGAGAATTTCAATTGATCAATTTAAATGTTGCCACTGTGCTGCACACAATATAAAAATGTTTTTGGTTGACTGTCTCTTGTTATTTCAATTAACCTACATTAAATTCATGTGTTATTATTTAACACTTCTTCTTCTACCAAACACTTCTTCTTTAATTATACATTGATATAAATGTTAATTGAGATAATTAAAATAGATGTTTTATGTATGTCGGTAGCTTCTGTATTAACAAATATAATTATTTTTTAAAAAGTAGTAATCAAAATATTTTCAAAAATATACAAACAACAATATGTAGATTATTTTTTTAAATTAAATTCGTAAATGTAATTTATGAGTACAGCGCACGTAGTTTTATATAATTTTATTGTGTCAATCTTATTATGCTTATAAGTTATTTTTTATAAATTACTAGTTTTTTTAATGATTTTATCAGAATTTTTAGAATTTATGACATTCATAAATCTTTAGGTTTTACATACAAATTAGTTTATAAATACTAGGGGTCATTAACAATATTGTTCTCTAATAGGCCCTATAGCCAAATTTTCTATAAGAAATTTAATTTCTTTAATTTCTAAAAGTTAAATTTAGAATATATATATAATTTAATGAATTAACAATGTAAGTAATAATTATTATTATTGTTAAAGTAATTGTTTGAAATAAATTCAATAAATATTTTTTTATTGTTTTAGATCATTCTTTCAATTTCACTAATATATCACAAACATGACAATACCTGTTATCAAATAAAACACAGTCAATAAGATAGGGGTCACTCAACAACCATGAAGAACTTTGAAAGAAGTATGATTTTTAAAGTATTATAAAATATGAATGCCGGTAACGGTATTTACAAGGGGCTTAAAATTAAAAATAATGAATTTAATGTTTTTATAAAAGGTACATGTTTTTATAACTGTAGCCTAACAGCCTATAACTGTAAGGGAACTATGATTCCTTTACCATTTTGAATGTTTCATGTATCCATACAATTCATTTCGGAATAATAATAAATGGTATCTGACACAATACTTCATTTCGCTTATCAACTTACATGAAAGTTTATCGGGTTCTAACTCAACAGGATAAGTTTTGTCTTTACGACGATTTGGGTCTTAATCGCGTTTGGTGCCTCTTTTTTGACATGATTTCCGATACACTTCCGATGACCGGCCGTGTCACTTTGTAAAACACCACAAAAGTTGTAGGGACTGATTTGCTTCGCGCCTGTTTACTTTAAGCTTTGCATTTCTTGTTCGGTCGTAAAATTCATTTGATCGTGAGAGACAATTTTATAAAATATAATGACTATACCCTTTGCCATCTGGCAAAATCAGTCTGTAAAAAGTTATTATTATTGTATTATTGATTCTAAAAAGAATGGTGTACCAGCATTTTGTACCACTTATTTCAATCATTAATGCATTTTATTACACGTTAGTTTATTAATGCAATTTGAATGGTCAAAAGTCTAGAAAAATATTTTTTAAAAATGTATATATTGCTATGTAAGAATATTGTGTAATAAAAAAGAAATAAAAATAAAAATTCCCTAAAAAATCACGTGGACACATTGTGATGAAATGTCTCGTAAATACGATATGTTTTACACTATGACGTTTTCATGATGTTGTTGAACACATTGGTAAGAGTTCATTGACAATATATTCCCTAGGGTGCAAACTATTTTACGAATTTTGAAATTCTTTTGACAACCTGTTCTAACTAGTATAAAAAATAACCTCTGCTAAATTTGGGTACAAACTGATAATACTAACTCGTGGTTAATGAGACAAAGCTTATCAACAACTTTTAAGTATAGAGCAAAAAAGCACAATATCGGAAATTTAAAAATTAAAATAATACACAAAATAATAATAATTTATTAATATTTAATAAATTATTAAAATAATTAAAATAATAAAAGTGTTCTTTATGTATAAACTTTTATGCTTAAATGGACATAAAATTTTTTCAGTAGTATTCCTTTGTTAAATAATTATCATATATGATATAAAAAATCTACTAGAGTATCTGTATCTATAATAAAAAAATAAAATTCAACTTTCCAGTGCTTAATAAATTAAAAAATAAATAAGAGTCACACTTGCTCCAATAAACGGGGCAAGTCATTTTCCCTTATCAATATCATTTATTCAAGTTTCATATTTAAATGATTTAAGGATATTTTTTATTGGTTAGGTTATTAGACAAAAATAAACCAAGAATTCTTAAATAATCTAATTTATAATATTCTTAATAAATAATCAGTATCACACTTGCCCCGGTACAACAAATGTACTAAGGCAAGTGTGAAGTCACATTTAATTAATATGTCATTGGAGACATGTATAAAAAAATAAATCTCAATATTATTCTGAATAAAAAATCTGATTTTAAAGACTTTTAATCGAATTATTTTAACATTTAGTTTTATACATAAAATGAAAAAATTATCAATAAAGACACATTTTTTGATTTGTTTACGAAAAAATAAAAATTTTTCTTTAACCACCGGAATAATGTTCTACGTCGCCGATAAATGAATATTTATTATATTAATCAACTTAATGTCATGAAAGTTTAGATGAGTGAAAGAATAGTATTGCTTGTGATTTATTGTTATCATTATTAATTATCCCTTTAACTAACTATTGTTTTCATTATTCTTTAGATTCTTACAGCCCTAATAGGAAGAAACCGCTTGAAAAAAGGTCATGTACGGATTGTTTGTGCTTCCTTAGTTTTGTAGGATTCATGGCCTGTTGGATTTTTGTAGCTTATTATGGTATAAGACTACCGGATCATAGGCGTAGAGTGGTCAGTTCGGGAAGGTTAAATTTAATTCCCCCCTCAAAAAAAAAAAAAATTTCTTTGTAATAATGCATATATTTACATTATTTTGTTAAATTTCTGGAGGACTAAATTGTAAACTGTGAGGGCTAAGCCCTCTACTCCCCACCCGACGCCTATGGTTAGTTATGTATTTTATTTAAGATCGAAGTTTCTAATATGAATTATTTTATGCTTATACAGCTTATCAAAATGTAGATAAAGAAGTCTTAACTTCACCTACAGATTCAGCCGGGCAAGTATGCGGTTATAGCAAAAATTTAACTAACAAACCCTACTTGTTCTTCTTTGACATCACAGAATGTACTTCACCTATGATTCTTATTCATGGTTGTCAAACTCCTCAGGTAAGCTAAATACAACTGTTTTGTTTTCTATTAGTTCATTAAAATAATATTTTGAAAAATATTGATATTGGTAATGTATTCGATTAGATAACTAAATTCTTTTAGTTTATACCTTTTAGTAAGATTCAGATTTGATTTTTTACTTCAATAGTAATTCATTGAATTATATTGATTAAAATCTTTTGAAATTAGGTATGCTTGGAAACATGTCCGGAAAAAGACTGGACCGTCAAAAACATATTAGACAACAAATCCGGTCGCTACAATTGGCCAGAAATACAAAAAGATTTGATTTGTGTTTCACCTGATCTCAACAAATTAGTTAATTCCATGGATACTCTGAAAAATTTTACGTCCTCAAATCTCTGTGCCAAATATTATCTTAAAAGTTTACCTAGTATGCAATATAAATACATTAATTTTAATTATTTTGTATTAAACATGTACACATGAGTGTTGAAATCTTTTTACTTTCAGTACCTGCACTTGGTTATTGCATTCCTACGCTATCCAACTTGGACGATAGCTTACAGTATTTTACTAATTACAGCAATATAGTATTAAGTAATGTTATAGATGGTAAAAACATGGTGGAACTACTGAAAGATTCCAAAGAAGTAATTATTTTTAATGTTGATATTAATATATGTTTATTATGGTTTTGTTCGTTCTCATTGTATTTAGGGCATTAAACTGATGGTGGACGATATAATTAACAGCTATAGATATATTCTTGCCGGGCTTTTAGTGGCGATTCTAATTAGCCTTTCTTACATCCTGTTGATGAGATTATTTAGCTGGGTATTAGTCTGGTTGTCTCTCATTTCCATCATTTGTGTATTGGGTTTCGGTAAAAATCAATTACTGCATTTTATAAAAGTTGTTTATTACGTTATTTGTCTGTTTTAGGAACTTATGGATCATATTTGAAGTACTCTACAATCGAAGACACTGCATTAGAAGAAGATATAGTAGTGATAGACCCTTCAAACGTTGCAGGAAAACAAAACCTAATCAATTATATTGATGCAAAGTTGAACAAAAAGTCTACGTGGCTTATGTTCACGATTGTTTCAGCATTAGCACTAATTATTTTGTTTTTAGTAATTGTATTCTTACGCAAAAGAATAAGACTGTCCATTGCACTTATTGTCGAAGGGAGTAGGCAAGTTAACAGTAATTTACTAGTTACAAATTTTAAATATTAATTTATTTCATATTTCTATTTTTTTTTATACATAAGTGTAAATACATATTGTTTTAGGGCTATATTAGAGATAAAGACTTCACTGATATTCCCATTGGTCCAATGGATACTGTATGGTGGAGTTATCATTTGGTTTTTAATTATTGCAATATTTCTAGCGTCAATGAAATTATATGTTTTTAAAATAAAAGGATTAGAGAATGACGGTGACTGTATCTGCATTGACGATTATTACAAGGTCCTTGATTTAATTAAAAATATCAGCCGAGTATAGAAGTAAATTATTTGTAATTATTGTAGGACGGCGACTGGTGTACTGAATCTGAATGGGAAAGATATTGTATGTACAACCGTACCAAGACTATGTGTAAAGTAGCGAAATGCGCTTTTGATCATGTAGTATCACAAGACTTTATTACTGGTTTACAAGCATTTAACATTTTTGGCATGTTTTGGCTGTTGAGTTTCGTGTCAGCTTACAGTCAAATGGTTTTAGCTATTACATTTGCTTCGTGGTATTGGACGTTCCGTAAAAAGGATGTACCATTCTTTGCTCTGACTATATCCGTTTATAAGACTATAAGGTAATAGATGTTCACTATATCAATGTAGTTATTATTTCTGTGTATTTTTATTTATCAAATAAACTTAATACTGGTATCGTCAAATCCCATTCAAGCCAAGTCCGGAACCTCGAACTTGTTTAACTAACAATTTTATTTTTCGAAAGTCATCAAAATTTTAAAGTACATCTTATAAGTAGAAACAATTAATGTTTGTAAATTTCTACAGATACCATTTGGGCACCATAGCATTCGGCTCATTGATTATAGCTACGTGCAACTTTATCCGCGCTATTCTAGAATACGTGGAAGTCAAATTGAAAAAATATGATAACTCCTTCACCAGGGCTATATTTACTTGTATGCGATGCTTTTTCTGGATGCTCAATAAATTTCTAAGGTTTATTAATCGAAATGCATATATCATGTGCGCCATGCACGGTCAAAACTTTTATAATTCGGCTAAACGGGCGTTTGATTTATTACTGAGGAATGCATTGCGAGTGGTCGTATTGGACAAAGTATGTAGTAGAAAAATGACAAAAATTTGTTGTCTGTTAATTAAAAAAAAAAAATCGATTTCAGGTTACCGACTTCATATTTTTTATTGGTAAAGTAATAATTACAGGTGCTTCAATAGCTACCTTTTACTTTACTTTTTATGAAACAATAGAACCACTTAAGCAATTTGAGGTGTTTGACAAACAATTTATTCTCAACTATAAATGGTTACCCATGATTGTTGTAGCGTGTGGCTCGTGGATCATATCAGCTACATTTTTCCATGTTTATTCTATTGCTGTGGATACACTGTTTTTATGTTTTTGTAAGTTTATTTAAAATTAAAATATAAATACTAATAAATAACTACCAAATTAATTACGAATACTTGATTATAAGTAGTATATCGTAATAATTCACAATTTAAAATATTAGCAATATAAAGTCGTGACATAGTTGGGACGAGTATAAACTATATATGACAATGATTAAAATTACTATCGTAAAATACGTTTCGATTAAAATCTGTAAATAGTGCTTAATTTCTAGAAGGAATTATTAAATTAATTTTAGAGAAAAAGTTGCTATTTTGAAATCCCTCGTATGTAGGTAAAAGGTCAGATTTCTGAAAAAAAAAATACTGAATTAAAGGGAAATTCCTAAGGTATTTATAAGAAATAAATTATTTTGATTCAAAATTTTTGAAAAAGTTACGAATTTTAAAAAAAAAATTTTTTTTATGTTCAAATTTATTGATTTTCAAAATAGTATATTTTTGAGGATAATATATTCAACTAGATACGATTTGTGATCTTTTGATTCAATAAAATTGATCCAGTGAGAGCTGAAAAAAAAGGGACTAACATACACACACACGCACAAAAAAAATACATAATAAAATTAATACCTTTTCTCATCGAGGTTAAAAATTATTAAAAATATTATTATATTATAAATTTTTCTAGTGGAAGATTCTGAACGCAATGATGGATCAGCAGACCGTCCTTACTTTATGTCACATCAATTAATGAATCTATTGGGTACAAGAAATGTTCAGTCTTATCCTATGCATTAGAATATTACAATACTAAGACAATTTAAGACGTTATTTGTGTTTATATAGATTTACTCAAATTGCCCTGTTAAACAAAATTAATATTTACTAATAATACATCATAATCAATTTTTGTATACCACTTTATTTGTGATAAGAAAATGAGCTTTTAAATGCTTCAGGTATTCTCTCAAGGTTATTTTTGTATTAAATATTAAGTTTATTTATATAAGTTTTTCTAAAAAGATTATTTTTGTGAAGTTCAATGTACATATAAACGATATTAAATATATTTTATATAAAATTAATTTGTTATTATTTGAAGTAGATCCTATTTAAAATTCCTATCATTTTCCTTCAGTATCGATTCATACTTATTTTTCATTCAATTAAAATATTTCAGTTGACAAAAACATTGATGAAGATAGTGTACTAGTGTACTACAACTGATTCAATTAGTCATTTGAATTAAACAAAGAGGCATCTATCTAATTTATAGACAATTTTGAATATTTATTAGTGCTATAAACGAAATTAGACTGTTAATTAAAATAATGTCAAGTTTTTTACTATGTTGTAAGATACAATGAAATATCACACCATTAGATAATGAATAACTCAAAATATTTCATAAGTTTTTGAGGAAAATAGTATAAAGTGTAAAATAATTTCTACATAATATTTTGGTATAATCAAAAATTGATCGATAATATAGTTATTTTTTATGATTTACATTTTTTTTGTTTTCATATATTATATTTAATAAAATTTGTACAGGTTTTAGAAACTTCCAATTTTTTTTCTTGTATATGATTATATTCAGTTAATTCACTAAAAATAATGTGTTATAACAAAATTAACAAAAAGGAAATATAAATAACTCTAAGTTGTTTAATTTTTATAAATACACTATTGATGAATCTGTTTGTCTTATATTCTCAGTATCTTTAAATTTGACTTATTAGTATTTATAAGTAAATAAATTTTTTTTTGAAGTCATTGAAACCAATAATAAGTTTAATTAATTGGATAGCCATTCAATTCTTAGAAATAATATTTTTTTTATTGTTTGTTTAATACATTATTAAAAAATTCAAAATTAATTCAGCATTATTGATTGTAGCATTGTCATTTTTTATTATATAATAATGTAATACGCACTATGAAAATCAATTTATAACTATTATTGATAACTTAAAATGAAAACTGCTTAGAATTCAATCATTTAACAAATGATTTTGTTATCATAAAATGAAGGATGGTATATATCTTATCAAAAGTTTGAGACCAAGTTTATATTTTTTTTATCATCCAAGCGTGTACAAAAAAAATCTAAATTATACTATAGATACTTGGCATGAAATAAAAAACATAGTGTAACTTAAACATAAGTTGTATTTTTTTTGTCAAATGTCCATACAAATAAAACAGTGTACTTAAGCAACTAAGGCTGAAGCAGTACTGGACTCGTATTTCCAGTTGGGTGCAATCTTTGATTTCCGTTTGTAATACCTAGCCAAACGGTGAATACGTGACTCAACCAAAATAAGACGGAATTTGGAATCTCTGTCTTTCCTAAAAATAATATTTTTTTCTTCAATATAAATCAAACTCATTTATTTGAATAAATATTACCTGTTTCTTTCTAGATGCTTCCTGATTGCAACAGCTTTCTTGATTAAATGGTACAAATCTTCAGGGAGACCTGGAGCCAAACCCATTGCTTTCATAATCCTAAGAATTTTGTTGCCAGTTACAAATCTTACTTGAGCCACACCATGGGAATCTCTAAGAATAACACCTAAAATTAACAAAACCATATTTGTTATATATTTTTATTAATTCATGAATTTAAATAAACCTAGCTATACATAAGTATAAAATTAAAACTAGTTCCTTTTGTAGTTCATCATCTAAACTAAACTGAATAAGCTAATATAGAAGAAATGTTAATTTATAATTGTGCTAACCTAATCGTAACATGTGATTGACAATAAAATTTAATAGGATAGATAAATTGCTTCAATGATTAATATGAATTTCCAAAGTAATAATGTTGGGAATATCTATTAAAATAATACTTTAATAGATACTTACACAATCAAACTTTGGATGTTTCAGAAATTAAACATAAATAGCTCTCAGACAAATGCCTCGATAAGTCAGCATGAAAAAACCTAATATAACTGAAAACCAATTATAAAAGGTGTTCAGAAATATATGTATAATGATCATCACAGAGCATTCATACATTTTATAGAAATGATAAAAAAAATGTTAAGTAAACATTTTTAGAACCAATAAATCTTTTTTAAGTATTTTTTCATAATTAATTATAGTTATAAATAAAATAAATTAGAACTATAGGTTAAATTATTGTAAAACATCAACATAAATAACAAATAACATATAATTTAGGCAGAATGAATTAAAATTTATTAACAAACTAAGACTTAAAATATATGTAGCTCAATTTTTAATGATATTCTCAGACAAATGCCTCAATAGTCTACAGAAAAACCTAAAAATACTGAAAACCAGCATTAAAAGGTGATCAGACTTACGTTCAGTAAAATTATCATCATAGAAAAATTGTTAAAAATGATGTACTAAAACAAAATAACCAATTGTGTATAAGGAAGAAAAGTATGTTATAGTATGTATATAAAATATAATTATTTATCATTGAAGTTTATCAATGAATAATTTGTAATTAATTACAATATTCAAGAACACAAATGGAACAGAGAACTGACTTAAGTAAAATACAATTAAAAATAAAAAAAAACTTTAAATGCTAACAGTTGGCAATGTTGTTCATAAACCGGTCTACCCTACTCTATGATCTATATCCCACTAAAAGTGCTGTTAGCGGTTTCATGACCAATAAAATATAAACTCACAATTAATAAAAATTAAATAATCTATCCGTAACAAGATGATAAAATTTATTTCCTCTGACATTGCCTCAATAATCTTCAAAAAAGACTAAAGAATACTGAAAACCAGTATAAAAAAATAGTTAGTCTAACATAAATATTGAACTCCAAAGCGCAAATGATTAAATATTTGATATTAAGTTACAGTATTTCATTAACACTAAAAATATGTAATAAAATATTTGAAGTTTATACACCTGATAAAATCAAATTAAGAAGTAGTAGAATACATCAACTTTAATTTTATAATGATGTTTTAAAGATTAATTTCTACAGTAATATATTTATAAGTATTTCAAATAATAAATAAAAACATTTTTTAGTGAGAATTTTACTTCATTTCTAATGTTACTTCATCAGTATTTAAAGTAACTACTACATTTACATATGCCAAAATTAATTTGTTATTACCAATTTTTGAAGGAGTTAAACCTTTTTTGGCCAATTTGAAAATATGATCTTTAACATCTTCAGCTGATGATTTCAACCATGTTGCTACACTACGACGGTATGGCAATGCCGATTTTGAAATACCTTTACTATAAAAAAAAATAAGAATGAATTGCAAATTAATATAAAAAATCAAAAACACGAGGATGTGCGTACAATAAATTTATTACGCAATTCACTTAACTGTATTTAATTTTTTAGTTATCTTGATTAAAAATATAAATAATATTTAATAATTACCCAGGTGTGTGCATCCGACCCATCTTGATGTTTTTTTATGAAATTCGCACGACGAAAAATTTTTTCTGAATTCTTGGATAGATGAACCTAGGAAAGAAATTCCATACACGTTAAGATATCCTAACATAACCAAAAAGAAGAGAGTATATGACAAAGTAATACCAAAGAGTATTAACTGATAGAATAGTCAAAGACGATTAACTATGTGAGCCGTTATTGTTTTCTCCATGATATTTGGTCTGAATTATTTTATAGCATACTAAATGCAAAATTTTAATACAAAATGACGTTTTAGTTTTAGTATACTAAGCTTAGAGGGTATTAATTTTACTGGATATGTTTTTATTATGTTTGTTATTCATTTTTCTCAGCTCTCACTTGGCCAATTCTATTCTATGACACGTCAAAAGATCACAATTTGTATCTAGTTGAAGATATTACCATCAAAAATTTTAATTCCCCTTTATCAAATAAATAAAATTATTAAGCTCATTATTTATAAAAAAAATAATTAGCATTTCTCGTAAATTTACTTTAAACAGTAATTATAAAATTTCTTGAGTGTATATTAATATTAACAATACCGCTGTATAATGTGTCAATTTCTAAGTTAAGCTAAATTAAAGTCATTGTAAAAATTTCAAACATTTTATAATAAAATTTCAAAAAACCCAACCACAAAGGATCATAACATTAGTTCAATGGATTAATTTTAACATATCAAAATCATATAATAATTCGAAAAAAATATAATTTGTTTTAAATTTTTTTTATATATTAATACTCTTATTAGTAATAATCTCAAAAAAGAGACGATAGAAAAATCTAATTACAGATTTGAAATTAGCACTAAAATTTGGTTTAACAAAGTATATTCTCATCCCTGATGATTTCTTTTTTGAAAAGTATTGTATCAATCTCTTTAATTTCTATACGTTTGTCAGAGAAGTAATGAAATATACTACTTAATGTTTTTTTATAATTTTTCCGTATAAATTACAATAATAAATTATTGAATATCAATTTTATACTAAATTTAAATACTATAATAAGTATTTATTTTTATATTTTACTTATTAATCAAAAAACCACTAATCAGGATACAATTTAGGATATTGGAATTGATGTTGCTTTTGAAATAATCCACCAATTTCTTAAAATTTATCACTATTTACAAATTTAAATTGAACTTTTTTTTATGATAGTGATTTCAATCGCTGTTAGATATCTATACTTGTCCCAACTATTTGTCATTAACTTCAATAAATATCAAGAATCTTATCACTGTAGACTCCCTTCATAAGAAAATATTTCTTATTCGTATTAATAGTATTTTGCTATGTGTTTCTTTTTGTGGCTGCGATTTATTTTTCCAACCCTCAATTAACCTACTTTATTCAACGATATGTCAAATGATTATAATTCGTATTTAATTGAAGACATTACCTTCAAAAATTGAAAAAATTTCCCTCGTTCCTCGTAAATGGGGGAAACCTCCAAAAAAATTACAAATTTAAAAATCTTTAATTTTCGAAATTTTTTCAATTTATTAAATAAAATTGTTATAACTTTTTTAAAAATAACCAAATCAATATAATTTTTTTTATATAGATGCATGATATCTTTACCTTTCATTTAGTATATTTTTTTTATCCTATCTTCTATGCGCAAATGGCTACCGTATTCAAAAATATGCTATTTTTGTGTTAAAATCCTGGATTTTGATTTTTATCTCATTTAGATTCAATAACTTCAATAAATATCAAGGATCCCATTACTATAGTCTCCCCTCGTGAGATAATATTTCTTATTCAAGTTAATATTATTTTACTATGTGGTTTTTTTTATGCCTACGATGTATTTTTCCAACCCTCACTTAACCTACTTTTTCAACGATACGTCAAATGATTATAATTCATATTTAATTGAAGATATTACCTTCAAAAATTGAAAAAAAAAATCCCTTAATCAAATAAAAAGTACCTTAAACAGCTTTATCCATACAAATAATTAAAAAGATTCATTTCTAATATTTTTGATGTATTTATTGTCGAATTAGATTTGATATGATAAAAATATTCAACTGCAAAAGTAAAATTATAATCAAAATTTATAATTCGCTCAATTGAATAGATCTTTATAACAACTTTTTTTTAGTTTAAGTAAATCATTAAAATAAATTCAGTTCTGCATACTTCAATTGTAGAATCTTTTGAAACACCAGAAGTTAATTAGAAATAATTACTATGATTTCTATTTCAGTGATCTATTATAACAAAAATTCAAAAAAAAAAATCAAGCTTTACTAATAAATTTACTGTAAATAGAAATTATAAAATTTCCTGAGTGCATATTAATCTTAACAATATCATTTTTTTCTATTTAATTATGTCAATTTGAAACTTGTTAATTGAGCTAAAAGTTATAATAATAAATAAGTTTTTTTTTATTATAATTTTCACTTTAAAGGGGAAAAAAGTAGGTTCAAAATTATTACTTTTAACATATAAAAAATCAAAATCAATAATAATTTGAAAAAAATTAATTTTAAAAATTATATAATGTATAATTAAAAGAATTACTAATCATGTTATAAATAAGAAAATAGGAGTTTATTTTGCTTTTATAAGTATCCACCAATTTCTCAGAATTAAACACTATCTACAGATGTGCAGTGAAGCGTTTCTAATGATAGTGATTTTAATCACTGTCAGATTAAATCTATACTGGACTCAACTATGACACGTCCCCACTGTGCTGGGTTTTGTTTTTTTGAAGTTAAAACAATTAATATAAACTTATTTAAAACTGCAGTGTTTGAATAATTATTACATAAGAAGAAAATTAATCTACAACAATATAAGAAAATATTCAATATATTCTTTTTTATTCAACATGATATATATAACTTCTGTATCAACATGCAATTAAATATAATTAAAAAGACATTTTTACATATTAATACATAATATATATAAATATAAATATATATATATATATTTTACAACAATAAGAAAGTCTTGCTTTTAGAGTTTTAGTGATCATAAGTATTACAAAAACTTATTAAAAGATTACCATTTTTACAAAGAATTGCATCACATTTTATAATGTTATCATTAAGTACACTTCTGAATTTGTTCAAAAAATAAATTCTCTGTCTTGCATATGGATACCACTTAAAACAACTGTCTTCATTTAAAAATCCAAATGAAACATGTTCATTCTTATCCAAACACCAGTCTAACCAGCAGACTAATCCATGACAGTTACCTTCACTGTAAAAATAAACAAAATTATAAGTAAAATAAAATCATTTAAGAAGAATTTCTTTTTAATGTATTATTTTGCTGACATACTTATGCAGTGATAAAGCTAAGGGTCGCTTTTAGCTTCGATGCGAAGCTGAGAAGGTATTGGTTTTACTATGATGTTTTTTTTTTTTTGTGTCAGTTACCACTTTTTCTCAGTTCTCACCGAACGGAATTCTTTCAATGATACGTCAAAAGATCACAAATCATATCTAGTCGAAGATATTACTCTCAAAAATTGAAAAAATTTCCCTCGTTCCCCGTAAATGGAGGAAAGCTCCAAAAAAATTACAAATTTAAAAATCGCTAATTTTCGAAATTTTTTCAATTTTTTTTACTTAAAATTGCCATAACTTTTTCAAAAATGAACAAATTAATATAAAAATTTTTTTTATAGATGCTTGATGTCTTTACCTATCATTTAATATATTTTTATTATAAATTTAACCCTTTATCAGCCCACAGGGAGGTTTCAAAACAAAAACTTTTTAACAAAAAATTAATTTTTTCAACTTAACTTTTGAAAGTATTCCTGAAATACTGACACTTTTATATATATCTTAAATTAAAGCTAATGTAATGTACTTTATTATGAAAAAAAATATCTTTTTTTTTTATCTGACCCTTTACCTGCCCACAGGGGGGGATTTAAAATGACAACTTTTTCACAAAAAATTTACTTTTTCAACTTAAATTTTGAAACTGTTCCGGAAAGTCTGACACTTTTATTTATATCTTAAATTAAAGTTAATGTAATCTACTTTATTATGCGAAAAAAAAATTTCGGACTTTATTTTATTTTCACGGTGAAAATGGCTACCAAATACTATTTTTGTGTGAAAATTCTCTATTTTATTTTTTACATTTTTAACTTTATAATGTTATAACTTATTGAAAAGTGTATGGATCAACACAATTTTTTTATGAGAAATACTATTTTTTAATAATCCCTTTTTCATTCGACATACTTTATCTTAATCAGGATATTAATAAGGAACTAGCAGATTATGTAGCTTTTGGAATAATCCACTAATTTTTTTAAATTAAACACTATCTGAAGATTTGCATCAAAAGGTTTTTTTTTTTATAGTGATTTTAATCACTGTCAGATATCATTATACTTGATCCAATTATGCTACACTATGCCGCAACAACCCTGTGCTGGGTTTTTTTTACATTACTAATAATGCTTGATAAAATTTTAAATTATTAAATCATAGTCTCCGATATGAATCCATCAATTAATTTGTAAACAAATACATTTAGTAAATATTATATTATAATAATGATTATTATTATTAACACATTTTGCCAACTTACTTTTCAATATGAACATTTAAACTATTCTTTAGAATTAAATTTGAAGCTGAAGTCATATTTTCAAAATTTAATGTAAATAAATTATTAATGCTAGAAAGAGGTTTACTGGGGTACTCCCACAATGGTTTTTCTTCTAATATTCCATCAGATATTTTAATACTTTCCTAAAATTAAAAATATATAGACAGTATTAATATTAATTGATTATCACTGTTCTATTTTAAAAATTAAGATGTATGAAACTTTTTTTATTGAATCAAATATCGACCAGCAAGGAGCTCCTACATAATTTAATTATTTGGAGTTAACTAATTATAATTAACCTGGATAATTTCATTAAATGGTAAAATTTCAAATCCTTCAATTTCTGTTAATGGAGCTCGTATTTTCCATAAATTTTCAAATTCAACAGCTTGAATTTTTAGAGTTACTTCTTTTGGAAATATATTGGCTTTTGGATTCACATGCAATGTATACTTTACTATGTCAATCCATTCAGGGAGAATCCATTTAGAAGGTTCCATAAAAACAGTTGAAATTTCTTCATTCATCTTATTAAATATCAAAATATTAGTTAGAAACTCAAATTGACACATAAGCTTTAAAAAATATAATAAAATAAAAAACTGATTGTAAATAGTTTTGTGATTCATACACTTTCACACAAATACAAGGGAATAATGAAGCAATAACCAACTAAAATTAAAATTATTTAACAAAAAAGATATTAAAATGTCAATTGAAATAAAATTTCAAAAAAATTTCTCTCACTAAAAAAGAAATAAAAAATATTCCTTCCCTTAAAATTTCTTTTGGAATATCAAAATCTTAAAACATAATCAGAATGTCATCAAATAAAAATCAGTAAACAAAATTCACTTACAGCATTTTGATCATTAATAACTTGTAATACATCTTTAAAATTATTTACAATAACAATTTTATTATCCAAGCCATTAATAGTAATGAATGACTTTAAAATTCCTCTAAAATGTTGTGGTCCACTAACATCATAGTAATAAACCTAAACATTTAATATTTTTTAATGTTTATACACACAAAGAATTATTAATATTATTTATGAATAAATAATATTTAATGAATACATTTATGTATTCATGAGAATTGTTTTCTAGAAATACTTCTTTTTCAATGTGTTTGTCTCATGTATTTTTAAATAAAATTTCAGAATTTGTTTTTTTTTTATTATTATTTTTTAATATTTATAATTAATATTAACTTAAAAAAAATTAGGATCAATAGAAAAAATATTTGTGATTTTGTTATAAAAATTATATCCAAATGGACATTAATCTAATTAGTTAACTTTTAAAATCTATAAAACTATAATCATCTTTAATACAATATAGTAGTTTTTTTTTGTCACAAATTTAAAAAAATCATTCAGGATAAGTTATATGAAATAACTATAAAACATAAAATAATACTTTGGTTTTTATATAGAAATATAAAGTACAGAACAGAATTTTAATGATAATAATAAATTTGTAGATTAAAAAATTTATACCTGTAATTTTTTTTAATTAATATGAAAATATAATTAAATATCACACTACCTCTACACCAAAGATAATAGATTTTGGACTTAATTAAACACTTTTTTTAAGTTTTTTATTTTAGTTAATTTTAATAATAATTTTTCTTACAAAAAACCATTGAATATTTCAAGTGTAGTTTTATATATATATAAAGTGATAATATAAAATTACTTACCAAACAGAGCTAGTACTATATTACTGTGAACAAATTGAAAGATGAATTTTTTGGTAGTACTATTATTGACATTTGTGCTAAATTTCATGTCAAAATATTATGAATATTTTATAATATTTACATAAATAGAATTATGTAATATTTCCTACATCTAAATTTATTGAACAAAGAAGTTGCACAAAATTTTTTGTAGAAACCCTTTTGGGGATCAGACTGTCTTCATAAATTATATCACTTCAAGCAAGTCAAAAAAATTGTACTTGTAAATTGTCAATTGACTATTAGAAACATTATTGATAGTTTAGGCATATCATTTGAATCAGTGTAGGCGGTTTTAAGTGACAAATTCGGCTTTAACAGAGTCAAATCTATAATGGTTCCAAAATATCCCAATTTTTTCCAAATAGACAGTTGTATTAACATCTGTGAAACAATGCTTTATAATTATCAGTACGTAATAGAATGCATCATAAATGGAAATGAGACTTAGATCTACGATTATAATCCTGAAATAACGGAACAATTAAGCAAATATTGTGCCAAGTGCAAGCCAAAACCAAAAAAATCATGTCAAAATCGCTCGAAAGTTAAGGTCATGTTACAATTTTTTTAATTATCTTGGTGTGGTGCAATCTAAATTCCTTTTACCAAGCCAAACTGTAAAAAAAGAATATTAATTGAGTGTTATGCTTCCTTTATGTGAAGCTATTCTCACAAATTGGTTCGCAGAGTTATGAAGAAACCTTTATTGGTTTTACATCAGTGTAATGCATTATCTCATACAGCATTGGTTCTTGGTGAGTATTTCACTAAAAATTCAACAAATATTGTTCCACAACTAGCTTATTCGCCTAATTTAGCTTTAAATGACTTCTGGCAATACAGCAAATTTAAGAGACCATTCTGGAGACATCATTTTGACTCAATTTAGGAGATAAAGATCGATCCACAATAGACTTTGAAGGACATTCCAAAGGAGGACTTTGTCAAATGCTATGATAACTGGAATATTTGTTGGCATAAATGTATTGCAAACGAAGAGGATAAAATAGATTTGGTAGAATAAATAAAGATTTTGAAAATGTAAAAAAATTCACCTTTCAATTTGATCACACATAAATATGAAATTAAGTCAATTATTTAACACATATTTTATCTATTATTACCTTTTTTGCACCAAATAAGGCTGCAGAAAGACCTAAAAAAGACAAATTCCCAACAAACAAACAAACACTTTCTGGTTGAATAAGTTTGTTCAAAACGGTGAGATACTTGCTGTTAATATAGTTATCATTCATTAATCCAATAAGAGTTCGACATATAACTCTATGAAAATCACATTTACAATAAGGAAAAGGCAAATCAACATGTGAGCTAAAGAAAAAAAAACTTAATCATTAACTTTTTAATAACAATTATTAATATACATGAATGAATTATAGTAAATAAAATGGAACTAAACTAAATATAGAGTTTAATTGACAGTAATATAGGATTTATGAAAAGTAAAACTAGAAAAATAGTTATGTTAAAATAGTTATATGAAAATATATTTCTTTATTTTCTTAAATATATATATTATAAATAATATTTTTGATGTTCTAAAGAGACAAAATAAAAAAATGAATGTTCATGAATGATATTTAGACATAATCTTTAATAATCAATAGATATTCTCAAAAAAAATCTTGAAAATACAATTATCAGCTTTACTGAAAAAGAATTGCTTATACAAAAACATTTATAAATCATTTTTGACTAAAAAGTCCTTGTTACTTGTAATCAGTAAATATACTATATTTTTAGGTTAATAATAATTAATTATTTAGACCCATAAATTATTTTAGCTTCGATGCGAAGCTGAGAAGGTATTGGTTTTACTAAGATGTGTTTTTTTTTTTTTTTGAGTGTCTATTATCACTTTTTCTCAGCTCTCATCGAACCGATTTCTTTCAATGATTCGTCAAAAGATCACAAATTGTATCTAGTCTAAGACATTACCCTCAAAAATTGAAAAATATACCCTCGTTCCCCGTAAATGGGGGAAACCTCCAAAAAAATTACCCAATCAATATAATTTTTTTTTTATAAATGCTTCGTGTCTTTACCTATTATTTAGTATATTTTTTTTGTAAATCTGACTCTTAAAAATATATAAAAATAAAATTTTTAAAAATACGAGTAAACACGTAGTTTTTCAACTTAACTTTTGAAAATATTCCGGAAATACTGAGTATTTTAAACATATATCTAATTAAAGCTTACTTCTCATCTCTATATGGTATATTATTGTTGTTGCAGAATAATTTTAGAAAGCCAAAGTAATGGAGTTGCATAAAGTCTGNTAAAATGACAACTTTTTCACAAAAAATTAATTTTTTTAACTTAAATTTTGAAAATGTTCCAGAAGGTCTGACACTTTTATATATATCTCAAATTAAAACTAATGTAATGTACTTTATTATGAAAAAAAATATCTTTTTTTTTTATCTGNGTCTTAATCAGGATATTAATAAGGAACTAGCAGTTTATGAAGCTTTTGGAATAATCCACCAATTTTTTAAAATTAAACACTATCTAAAGATTTGCATCGAAGCGTTTTTTTTTGATAGTGATTTTAATCACTGTCAGATATCATTATACTTGATCCAACTATGCCACGTCACCACTGTGCCGCGACCCCCCTGTGCTGGGTATTTTATTTTAAAGTAAAATAAAAATAATTAAATTTAAGATGTAAGCTAAAAATATTAAGTCAAAAAAATTTTGAATATATAAAGTTCAAACTTTAATAGATCTATTACCTAGTTTTATTTGTATCAAACCAAAAAGATAGCTCATCATGATATCCAAACAAGTAAACATCTTCTTTAGATTTCAGAGCAATGTCTTCTGAAAAATAGTATACTCCTTGTATCCAGTGATCTCTCCATGGAGTATCTTGTGTATTAGTAAAATGCCATTTAGGAGCACAACTCAGAATAATTTCACCGTCCATGTCCATAGCCAAGTCCCACCAAACAAATGCAGCATGAGCTATACCACTTTCAATAGTTTTACATTGTAAGACATTTTTACGATCTGTAGCTACACCATTTTTATCACTCCAATTGAACCTTAGATTAACATTAAATTAAGTACAGAAGCACACATAAATGTATGAAATGTAATTACACAAATGAAATTAAAATAATTACCTGAAAATTACTTGGGATGGTACAAGAACTTTAAATAATTTGGTTGATAAAGATCCCAGTTGAAAATCAAACACACTCTCAACACCTCGACATTGTTTGATATTCTCAGGAACTTTCATAAATAATTTATTATTGTGATAAATATCATTAACTTTATTAAAATCTCTAATAAAATCACTTTCAACAATTTCAGCATAAACAATAGCTTCAGATGGTATTACTATGCAATCATCCTAAAATTTAGTATGAGACAAATACATTAAATATAAAGAAAATAATTAATTGATTAATTACAGTTAAAAGATCTCTATGAGCATGATTAAAAACAGAGATGGCTCCTTCTCCAATCAATTCAGTATCAAATACTTCAGTAACTAACAAATTTAAGCGATGTGGAATATCCACTCCAATTTTAAGCTTTTGAGAACTTTTATGAATAAGAACAATTTTATCAGAAAATCCATTTAGTTTTATTATTTCTTTTGCACATTTATACGATTCTTCAAATTCCTAGAAGACAATACATGTCTAATAATAATATTATTATTGATAGAAAAAATTATTTTACCTCGCATGCATATACAGTATCTGCACCACATTTAGCGGCCATCATTGCCAATAAACCAGTTCCAGTTCCTATATCCAAAACATGTACTTTTCTATTAGCTTTATGCATTCTAGTAATTTCCTTTTTCAAGGCTTTATAATACAGTTGGTTCTAAAAATATTTTTAATTAATGTAACTTTAACAATATTATAATAAATAAGGATAAAAAAGTAGGAAAATAAAAAAATAAATTTAATTAACCCAACATCACAAAAAACACTTAAAAAAATCAGCGGATATGCATAATTTTAAAATTATGTTTTTATTATCAATGCCAAACAGATACTGGCCCTCTGATCAAAGAAAATTCCCTATACTATCTGTGACTTCATCATCTAGCAATTTTACACACCACTTAATCCTTTTTACTTGTATTTTTTTTATCAAAACTAGAGTACATAATTTTTAATAATAAATTTAAATTCCAATTAATTAAATTACTTTTATATTTAAATACTTCTAACGCCATCCAAATATTAAGCTCTTTGTAACTATTTACGTTTCTAATTAACTTTATATTTTTTATGTTGTGATTATGTGTTAATAAATATTCTTTAATCCTAAGCCCTATGTTGTTTTACCTACGTAACATTTTTCAATTTGTATTATATAAATATCCAACTTCCCCGGTTCTTTTACTTAAAGAAATAAATTCTTTAAACTATTATTATACAATATTACTTTAGTTGTAACTAAAGTAATATTGACATTTTTGAATATTTTAGCTGTCTATTTGAAACACCAGGACAGGATAATATAAGTGACCTATTTTATCATTTTATTTCCCATTAAACAAATTATTATTGTTTGGGGTTTAACTCAATTTATTTATTTTATTTTTAAAGAAAATTACAAACTATATTAACTTACACGATCAGAATCGTAAAGCATGTCACCAAATGCAGCTCTAGCTATGTTCTGGTAATGATCAAACTCAACCATTGATTTTATGTCTACTTCTTCATTCATTTTTTGAAGTATTAATGTAACATTTACAAAATAATTTCTAATGTCTTAATTCTATTTAAAATATTTCATGACATATTAATTATTTTACAATTTAAATTGTTTTAGGCAATAAAAAGTTACTAATAAATTACTATTATATATTTTGAGATTTAACAAAGAACTGTCATGACCATGCTTTAAAAGAATATTAGAGGTTCGTAGAATATTGCGCATTAGTAAAATAATCATGTACTTTTTATAGTACAATACACCCGTTGAGAAGACTAAACATTTAAGCACGAATGTTCGAAGTAAAAATAAATTTAAAAACTAAATAAAAAAAACACAACAAAGTTCAAATTGCTCTCTTGTGTGCATAAATATTAACATAACGCACAGCATAACAAATAAAAGCAAAAACATTAAAAAAAAAAAATGATAACAGACATTGATAAAAAGAAAAACGAAAATTTTTATCACCAGTAATGTAAGAATATAGACAAGTATGTTTAGAAAATACGTTTTTAATATGCATTTGTAAATTTTTTTTAAGTAATTTTTATTTTAGAATTAGCTACAAAAATTTAGTTAATAACATTTACTTTATTATAGAATATGTCTAGTCAACAACCTCTTAATTTGCTGCGATCAATTGTCAGAGAGTTAAGACACTACACATCTGGTGAAAAACAACTCAAGCGACCTTTGGTACAATGGATTTTGTCTGAATATCGAGCCAATCAATTAACACAAGCTCAGTATTGTCGTGGGCCTAGTGAAATGATTTGGGTAGCTGATACTTATTTACAATATATTCGAGGACAACGTGTGTGTCGAGAACTTATTGTTCGAAATCATAGAAGTGAAAAGAGTGTTAAGGAAACAGCGGCAATGGTTGGTTTTAGTCTTCCACCAAATCCAAATGATAAAACTAATTAGTTTTATTGCATAAGTAATGTTACACACAATTGAAATTATTTTAATTTTTAATACTTTTTTAGGAATGTTATAATTATATCAGACTGCAGTTAATTGTATAAAATATTAGGTCTAAACTTATAGTAATAAAGAGGTATCAAATGCTCTAATATGCAGTAATTATTAGCTTATTAACTAAAATTTTGAAACGCATAAAATTTCTTTTATAAATAAATGAATTGTTTATCTCTTAGAAAGAAATCCTTGATCTAATCTTTACTATACATATTTTGGGAATATTGCATTATCACATGGCAGAATAACCTATATGCAAAATACTAAAATTAAACACTAATATCTTTAGATTCAGAAAAAATCTAATAGTACATATACTCATGATTTGCAAGTCGGTTTTACATGCTAATCGATGATGAATTATTCTCTTAACTTACATTCTAATTAAAAGTATTCCAGTATTGTCATTGTATTATATTATTTAATATTATCTTTGTAAGATTCATGGGTACATCAAGTATTGTATATATAGCTTAATAATTTAATACAACACTTGATTTTTTTACTTTGTTCTTAACAAACATACACTATATATTTTATTTATAGTTTATATATTTTGTATTTAAATGAGAACACAAAATTTGATTAATATGATGTAGTGAATGGGGGATACTTCTAATCAGTATTAAAGGTATCCCTAAATATTGGTAATAGTTATGACAACATCAATTTAATGTCTACATTAAATTTATAAGTTGCACCTAATTAGAGGAATAAAACCAATTAATTCATTTTCATTTAAACAATCAATAAATGTAGTACTCAAAATATAAGTACATTTTTAAAATTTATTTTGAACTTTAATACAAACTAAGAGTATAAAAAAAAAAAAATGATAATGATAATGTATTTTTGCAACTTAAAATACATACATCACTAATAATACAAAACAGATTGATTGATTAATGCACAAGTATAACTAACTTTGAATGCAAAAAAAGTAATTTGAAAAATAACAAAAAATCAGATTACTGTTTTTTTTTTTTTTTTTAATATATTACAGTCATCTTAATATATATATATAAAAAAAACATACATTATTTACTCATTTTCACATGCGATATTATAAGCTCTTTCATTTATTTACACAAAAGAAAATATGTTTCTGAGAATAAGTTTTTCAACATTATGATTTTACAAAATAGTGAATTATTTTTGTCAAAATTGATAAAAATTCAATAAGAACTCTAATTTAAATAGTACTTAACATAGTTGAGAGGAAGGGACTTTTATTAATATTGAAGATTTTGAAAATGAATATTAACATGCAGTATGGCTAGTTAATACTTAGTCAAAAAAAATTAATACTTCAATTTGTTATTTTAAAATGGATTAAATTTAGGCCCGGGACCAGACATATTTCTAGGTCCTGAAGGTCTAGGATAACCACCTCCACCCATGTTGTTTGAAAAAAATGAATTGGGTGGTCCTGAATTTTCATTTCGTCTAGAAAATGTGCTATTGCCAAAAGAATTGCCACCACCAAATGAGTTGTTACCAAATCCTCCAAAGTTTCCACCCCCATTTCCAACGTTAGGAGGACCCATATCATCTAGACTAAAGTTGTTACTGCCACCTCCTGGACCTCCAATTGGTCCATCCATGAACAGTTCAATGTATCTATGTTGCATATATGTTTTATCCTATAAAATAAAATATAAAAAATAACAGTTTTTTCAATTAAATTTTAAAAATCAATCATGATCTTTACTTTAGACATAGCTCTCATTGCATCTTCTTTAGTGGCAAAATCAACATTAGCTTCTCCAGATGGACGGTTGTTATTATTATACAAAATATGTATATCAACTGGTTCCAATGGTTCAAAAAACTGCAATAATAAATCAGTTTAATTGAATAATTCTGTTGAAATACTACAGTATTATTATTATTACTGCTAACTTATTAATAATAATAAAATATATTATGTAATAAAATAATATTTTTTTTACTGAGGCTATATCATCTTCATTAGCTTTGAATGGAAGTCCTCTCATATGAACAACATATAATGGTCTACTTGGAGGAGCATTCCAATTATTGCCATTCCATCCACCACCTCCACCCATCATACTTTGGCCGCCACCTCCTCTTGGTCCACCCATATTCCGGCCACCATTCCAAGGTCCATTGTCATAACCATTACCGAATGATTTTATATTTCGTCCAGACCTCATGGGCATATCATAGTAACGGCCACCACCATTGCCACCACCACCACCACCAAAACGATCCATTCTATCATAAGGCGTTTGCCGTGGACGTCTCTGCAGTGCTTGATTTCTGATTTCTGCTAAACTACTACGAAATATTTCAATGTACCTAATAAAACCATAATTAAAAATTATTTAAAATTAAAAAAATAATAAATATTAAATAATACCTATAAATTTACGGATTAAAAAATTTGAAAAAAAAAAAAAAAAATTCTTATCTTTTAAGTTATTACTTAATTTTTAAATAAATTGATATTATAGTAAACCACAATACAAGGAGGAGCAAAGGATGACACTCTGGACCTCCCTTAATAATAACTACATGTGATTATATTACCCGCCAAAATATACACCAGGATTAATATAGGAAGACACCCCACCTGTGTCCTATTTTCTCCTTGTGTTTCTGCAGAGCTTTCTCTGCATTTTCTCTGTCTACAAACTGTACAAAAGCTTCCCCCGTACTCCGCCCCGTGAAGTCGGTTGCTATGGTTATACCGTCCGTTGTCATCTCCAACCCTGTTGCCCATAATAGAACCAATCATAGATAACCCAATTAATAACATGTCCAAAAACATAAAAAATTAAATTAAAAAAAGCATTGTATACATCTGAAAATTCACAGTTATTTAATAATTATAAACATTAAGTAATTCATACATTTCATACTATTTCCACTTTTTTAAACAATAAGAATTCAAATTTATTAAATTAAAGACTATTTACACAACACTACCCTAAAAGCAATATGTATATTTGAAAATATTATTTTATAAGAGAGCTAAAAACAAAACATAATATAATATATTTAATATTGTAATAGGTATTGTATTATTCCTATTTTAGTTGAGTTCTAGTAAAAAAATAATAAATATCATTATGAGAATATGAGCAAATTTATATTTTATTTTGATACTGTAATAAATAAATGGAAAATTTGCAGATACATTTTGATGCGGAAAGGTAGTGCTGTGATAATGATTGATATAATATACATAAATTAAAATAATTAATTATATAATCTTGAGTTTTAAATCCTTAATTTATTTTTTAACTGAATACATAGTATATACTCAATTATTACCATATAACTATAAAAATATTACTTCTATAAATTAATTACTAATACGACCAATTAAATTTCCCTGAAAGATTATCACATATCATTAAAATAAAATTAAGTAATATGCTATTTATTTATTTTTAAATATAAAAAGTTTTACTGAGGGGATCCCTTTAAATTATTTATCAAAATATTTCATTGAAGTAGGAATAGTATTGAAACTGTTAAAAATGAATCACTTAGCAATAAAATAATAATAACTTATTGATGCTATACACAGAGAGAATAGATCCAGCTGACAAAAACTCTTAATTTAATTCAGTAGTTCCATTTCTATAGAGTTTTGAAGTTTGTTAATTTTAAATTTTTTTGATAAATTTAATTTTACTTTTTCTTATGTTTTTATATTAGTTACAGATGCTCAATTAAATGATATTTAAAAGTGTCAGTATTTCCGGAACACTTTCAAAAATTAAGTTGAAAAAGTTATACTTTCTATATACATTTTTATGTTTTGAACCTCCCCTGTATTAAGGGAAATGGTCCGATTAAAAAAAAAAGTATGTCGAATGAAAGATGAATATAAATACTACTTTTCATGAAAAAATTGTATTTATCCATACATTTTTCAAAAAGTTATAACATTTTAAAATATAAAATCGAGAATTTTAACACATAAATAGCATTTGGTAGCCATTTTCACCGTGAAGACAAAATAAAGTCCAACATTTCTTTTTTCCATAATAAAGTACATTACATTAGCTTTAATTTAAGATATATATTAAAGTTTCAGTATTTCCAAAGTTGAAAAAATTAAAAATTTAATAAACTTCAAAATGCTGTAGAAACAAAACTACAGATTTAAATTTAGAATTTTTGATAATTTATAGAATTTTTTCATAAAAACTAATCTATAAAATAGCTAAATTCGAATATAAAAAAAAAATGTTAACAAAAATATTAATTTTTAAAATATTTTTTGTAATTACGGAAAAAAAATAATACATAAATGTGTTAAAGATTTCATGGATTGTTTTTTGCTTGAAGTGCTTGAGGATATATACATGTTTGCAGTTGAGTTCTGACGTTTCGGACTCATTGCAGAGTCCATTTTCAGAGTGATGGTTGCTAGTCGGTGGCTGCAACTATACTGCAATGAGTCCGAAACGTCAGAACTCAACTGCAAACATGGATATATCCTCAAGCACTTCAAGCAAAAATAATACATATTTTAAATTTAGTATATATTGAAAAAATTGGTTAAAAAATAAAATAAAATATAAAGTACATCATAAGTTATACAAGTTTTGTCAGTTAGATCTGTTTCATCCTGTATAATTCAAAGAGTGTATACTACAATATAATTCAAAAATGTGTTTTTAATATCAAAATTTCAGAAAAAATTAAATACAACATCTACAAATGTTGAAAAATAACAATAGGTTTTGTGATTATAAGATTTGTATAAGTCCTTATAGAAAATAAAAATATCTATATTTAATAATTACATAGTTGTATACCACTAAATATTAAAAAGACCAAAACTACAAAAACTAAGAATTAAATGATATTATTTGAGGAAAGGGAGTATTAATGTTCAAATTTTTATATCAAATAATTTATAAAATTTAAATTTAAAATTTTATCTTAGTTTTGTTTGTTATTTTAAAAAAGGGAAATTTGGTATACACACTTTGAATGAAACAACGTCAAATTTATATAAATATATATTTAATTACGTATGTATCGATTTATTTCTTAATAGTCATATATTACCTTGAAAAAATTGAACAATATCATCTTTAGTTGATCCAAATGGTAAGCCTCGCAGACGGACACAATTGTCATCGAGAACACTATCAAGTGTTGAGCCAGTTTTTTTAATAACCCATTCCATTTCTGAACGCTTTGACCTAAATACTGAAAAATAAACATTAAAAAACTTAACATGAAATAGTTACCAATAATAATCGTTAAATCAACATCTGTTGAATAAATTATTAATTAATGAGCTGTAGACATTAATGTAAAAATATATTACTGTCTATTCGGCATATAATTATATACAATTTCAACATATGACAATAAATTTAAAGTAGAAATTTTACTATTTTAGATACTTTTATATTAAATCATTGAAAATATTAGGTAAATTTCTAATAGTAAAAACTAATAGCCAGTGTTGTTGAGGTTTTTTTCAATTAAATATACTAAAAATAAATCTAGTATACAATTACGAATAAAGATAAAGTAAAAGAAAATTAATTTTTAATTACCAACTAATTCAAATTAATTGAAAAATAAGAATATTGATTTATTTTTATTAAATATTTTTCTCAATTTATCTATCATATAAATCCCTTATACCTAAAAAGTGTCAACATTAATATCTCAAATAGCAATACACATAATTATTCCTTAATTAATTTTATTTATTATATAATGATCTAATTAAGAAAATTAATAGTTGAAAACAACTTTTGAACTAGTATTTTGAAAGACATTAAAAACTCTTTCTTTTTTTTTTGGCCTGGACTAACACTAATGTTTACTTTTGCTAGACCAGGTCCAAAAAGTTTATGTAATAATTAATTGAATGCATAATTTCAGTTTGAATTATTCATTAAATCATCAGTTGTCAATAGCAGGTGTGCTGGCTGAATTAATGCTCTTCTTTTTAATTTTTATAATATTGATGACGTGACATAATTACATACCTATATTATTTAAGAGGATATAATAACTATTCTTTATTTTCAGATAAAAACTTATTTGATATTAATATCAGGAAATAATAAAATTCAGGTAACTCTAAAATTTTTCATTGGTCCCAAGGAAAAGGGATTATTAAAACTATTTTTTTTAAACAAAAATTGTTAGTTTTATTTTTAATTTTATATTTTTCAAGAAGTACCATAATTTTTTGTGAGTAATCTCCAAGTATATAACAAAATAAATATTAAATAAGAATTTTGTTATTTTATAATTATATTTTCAATTGCAAGTAAGAAATAATTCTTTTTATACCTTCTATGTATCGGTTTCCCATATGTTCACGATCTTTTTTTAAAGCAGCTTTAAGGTCTTCTTCAGATTCCATTTCAACATAAGCTTCTCCACTAGGTCGTCCTTCTCTAGCCATGGTTAAATGCACACCAGCTGTTCCACCTTTAACTTTTGCTTCCCCTTAAATAGATTAAATTAAATTATATAAAATAAGTATATTCCATTAAGATTAATTTATAAAACTTATTAATACCTAAAATACTCAGAAATTTTATGATATCATCGGCTGTTGCTGACCAAGGTAATCCTCTCATTTTGACAACATAACCTTCATTAGATTGATTGTCCTCTTCAGTTTCTTCATTGAGTTCTTTTTGTTCTTCTTTAACTTGGGACTCTTGTTGTTCTTCTTGCTGGTCTTGTTGCTCAGGCTGATTCATTTTAATTAATTGTTTAACCTCTTATAGCTAATAAAAAAAACAATAAAATGAAAAATTATCAAAATAATACTTTTGCATAATCGAGATTTATTCTAATACTTAAATACTAGATCTTCAGATAAAATATTTTATTTAAATTCAATTATTTGTTTATGTATATACACTAAACGCAAATTAATTAATTAGTAAAAAAATGATTTTAAAAATTAATAAAATGTTTACTAAATATATATTACTATTATATATTTTTTGTTACATAAATTTGTCCAACCATCTGTTACAGTAATTTTAAACTTAATAAAAATAAAAAGGGGTATTAGTCGATTAAAATATAAAATAATATTCGTTAAAAAAATAAAAATTTTATTTTAAATGTATAAGTAAAATAAAAAATTCATGTTTAAAAAAAACATCAAATATTCAATGTAGCAATAACACTAAAATAACACGTCATAAATTACACCATTTCTAATAATAATGACTTATACTTACATGTTAAGTTTCAGAAATTCTTCAGCTATAAGGTTTTTAAATGCTCGATAAAGTAATTGAGAAATAGCAATTTAAAATTCTTAATAAAATATATACTGTTAAATAAATTGGGCAAATTGTTTATATTTTAGATAAATCGTTGCTCATAAAATGTAAACATAGAGAAAATAATTAGATGTTATACCTATTAGAAACACTTAGGTAACAAACATCAAATAAATAGCATTTTAAGTTTCATTAATCATCGGCCTGTGAAAATAAGTCAAAATGGCTGTTCGGTTTAGAATTATTGTTTATACCACACTATACTATCGACCACAGTATCTAGTAATTAAAACTTATCAGTGAACATTCTTCCATGAAATAATATTATTCTTTTTATACTCTTTTCCATGATAACTTATAAAAATTTCTTTTTTAAAAGTAATTATTCCCACAATCTACATTATTATTAAATCTATTTATATATATTTAATGAGCCATTCGTATGTCTTAATTTAAAATATCATAATCTTAAAATAAAATTAAATCTAGATTATATATTAACTTGAGAAGTGATCTAGAACTTTTTATGAAGTGTTAAGAAAATTTTTTTCTTGAATGGCAATTCAATTGAGTTTATGTTGCAGCACCCTTGCATATTATTTTGAATTGTACAGTATTTGTAATTTCAAGGGATAACTTAAATTGTTTGTTACAGAGATTATTAAAATGCGGTGTTTAATTAACAATTACATTTTCTAATCAGAAGTCTATAGTTGTCATTGCTAAATATTTTTAAGCATTCTTTTTGAAAAAAAAAACTAATGATTGTACTAATTTATAGGATGTATATCATACTAAGATTTAATAGACGAAATTGACGAGTCAAATGCATTTATTAAGAATGTACATATCTGAAACACCAAGTTGAAATATTTGAAGTCTTATGTATCAAAACTGGCAAATAAAATATATTGGTATACTTTTATAAAATTTTGATCATAGTAAACGATGAAGAGAATATAGAATGTAATTTGAATGCGTTAATTTTGAATGTTAAGTTGAAAAATTTTAAATCTAAATTATCCACATCGACGTATAAAATATTGTGTGCAAATTTATGCAAAATACTGTGGTCGAAGAAAATGTTAGAATAAATTCTAATTTGGACGATTCTATTCCTAACATTAAGATAGTGTATTTGATGCCTCAAGCACGAAAACCAGGGAAAAGCTATATGTGTGTAGACCTATCTACCTAGATTTAATTAACTAACAGATTGAAGAGACAAAGAAATGTATATTGGAAGAGCTTATTCCGAATATTTAGTTTGATTTTTTGAGTTTTATATACCAAATAATGAAGTTAAATTCGCGTTTGTAGACCTAGAATTATTTAAGTGTGAATTATTTGTTAATTAATTTTTTATTATTTGTTCTCATTATTTAATTAATTTATTATATATATATTTTAATAGATAATTATAATATATTTTGAATTATTATGCAACTTATACAGTTTACATTTGTCATTTGTTATATTTTATTTTTTTTAAATATGATGGTTTATTCATATTTATATTTTTAAATATTTTGTGTAATACTAAATCGTTATATAGTTTAAATTAACAAGTTTAGTTTTTTTTGTCATAGTTGAATTCTTCTAATAAATTTACTTGGATTGTCTACATATATTATTATATGTTTATGGTTTATAATTTAACAACTACAATAAAATGTACGAGGGTCTAAATGTATTTTTTTTCATCCTAAAAAATATTTTCATATTGTTACATACAACATTTGGTGGGCCTGTTTCATTAAGGTGGGTATGAGCCCCAGAATCCTTGTTCGCCTATGACTGACATTCTTAATATTACGTTTCTCAATTATAACTCAAAACAATATCAAAATAATTAAGCATATTTAATAATTTAACATTAATAAAATCAAAAATTTCTTTTTAATTTATGTAAATTTAATAAAATTTTTTAAACTTTATACTTATTTATTTACGATTAAATGTTATTTTTAAATATATAAAGAAATTTTATGTTACAGCATGAAATTATTTTAATTATGGTATTATTGCTATTTTTTAATTATCAAAACTTGTAAAAATAAACATAAATAAAATTTTAATGAAAAAATTTCAATTTTACTGTGGAAATTCTTTTTACTCATTGATTAGTTGAATCAACGAATGTTCAGTTTCTATATATTGACCAATTGTATATAAAATGTTCATAATTTCATCAAATAATTTAGAGCCGTTTGTAAACAAGTACATAATATCAACTTTCTGCGGAAGAGGTGTTGGAAATGAATTGAAAAAATATCTGTATTTTTCTGATTCATTTACAAAATTAAATTTTTCCAATGTCACCTCAGGTAATTTTCCGAAAAAATTTGGGTTATATACTATCCTCTGATCGACACAATCGAATGAAGTTTTTGCCATTCTAATTAATTTGTTCGAAAACTCTATACTATCTTTGCAATTTTCCAACTGTGTAATATCTTCTTTTAGTGTAACGTTGTATTCATTGTTTACTTTTTCTAAAGAATCTTTCATTTTTTTAAGACTGACTAAAATAATACACTTAACTTCTTCATCCTTTTTATCAAGTAGTAATAGATTGTTACCGTAGGATGCCAATAAAAATACGTATGCGTTGGCACGTCTCTTAACATGAAATTGAAATCCATATTTATAAGCGTAGAAGTAATTAAATTTAATATGATCAAGATAAACATTTCTTTGTATTTTAGATAATATATAAAATCTTACTGGCTGGTACATATTTGAAAATAATATTTCAAGAGATATTTTAAAAGATGTCATAGTACATTCTACTACACTTTCTTTAACGTAATTCCACAAATGAGATTTTTTGGCAAAATCTAGGTCTGATACGCTGTATTTCTGCCATTCATTGATGGGTACATCCGCACTTGTAATTATTGTTAAAAAAAATGCCATCAAGACAATTTTCTGAATCATGTTTTGTTCTTTTATAAATGTAAATAATTGGTTTGGTAATATCAACTGAAATAATCGATAGAAACTATCACCTATATTTATAGTTTTTATAAATTAATAAATTAAATAGATTTAATAGTTTTTTTTTTTTGTAGAAAGCTTAGTTTTAATACTATTTACCAAGTGTTTATTAACTCTACCTTCATAAATACATTATTTTAATTTTTTAAAGACCTATAACTTAAGTGATGACGTAATAAGTGTAATATAGTTATGTGGAGTTTATTTATTTTGATTATTATTATTGAATACTGTTTTGTTCGTTAAGTTTAAGATTTTATTTTTTTGTATTTTAGTTGGAATATGCATAATAGAATGTTTTTTAATAATTTATTATGTCTTTATTGAACTTTGTTCACCTGTTTGTGTGTGTCTTCTCCTTTGCCAGGTAAGCTTTTGGTGAAGTGTTTTATTTTTAATTTTTAATTTTATTATTTTTAATGCTAGAACCATCATGTGCGTATGTGTTTTGTCGTGTCATGGGACACACGATAATGATTAAGTTCAGTTATAAAAATAATTGCGAAACGTTTCTACGTTTGTACTCTTTTGAGTTTATATTACTTAACTTAAATTTATCAATAGTACGAGAGCACAACACAATTTGTTTAAATAATCAACTTTTTTTGTTTTATTTTAAAAATAATAAATATATCTATATTAAACAACTACCTATCATATCAGTCTTACTTTAAGAACTACTTAATTTAGGTAAAGAGGGAAGTATAACCCAGGGGCGGACTTAGGTATGTGGTGGCCCCTGGGCGGAATGCATTGTGGGGGCCCCTTATACATAAACAAGGAAATATATTTTTTTACTTATTAAATAATAATTATTATCATATTTGTGATACCAATGTATACCAAATTTTTGGGGGCCTCTGGGCTCAGCCCACTCAACCCTCTCTTAAATCCGGCCCTGGTATAACCCTTTGGATCACGGTTGGTAACGCGTTGTTTCGAGCACCGTTGCAAAGGATTAAAAGAAATAACAGGAAAAGCAGGTATTCTTGATCACGGTTGATAATGCGAAGGTTATATGATCACCGTTGAAGATTAAACTAGCTTTTTTAGAAAAGAATTTTAATATATAAAATTTTAATTACGGTTGGTAACGCGTTGTTTCGAATAACGCTAAAAATTTTATATATTAAAGATTAAGATATTAGAAAAGAAATAAAGAAGCCTACCCGCTGGAGCGGTGTATGCACGTAATTAGTCTAGTCGACAATAAATATTGCGATCACTAGAATAATACAATTAACTAATCAATGAGAAAGACAGTAAAAGATAATTAAGAAAGCAGTGAGGGTGTACCTTATACTGTCCGCCACCACTTGGGTAGTGTAAATTAATCGTTTACTCATCATATATATAAATACTAATATTTTGTAATGAATAAATGTGCATTTTTATATCTTATTTAAATTGCGAGTTCCCGTTTGGACTGGTATGTAACATAAAAGGGTATTCAAGTATTACTATTTATATAATTAAATAAAAAATACATTATAGTATATTTTTTTAAATAAAAGTTAACAAACAGCGTTGTCCAACGGACTTTCTCGCAACTGAAAAAACGGCAATAAAGCTGTAACGTAACGCTACAATTGTTAATTTTTAGCTTCAATGCGAAGCTGAGAAGGTATTGGTTTTACTATGATGCGTTTTTTAGGTTCGATACGAAGCTGAGAAGGTATTGGTTTTACTATGATGTGGTTTTTTTTTTTTTGTGTCTGTTACCACTTTTTCTCAGCTCTCACCGAACCGAATTCTTTCAATGATACGTCAAAAGATCACAAATCGTGTCTAGTCGAAGACATTTCCCTTAAAAATGGAGAAAATTTCCCTCGTTTCTCGTAAATGGGTGAAAACCTCCAAAAAAATTACAAATTTAAAAATCGCTAATTTTCGAATTTTGTTTTACTTAAAATTGCCATAACTTTTTTAAAAACAACCAAATCAATATAATTTTTTTTATAAATCTGACCCTTTATCTGCCCACAGGGGGGATTTAAAATGACAACTTTTTCACAACAAATTTACTTTTACAGTTAACTTTTGAAAGTGTTCCGGAAAGTCTGAAACTTTTATATATATCTTAAATTAAATCTTATGTAATATAGTTTATTATGGAAAAAAAGTTGTCGGTCTTTATTTTGTTTTCACGGTGAAAATGGCTACCGAATACTGTTTTTGTGTGAAAATTCTCGATTTTATTTTTTACATTTTTATTTAGAATTCCGAGGGATATATGATGCGTGGAGTAGAATGATAGGAAACAATAAAACTTGGGGGTGGGATGAGGACGTTCAAAAAATCATAGTGAGTAAAAAAAAGTAGTTCAATGTATGACAGAAGAGCAAAATGAGAGACAATTGGATAGAGTATAAATGCTTGTGCAAAGAAGCCACGTGTGCAGTAAGTAAGGTGAAGTTTAACAGGTATGATGGATTAGAAACAAAGGAAGGTGAAAAAGTAGTCTATAGACTTGCAAAAGTAAGAGAAAAAAGGTCTAAAGATTATCATTATGCAAGGTGTATAAAAAGTATTGATAATAATGTACCCTCGAGTATCCAAAAGAGACATTAGAGGATATGTCGTGGAACGAAGGACTGGTAGATTTAAGTATTCAGAAAGAGGTGTGGGAGGCTGTGACATATATAAAACAGAATAAAGCATTAGGACTAGATGAAGTGTCAGTAGAAGTATGAAAAATATTAGGTATTGGCATAAGGTTAATAATATTTTTCATATAATTAAATTAATGTTTCATAATTCAATTTTTCTATAACCAACATATTTTCAAGTAATAATATCAATTATAAAATAACTATCTAAAAAAAAATTTTAAACATAAAAACAAAAATATTACAAAGATTTATTAAATATAAAAAAAAAAATAGAATACAACAATGTTTTGCTTTGTTTATTGTCATTTTTAATACTTATGGGAATTTTCATTTTATGAAAACTTAAATATTTTTATGTATAATTTAGTAGAAAATATGTCACATTTAAAAAATCAATTTCACTACACTTAAAAATTAGGCCTATGTTTAATCTAACATAAATAAAATAATTGTTTTCGAACTAGAATTTTAAATAACATTTTTAACATAAACTCAGTCTTATTATTAATATCATATAAAACTATAATAAATTTCAGAGTCTATATTAGTTTAAATTCGTCCTCTCCCCCTGTTTAAACTAGATATGTTTTTTCGAGTATTCATTGAGATTTTACACTTTGGAGGAGGAGACTTAGGTCTTAACACTTCAATACGATCAGTGCATCCAGTAGTTAGATTGCCATTACTAAAATATTTGTTGAATAACTCTGTATTAAAATTTGAATTTGTTAATTCTGGACCTAATGTTAACCAGCCAGGACGTATAGTACTATCTCTTCCAAAAAGATGTAATCTAAAACACAATTATTAAAATTAACACAAACATAATAATTTAGTATTACAATATTGACTCAATGATTAAAAAATATTGTACCTTCGTTTTCCAAGACAGAAATGCTCAATTATGTGAAATATTTCAACAGGTTTTTCTATCAAATTCTGTTCATTTTCTTCACTAATAATCAAGTCAATATCAACATTAGCATGAATAAAATCACCATCTGTAGAGCGGCGAACAGTTCCTTTAATACCCATTAAACAATGTTCCTAAAAAATTATTGAAAAAAATTATAGCAAATAGTATTAATCGAGTGCCTAGCAGAATTAAAAAAAATATTATGTATGAAAGATTATATAAAACNCACCATCTGTAGAGCGGCGAACAGTTCCTTTAATACCCATTAAACAATGTTCCTAAAAAATTATTGAAAAAAATTATAGCAAACAGTATTAATCGAGTGCCTAGCAGAATTAAAAAAAATATTATGTATGAAAGATTATATAAAACTTTAAATTCATCAGATCTTACTGATACACTTAATGGGGTTCATGATGCACTAGAAATATAGATAAATTATGTTTCAAGCATTTTAAATTTAAACATGTCTTTCTCAATTTGTAAAAACTTGAAGTAATCCTATGTTGAGAAAGACAGAGGATATATACAAAAAAAAAGAAAAACAAACTTTAGTTCGTTGAAACACAGCATTTGGTTCTAAGTTTTTTGAATGTCCTGGATTTTTACAGTTAGTTTTTATCCAACAAATATCTTCACATCGTCTAAAACCCCAACGTCTTAAACATTCGCGGCCCATATCCAAACCATCAGAGGAACCACACCATAAAAAAATAAAACTTCTATTGGCAGCCAATTCTCCAATATTTAATTCCATTATCTATTTATATTTTTAGGTAAACTTACTTCATCAATTACATATATTACATTAGTTTAATATTGAAATTATTAAATAATTTACTTGTTTCCAGTTCCACAAAGCTATATTTGTGACCCCCATAGTGCGTTGATATTCTTCTAGAGGAGGTTCAATTAAAATAACATCAAATTTCATATTAATTGAACCAAAATCAAAGTTATTTAAATTGCACTTCAAGAACATTGGAGGAGTTGCAGTTTGTTGAATAAGTTCATCCTACAAAAAATTAAGTTCAACTTTATGAAAAAAAATTGTTATAACATAGATTTGATAATAAATTTCTATACAACCATAAGTTGTTAAACTATTATAAAAATTAGGCAAGTGTTCTTTTACAACAATTTAATAATAAATGAAGCAAACTTCTAGAACATGTTAAATTAACTTTTCATGTAGATGTTTTCATATTAAAACCTCAACTGTCTTAAAAAATAGTTAGATTTGGAAGAAAAAAAAAATATATATATATATAATAAAAGGGAGTTTTTTCTAGTCGGGGTGTCAGTATGTGTTTAGCGTTGATAATGGTAACATTGTTTCCAAAATACGTATCCGCGACTTTTCATTAATTTTTTGTGACTTTGAGTTTAATAGTTTTATTATTTTTTAGTGTTTTTAAATTAATAATATTTTTAATATAGTTTTAATTTTACTTAATATATATATATATATTCAGTAATTAAGGAATTGAGTTTCTATTGTTCTCGTTGTTTGTAACAATTAACCAGATTAAACGTTCTTGTGCAGTACGATTAGATCGGTAATTAGCTTGGTTTGTAGCATTTCTGGTTCTTCTACCTAAATTGCTTCGTCTTATAGGAGGCATATCAAATATAAATTATTTTTTCACTAATCACGAACTAAACAAACACTAACTAAGTAAACACTCTTGGGTTTTTCCAGCAATAATTCTAATTTTTCTCGCCGTAAAAACCATCCTTGAACTTCAACGAACATTTTAAAAAAAGATTTGGCCAAATTGGTCGAGGCGTTGTTGAGTTATGCGCTTACCAACACATTTTGCGATTCATTTTTATATTATAGATTAAGGAATTGAGTTTCTATTGTTCTCGTTGTTTGTAACAATTAACCAGATTCCTTACATACTGAACACCTATATAACATGATGTCTTTTTACTGCAGTAAAAATACAAATTGTTGATATATGTCATTAAATTTTTTTTAAAGTTATTGTATGTTATTCTTATATTTACGAAAACTTTCCAAACTTCTGCTTAATTTTCACTGATGAATCCGTCACATCCCTTAAAGCAGGTTGTGCATACTTTATCCCTAGTTATAATGTGTCCTTTTCTACCTCCTTACACCCTTTTTCCTCTTCCTACACTGCTGAATACTTAGCAATATTTTATACACTGTATCACATTCTATACTTAAACGATACCTCATTCCTTATATGTTCCGACCCACAGTCCAGTATTTCAGCCATAATCTCCAACCCCTTTAGTACTCACATTTCCCCAATTATCCTCAAAATTAGATCCCTCCTTCAAAAAAATTTCTGTCACTGGCAAAGTTATTCACTTCTATTAGATTTCTGGTCACGTAGGAATCCATGGTAATAAAACAACTGACCACTTAGCCAAACAAACATCAAGTTTCCTTAATTACCACTCTTATTTTCTTTTAAAATCCAATGTCTCTCATATTTAAAATTTTTTGTTATCTTATGCTTTGTCAACCAAATGGTGCTCATTTGCCTCAAACTTTGCTCAATGGCGCCGATCAATCACTTCATATCCCTCAAATCTCTCCTGGTTCCATCATCTTAATCTCCTCCGCAAATCTATTGTTGCTTTCTCTCGCTTAAGAATTGGTCACAATCTTCTATCCTATTTCGCTTTCAAATTTAACCTTAATTTTGTCCCTTTCTGCTACCTACACTAGGAGGAATTTATTGATAATTTCCCTCATTTTTTGTTATTTTGTCCTTCTCTCAATTCCAATAGATCCTTGATATTCAACTTTCTGGCCACTCATGGTATAACTAATACCGATCCTTTTCTAATCCTCAATTCCTGTAATGTATCCATAATTAACTCAATTATATATTTTCTTTTGTGTGCTGGCTACTCCATTTAATTTACTCATAATTATTGACTTTAGTACTTTTCATTATATTTTATTTTCAACTTAAAACATGAATAGCTCTTGTAAATAATTTTATTGCACTTTTATTTTCTTTCCTGATACTTCTTTTGTTGTAAACGTATATATTTGTAATATTTACTGTTGTTTCACATATTAATTGTTGAGCCATAATATTTTTAAATAAAGGCTAATAAAAAAAAAAACAAAAATATTGTATGTAAAAAAAGAAGTAAAAATCAGCATATTCAATTATAATTATTTTTTGGGATATTATCTTTACTAAAAAAAAAAAATTAGATATTTTTATATTAACTTTTAAGAGCAATGATAGTTAGATATAATTCTTGATCTTTTGATATATTGATCTCAAATTTACAAACTAATTATTGAGTAATTACATTAACAGACATAAAAAAATATGTAGCTTTCATCTTTGAATCAAAGCTAAAATATGTAAAAGTTATGTTTTTAAATTTTAAATTATTTATGGTTAATAGAAGACTAATTACCTTTAAACGGATCAATTCTCTCAATTTTGGATATTCTTCAAATCTATCAGTAAGACCAACATCTCTAATGAAATTTTGAGGTCGTTGTCCCGTATCAACAAAATGTTGGCAATAATCATTATGAGGATTAGAAGACTGAGTCCCTTTGAGAAATGTGGACGAATCTTTATAAACAATTTCAGACGAACTTGACTGCACAGTATATTTATTAATTAACTTTGAAATAGAGCGTACAACTTTTTGCTCTCTTTTTGTATTTAAAGCTCGTCTAAGTTGTTGAACTCCTGTGAAGCCTAACTGAAGTAGAAAAAAATGCATTGCAAGATATTTAAAAATACTATCATTTATTATACTAACCGTTTTTGCTAACATTTTTTTTCTCTTTCTTGATTGTTCTTTTAGTGTTCTTAAAGTTTCACTCATAATGTATAAAGCAAAATAAACTTAAACTTAATATTGAAAAGCAATAATTCATCAGTTTATTGATGAATGATTTCATTAATCTCGTCAAATTAAAAAATTAATTATATTTAAGTCTTGTAATCGTGAGTGTAAGATATGATATCATTTTGCCGTTGTTTACTATCAGTAAATGTACAATATAATAAAGCCTTTAAATGTTACAGCTATAGATGTATAATGATATATATAATATGATAATAAATATATGATAATGGTTGTATAAGTTATTTTTAATATTATTTAACTTTTAGTTTTGATGCGAAGCGATAAGGTATTAATTTTACTATGAAATGTTTTTTGTGTCTGTTACCACTTTTTCTCAGCTCTCATCAAACTGATTTCATTCAACGAAAAGTCAAAAGATCACAAATTGTATATAGTCGAAGACATTACACTCAAAAATTAAAAACTTTCCCTCGTTTTCCGTAAATAGGGGAAATTTCCATAAAATTGTAAAATTTAAAAATGGCTAATTTTTGTCATTTTTTCAATTTTTAGCTTCGATGCGAAGCTGAGAAGGTATTGGTTTTACTAAGATGTGTTTTTTTTTTTTTTGTGTCTGTTACCACTTTTTCTCAGCTCTCACCGAACCGATTTCTTTCAATGATACGTCAAAAGATCACAAATCGTATCTAGTCGAAGACATTACCCTTAAAAATTGAAAAAAATTCCCTCGTTCCCCGTAAAAGGGGGAAACCTCCAAAAAAATTACAAATTTAAAAATCGCTAATTTTCGAAATTTTTTCAATTTTTTTTACTTAAAAGTGCCATAACTTTTTCAAAAAT